AAGAGGGAAGAGGGAAGAGGGAAGAGGGAAGAGGGAAGAGGGAAGAGGGAAGAGGGAAGAGGGAAGAGGGAAGAGGGAAGAGGGAAAGAGATAGAATGAGCTTAGTAACTACACACAGTTCGAACGACACACTGTCAAATGTCTACTGTACCGAATATAGTACATCGGAACCTTTTACTGTATGCTTATCCATCTAATCGAGGTATATACACTATCTAGGTATATACACTATCGAGGTATATACACTATCGAGTATCCATACTGCGAGTATCCATACTGCGAGTATCCGTACTACGAGTATCCGTACTACGAGTATCTATACTATCGAGGTATATACACTATCGAGTATCTATACTATCGAGTATCTGTCAGGAACAGCTACTAGAGCTTATTAAGCCTGCCAGGAGGACGCATACAACTCTCGCGCCTCTCGCATGAGAGTCCCATCCTCCTCTCATGCTTCGAGTCCTGTATGACCTAGAGGTCTAGGGATACCTAATACTATTGAGACCCCTAACTGTTACCCTCTACCTATCGCCTTAGGCTGTCCCTAACAGTATCCATACTGCGAGTATCTATACTATCTCTCGAGTATCCATGCTGCGAGTATATCTACTCTCTACGTAGACAATACTATCGACGTCAATCTCACACGCAGTATCGCCGACCTATATACATAATATAGCTCTTCCTCGTTTTCGTCCGTAGGGAGTATCGAGGATACACGTAATTCTATATCAGTTGACAGGTATATGACGTCTATTTCGGCGGTCGTCTATTGGATCGTACGGGAGCGGAAAGGATGCTCCTCTCGGCGCGCGCACAAAGTATATACCCTTCGTATGGCTTTGCTGAAAGAGCAGTCTACTCTGAAGCGAAAGTAGGAGCAACAGAACAGCATCCCGTGGAATCGTCAACTCAACGTCGTTCATCGGGATAGCGTCCTTGCCATGACCATAACCGCACGCGTCCTCAGCAAGACTGATGGAATAGCAGGTGAAATGCAAAAGTTGCTAGCGTGAGCTCAATTCCTATCTGAACCTATGCTGCCCTCTCGCCTGCAAGACAATGTGCAACGCTTCGCTGGGTTTGCAATAAGCAACGTAAGAGATCTTGTTCTCATCGGTGGTGAATGCTTCCAACAGAACCAATCAATGGCCTTGTGTCTCCTCCAGTGACATGTTACAAGACCATGCCTTCACTCCTGTGCACGCGATCAAAACTAGTACTGGACAAGCCAACTGTTTCTGCTCAGACACCGGAGTACATCATCTAAGCTTCCTCCTCAAGAGGAGCCTCTTCCTCACCATATTCCTCCTCGCCTTCGGAGATACTAGCATCCTGGTATTGCTGATATTCCGAGACCAGATCATTCATGTTGGACTCGGCCTCGGTGAATTCCATCTCGTCCATACCTTCGCCAGTGTACCAATGCAAGAAAGCCTTTCGTCGGAACATGGCGGTGAACTGGTCCCCAACACGCTTGAAGAGTTCCTGGATAGAGGTAGAGTTGCCGACGAATGTGGACGACATCTTCAGGCCGCGCGGCGGGATAGAGCACAGAGCAGTCTGGACGTTGTTGGGGATCCACTCGACGAAGTACGAGTTGTTCTTGTTCTGGACATTGCGCATCTGGTCCTCGACTTCCTTCATGCTCACCTTGCCACGGAAGATGGCTGAGCAGGTGAGGTACCGACCGTTCCTAAAGTCAGACGCAGCCATCATGTTCTTAGGGTCGAACATCTGTTGCGTGAGCTCTGGGACAGTGACGGCACGGAAGGAGTGAGCTCCGCGGCTGGTGAGAGGCGCGAAGCCAACCATGAAGAAGTGCAGACGAGGGAAGGGGACCATGTTGACCGCGAGTTTTCGAAGGTCGGAGTTGAGCTGACCGGGGAATCGCAGACAAGTGGTGACGCCAGACATGACTGCGGAGACAAGGTGGTTCAGGTCACCATAAGAGGGATTCGACAGCTTGAGGGTGCGCATGCAGATGTCATAGAGAGCCTGTACACGTCAGTGCTTGTCAAGACTTCAAACGTGACAGATCATACCTCGTTGTCAATGCAGAAGGTCTCGTCGGAGTTCTCGACCAGCTGATGGACGGAAAGGGTGGCATTGTATGGCTCAACGACAGTATCGGACACCTTGGGGGAGGGGACGACGGAGAAAGTGGCCATCATTCGGTCGGGAAACTCCTCGCGGATCTTCGAGATCAACAGCGTACCCATACCAGCACCGGTACCACCACCGAGCGAGTGGGTGATCTGGAAGCCTTGAAGGCAGTCACAGCTCTCGGCCTCACGTCGGACGACATCAAGAACCTGGTCGACAAGCTCAGCACCCTCGGTGTAGTGGCCCTTGGCCCAGTTGTTTCCTACAGTGATGTGTTACTTGTGTATGCTTCTCAATGGTTTTGACGTGCTGCTCTTACCAGCACCGCTCTGGCCAAAGACGAAATTGTCAGGACGGAAGAGTTGACCGAAAGGACCGGCTCGAACGGCGTCCATGGTACCAGGTTCGAGATCGACGAGGACAGCACGGGGGACATATTTGTTGCCGGATGCCTAGACGAGGTTAATGCATTGATCGATGGAAAGCGGGGGTCGAGGTACCTCATTGAAGTAGACGTTCATGCGCTCAAGCTGAAGGTCTGATGTGCCGTTGTAGCTGATATCCGAGTCAACTTGAAGGTTTGTGCCCCTAGAAGATCTTGTACATACACTCCAGAGCCGTCAAGGCCATGTTCGCCCGAGATAATCTGCCTATCAAGGTGTTAGGATTGAGCGGTCACGCGTCTCTCGCGGTGTGTGCGTACCAGAAGGCAGCACCGATTTGGTTGCCCTGAGATTTTGTCAGCCTTTGAGAGTGATGAGGGCATCGGCTGAAGTAGACTTACACATTGGCCGGTCTGAAGGTGAACCTGTTTGTGATAGACATGTCAGTTGTTGCTCGCTGAATGGTGGGGTCGAGGGCAAGGACACAGGGGTACGCAGGCCATCCGACGCGTGTTGTACTCACGATTTCACGCATCCTGCCTGATTGACACCTGGTTTGAGGATATGATGAGACACACGCAGAGAGAGGGAGATGAGAGCAAAGCTACACCAAAGAAGAGATCTCCAGAAGACGGGATGGAGGTGAGGTGTCGTTGTGGATAGAGACGAGACTTGAGAAATCCGCCGTCAACAAACTTGAACGTTTGGGCAGAGGAAGTGGACCGCCAAGCGGCTAATGAGCATAACGGCGCAAATCAGGCGGTGAAGAAGCCACTAAGTGCCTGTTGTCGCGCTTTCCCGCTTTCGGCTCTGCGGCAACACAAGCGACGCGTGAAGGTCAAAGTCACATCACAACACGAGGCGAGGTCGTACGGAAACATTCATTATCCGGAGTCTTACACATTTGTGCTTTTGTCTATGACAAGTCCGCCATCCTTTATCGCTATGTCCATGCCATAGACACGCTGGGTATCAACCAAGGAAATCCCGGGGACTGCTCAGTCTACAACTCGTTGGAAGGGTATTCAACCTTGGTTGTTGGCAGTGTCTCCTCTTTCATCGACCTCATGCTAACAAATCGCGACAATATGGCGGCCGATCCAGCTTTGTCGTTTGTACCTGAAGCTCGTGCACCTCCGAATGGTTGTTGTCCGACGACAGCACCTTTCCTCATTGTTAGCTCACAAACCGATTACAACCCGGATATGGGGCACTCACCTGTACTCTTGCAATTGATGTAGTAGTTACCAGCCGCATTTCTCAGAGCTTCCTCCGCATATCTGACGGCGGCGCGATCCTGGGCAAATACAGCGCCGGTCAAGCCATACTCGGATGTGCTATCCACCAGCTCACAGGCCTTCTCGAATGAATCTGGGGCTGAGTCGTCGTAGACATAGACCGTCAAGATCGGCCCAAAGAACTCGGTCGTGAAGTTCCGATGACTCGGGTCCTTCGCGACATACACTGTAGGGTGAATGTACCAGCCTTTAGAACTATCGTACTTACCACCAGTGACCAGTTCCAGAGAGCTGTCCTCCTTGGCGGCGTCGATGACACCCGAAAGCTTCTTGAAGCTCGCTTCGTGGATCACCGGGCCAATGAAGTTATCGAATTCCTCCGGCGGCCCTACCTTGAGCTTCTCTGTGGCCTCGACGAGCTTGCTCTTGAACTCGGGCCAAATCGAGGATGGCACGTATAACCGCGAGGTAGCACTGCATTTCTGACCTTGGTACTCGAATGCTCCTCGGACGGTCTGCACGACTGCATTGGTGATGTCGGCACTTTTATGGACTAGATGAAAGTTCTTTCCCCCGGTTTCGCCAACTATCCTCGGATAACCCCTGTATCGCCCCTCAGCGATCCCTTGGCCGATCTGACCATAGAGTTTCCGGAAAACGGCTGTAGACCCGGTGTAGTGCAGAGCGGCAAAGTGCTTGTGGCTGAGAACGGCCTGGGTAACCTCCTCGGCATCGCCCGGTACGAATTGGATGACGCCTGCGGGCAGCCCAGCTTCGGTAAGGATTTGGTGCACCAGATAGTTCGATGCGATGGCGGAGGGACTGGGCTTCCAGATGACCACATTGCCCATCAGAGCCGGAGCACCAGGCAGGTTACCTCCAATAGCTGTAAAATTGAATGGCGAGATGGCATAGACGAAGCCTTCTAGCGGTCGGTATTCAACCCTGTTCCACACGCCCGGGAAATTGTAGGGCGGCTGCTGTGCGTATAGCTCCTCCGCATATCGGACATTGAATCTCAGAAAGTCGATCAGCTCGGCAGCCGCATCGATCTCGGCCTGCCATGCATTCTTTCCCTGCCCCAACATCGTTGCCGCCATGATCTCGTATCTGTATTTCGTGCTGATCAGATCTGCCGCCTTGAGAAAGATGGCAGCGCGGTCGGCGAAGGGGAGAGATTCCCAGGCAGGCTTGGCGGCAAGCGCGGCGTCGATGGCGTTCTTGACATCTGTTGCTGAGGCATTGGAGTATTTGGCAATGGGCGTCGCGTGGGAGGACGGGTTGCTCTGAGTGAGCACGGAGGAGGTTTTGACGGACTTTCCTGACACCACGATGGGGATGTCGAGAGGGGCTTTCTCTTGCAGAGCTCTCACTGCTGCCTCCAGACCCTCTCTTGACTTCCCGCCCTTCTCATAGTGTTGGTTTGGCTCGTTGGAGATGTTGGGTAAGCGAAACGCTGCGAGGGTCGACATCCTGAAGGACGTTGAATGGAAGCCGCGGACAGATCGTGTGGACTTGAGGACACGAGGAAGCGAAGAAGCAGGTTGAGAAAGTGACAACAGCTTCCCGCACGAAGCAGACATTTTCTATGAGGAGGCAACAACCACTCAACACGATTTGACTCCTCCCCTCCTTCCCTCACAGACCACAAGACACGCCCCACGCTGATCTTTATGTGATGAGATGGACTGCTGGCTATCCGCGGTTTGAGGCGGGGCGCGCCTAAGCCCAAGTTCATAGGCATGGAGATGCCCGTCAGAGGAAGGATAGGCGTTGCTTGGTGGTTCTCTATTGGTAGGAAATGCCAAGGAGTGGCGCAAAGGCTGAAGGACACCCCCTAGCTAGCCTTGCATGTATTCAGATACCAGAGGTCACAGGGCGGAGGAGCTTGAGAGATGGGACATTGTTATCCTCGTCCATTGAATGTGCGGAAAAACACGCTTTGTGAAGGCTATGGCTCAAGCTTGGTGTTGACGGCGGACCGCGAACGGACAGCCACCGGTCCTCTCCTTCATCAGCTTCTCCTTCACCAAGTCCATCTCCTTCTGGCCCTTGCCCACAAAGACAGATGGCCCTACATTTTTCACCTCAAATCCCTCCGGATACGTGTCCGGGTCTCCTGGGCGGGATATCCCAAGCAACAGACCGAGCAGTGCGCCCGGTCCCCATCGATTCCACAACGTCGGCTTGACATAGACCGGTGCGGTGTCCCAGACGAGGTAGTACCTCTTGCCCTTCGCGTCAGGTTCCTTGGTGAGCATCTTCTTCGCCATGAATTTGGGTCGAGGTAAGGCCAGATACCTCAAATATAAGCGTCTCAGCTTCATGAAGCCGTCGAAGAACGCTAAATATGATGCCGGTGCCTTCTCAAACATAATGGCCTCCCTCAATCGGTCGTCCAATGGCGCACTGATCACTTTGGTAAGAACACCCCTCATGAAGGGAGGATGTTGGCTGATCAGCAGCTGCCGAGTCTGCACTGCTGTATCGTAGTTCTTCTTGTTCGGGACCATACATCTCTTCTCGTAATCTTTGGCCCAGGTATCCAGCTCGCGGTAGAAGTGTAGGCCGTCTTTCCATCCGGTGGAATAGGACGGGAGCTTCTCGAAAGAGATATCCATACCGTCGCCCATGGCTTTGTGGAAGACACCCATAGCGCAGATTTCCAGCTCGGTCAGCTGTCTCCACTCATACTTGTTGATCCATTCAACCGGCTGGTTGAGGAACAGTGACAGCGTGTAGAGCATGTCGTCGTTGCTGATCTTGCCCTGCTTGATGTAGTGGCCATGCAAGTAATTCAATCTGGCATATGCCTCGATGCACCTGTCGCTGTTGGGCTCGGCGCCATACATATCGCCCAGCAATACTCCAGTGTCGGCGTAACGCTTGGGCACGTTCTTTTCGGTGGACAGCTGAGTTGTCTTGACGAGTAGCTCGCTGATGGTGGGGATGCCATATGTGCGAAACAGGGCAAACTGTAAACCTTTCTCGAACAGAGCTGGGAACTCCGTGTCGCTGACCACTTCGATGATATCGTGGGCCTCCTTCACCGTCATGCCCTCATATGACGGCCGCTCCGGTGTCCCATATTTGTACTTGGCCTGCAATGATTTCAGCTTGCGAAAGCGCAGTGCTGAGCACAGAAACGGGTATGCGACGATCGCAGGGAGCAGATAGTAAGACCAGAACGATGAGAGTCCCGAAAGATGCTGTGTAGAAACAGATGCGAATTTCGAGAAGGATTCGTTTGCAAATGTTGCCATGTTGTCGAGTTCGCGCAGTAATTCCTGCGGCCAAAGCGTCTATTCCGATAGCAGGCACAGTAAGATCGTCACAATGAAGGCGACAAGTCTCGATAGGAGAGAAACAAAGATCCTCCTGGAGTGTAGCACGAGACTGATGAACGACTGCTGAGTCGTGCCGGTGGGGGTCGTCAGCAATTTATCGACAGCACGCAGTGTTCTCGATGTCCTCGCTTATTAACAAGTCTGCAGTCACAGACCGTACCCGTACATAGCTAGGCCGGGCGCCTAAGCCAAGTGCTATTTAGGCTCTATTAGGCTCTTTAGACTCGGGCTTCTAGGGCACCGCACCCAGTCTTAGGCGCCAGCCCATTTCTTTCAAGGCAATGTCATGACCAGTGAACACCAATCGAACTTGAATTGATTCGATTGTGTACGTTCCTGCGCGTAGCTTTCCAACATACCTTATGATTCCGTCCTTCGCAACTCCCACGGGAAATGGGCAAACGTGGCTGTGTACGCAAGGTGGCCATATAGCACGTTTTGCGACTTTATGCATGTCTTGGTCCTGTATGTTGTGCTGCCATTCCCATCCAAGCGCGGCCCGCGGGATCATGCTGACACACTGTCGCCGCTCCATAGGCCGTGCAAGGTGCTGAGCAAGACGATTCCGCAAATCAGAGTCTCACTGGCCTTCTACAAGAAGCTCCCCAGTCGTATCCAGTCTCTTGGATGTCTGCGTCAACACACACGACATCACAACCGAGTCAGCACGTCGATGTCGACACCGTCTGAGGTTTGTGGAAGCAGCTAGACACCGGGATTTAGCCAATCAGAGGATTGAGAATACGTGCACTTCTTCTCCTTCTTAGATGTGCAGAGATTAGGGATTAATGCTCCCAGCCAGGCGGATGCAGCCGACTTATGCATCCGAGAGTGCATGTCTTCTTGAGAAGCGAATAGCAGGCATTCCTGATATCTGGTCGCAGGTTGACTTCCTCTCTGGGTATGTATGCTCCCTCGTGTAATGCATCCTCTCGGGTATACCTTTGCAGTTACATTCACAATGGTCATCCGATGCGCGTCTCGCCAAGTGCAGGACCATGCAGGTCTTCCCCCAAATCACCCAAACTCCAAGCGATGTTTACAACTTCCATGCGAATGTTGTGCCAATAGCCCCCGCCGAGCATGTCATGCTTTCCTCAGTCTGTGTCACTCCATCTTTGCCGTTCCGTTAGCTAGTGCAATTGCGCGAGCGGCCGCTTCGTCAAAGGAGTCTATAATGGGTTTGTCAGTCTGTGCAATCGAGCCTCGTCCATGTGCACTCACCGTATGCGTCCAGCTTGAGACCACTTTCTCGAATGAGCTTCTGGCCCTCAGCCTCGCGCGTACCTCGGATCCGTACCACCACAGGTACTTGCAGGTTGAGGTCTTTGAAGGCCAACAGGATTCCCCGCGCGATCATGTCGCCCAGAGTCAACCCGCCGAAGATATTGACAAAGATACACTTGACTCGAGGATCTGATGTCACGATCCTGAAGCCGGCCTTGATGGTTTCCGAAGTGGCCTTCCCACCCGTGTCCATGAAATTTGCCGGATGACCACCTCGGGCAACCAGTGCGTCGACAGTGTTCATGGCCAACCCGGCGCCATTGACTATCGTACCTAGAGTGCCTTCTCCCGCGAGCTTGACGTATATCATGCCTTCCTTTTCCGCCTCGACTTCCTGGCGGACCTCGCTTTTGATGTCTCTCAGGGCATGGACCTCCGCCTGGCGGCCGGAACTCCGGAAAGCGGCATCGTCGAATCCGAATTTGGCTCTCTGCACTTGCAGACCTCCTTTGTCGTCGACCACAATCTGGGTCTGAACTACAAACGCTTCCTTGGACATGAAGATGTCGACCAACTCAGCGATCAATCTGCGCAAGGCATGTTGACCGCTGCCAGAGACACCCAGGTGCGCTGAGACTATTTCAAGCATGGAATCCGAGAGCGCCTCATCCGTGCCGTACGCGAAGGGGAATTTCTTGGATTTTGCGAATGCTTCTTCGGGATTCGTTGTGGGCGACGCGATGATGCATGGTTGCCGCGCCTCTCGGTCAATTGAGACGGCGATAAATCTCTCGGGAAGTCCTGTAGGTACTTCGACCGTCGGTATGCCTCTCGCATTTAGCATGTCGAACGCTTGCGAGGCTTTGACGTATAAAGTACGCTTCTGTGAGGGGCTTGCTTTTCCTTCTTGCGGCCTCGGTCGTGTCCGCATCGTATGAAAGTCTCTCCTTTGTGATGCACCCGAACTCCAGGGCGTCCGTGGAGTCGATGTCGTCCTCTCGGCCAGTAATTTCTTCATGCCTTCGCCGAGTTTCTCTGGGTGATCGACAACTGTCACACCAGCGTCTTCCAGGATTCTAATCTTCTGGGCTGCAGTCGCTTCCCCAGGGGCTGCCCACGCCCCAGCATGGCCCATGATACGACCAGGCGGCGCCTCGATACCTCCTATGACAGACATGAAAGGCTTCGGGTTTGCTGTCCGCCTATTGTAATCTTTGATCCACTCTGCCGCCCTTAGTTCCGCGCTGCCGCCGACCTCGCCTATCATTATGATGCCTTCGGTGTCCTCGTCTTCTACCAATACTTGGAAAGCTTCGGTGAAGGTGGTCCCTGCAAGAACGTCGCCGCCCATGCTAATCCCATATGTCTGGCCCAATCCTGCTCGTGTCGTAGAAGCAACCGCTTCGTAGCTCAGTGTGCCGGACTTCGCAATGATACCGACTTTGCCTTCGGTGAAGAACGGCAGAGGCTGAAAGCCTAACCGACATCGGCCATGCACGTTAATAATGCCGGGACAGTTTGCGCCCACCAGCCTCGTCTTCGACTGAGTTCGGAGCATTTGATGTATTCTCAAGATATCGTGGACCGGTATGTGTTCGGCGACGGCGACAATTAGGGGAATTTCGTTCTCAATCGCTTCCTCCATAGCCGTGACCGTGCCATTGCCTGGGACGTAGATGGCGCTGGCGTCGGGCTTGAGCTTCTCCACAGCTGCTCTGACAGTGGGCAGCACAGGTAAACCCAGGTGTTCTCCCTCTACTCCAGGCTTGACTCCACCAACAATATTGGTTCCAAACTCCAGCGATTCCTTTGCATTCATTGTTGCTTGGCGCCCAGTAAACCCTTGATACAGCACGCGAGTATGTTTGCCGATTTTGAGGTTGTTGATGGTGTCTGCGTAGCTCGACCGACGCGCCGAAGATGAAAATGGAGCGACATTGCCACATGTGCCATATCTATACAGTATGGGTATCGAAGCTTTCTGGGATCTCAAACCCCGTGGTAAGATGATTCTGGTCATCTTGCCAATTGACCCCCGCAGTCGATTAATGAGACTCCGGCACCAGATACACTAACAAATGACCTTGCGAGCTCGGAAAGCATCAACCAAAATCGCAGAGAGAGCGACAATGAGACTGAACGCGAAGCGACAGGACGCTATGTGGTCTGAGGGGAATATATACAAAGGTTGGGTAAGAGAGTCTAATTTATTGCTCGGTACGATAACCGTTGCAATCGGGTAATGGCCGTGAAGCAGATGAGCAACTCCCGAGGTCGGAGAGACGCCATTGAAGGATGGTTTATCGAGACGCATGTCGTGGCGTTGGGGGCTGGACAGAGGTGTTTTCCGAGACGCTAGAGAGCTTTCGAGACGAAACTGCTCGTAATTTGCGAGATCGGACCCGATGGAGTCGCTGAAAGGCCGAGGAATTATCGAAGTGGTGGGTACAACGAGAAGGGAGACATAAAGCAGCTGAAGTACTTGCACCGTACCACAGCCGCCCACTCTTTCTTCTGTGTCGAATACGGAAGTCTGAGCTCACGGGGACAAGACCAAGCCGGACAGAGTCCAGTCCAGTCTTTGCTGCTCGGCATGGATTGCACCTTTCCTCCCCCATCGTGCCCCTGCAGCAGGCGACACGACACCTGAATGCGGGGATGGTTCGCAGATTCCCCAGCGTTGCAGGCACCAAACTTTAACCGGAGCATTTTCTCTGGTGAAGCCCAGCTGGCATCTGCCGCTTGACTTTACCTGCACCTGCCATTCGTCATCCTGCCTCTCACCCGTTCCTCTCATGCGAGGTGTCTCAGCGTTGGAGCTGCTTGCGGAGCATGGTTTCTCAGGAGCATCGATCATCTTATGACATCGTCGCACGATGATCTGATCCTTCGTTCCTGGATTCTGCTTCAAAAGCCGCCATTGTGATCTCTTTCGATGGTAGTGCGCAGGAATCACTTCAAACTCCTTCGCCCTCGGCATGTCCGCCCAAGCATCAATGGAGTCCAAGATGGCGAGCTTGCACATAGATCTCCCTCCTAGTTCGAAAGCTATGCCTTCCAAAGCGAAAGAGGGCGTGTTGGATTCGTGGGAGGACGATGACGCCGACGAGACGTCAAATACGCAAACACCTGTTGATGGAGTGGAATCTGCACTGAAGCCAGTCAAGTCCTTGGATCCTGCATTGGGACCGCCTCCTCCAACTCCTATCTCACCAGGTGGGCAGGATATCGACTGGTCACCTGCCCAAGTTCTGGGAGGGGGCCGTCCGAGCACGCGACCATACTCTCCGCCTACTCCGTCTACTCCGCAATCAGATTCTGATAGAGATCGAAGGAGACCAGAGAAGACGACGGCTGCCGCAAGTCGAATGATTGCTGCTGGATTAGGCATGAAGGCCCAAAAGAAGACGGAGGAACAAAGGCAGTACGATCGAGCTGTGAGGGAGCAAGAGATGAAACGACGGAACCGAGAAAAGGAGGAAAAGCAGCGTGAAAAGGAAGCTGTTGAAAAGATGAAGGCTGCAGTCTGGGATGGTTGATCTGAGCCTCATGTCAAGTCCGCGGCACCAGATTGAGAAAACATCATGCGCACTTCAATCGCTCTGCCAGGTCAACACGTTTTTCAACGGGCGGGTACAGTGGTGATGATGGAAGTATGATGACTGCTTTGGACGCGTGAGAGATGCTAGTGGCTGGACAGCTTTCTGACGGGAGCCCAGCATGGCATCGAAGATTCAAGGGTGAAGAGGAAGAGTCGAGAGCTGAAAATCAAGTCCAACGACTCGCAGAGTCAATGTTGCACCTTCGGCGTCATGAATTTTGTGAAAGTTGCTGCCACAGAGCGGCTCATATGTAGCTCTACAACCATGGAGGCTAAAGAGATGGGAATATCTCCAGTCTAGCCCTCAGCGGTCTGTAATGTCTCAATTAAATAGCACTGCGTTCAACCTTGGATTGCTGAGCTGGAGATGAAAGTGAAGTAACCAGTACGAGTACAGGAGTGGTGATACCAAGTACCAAGTAGGTACCTAGGCACTGACTCGTACCTATGACGCAGTGCTGTTCAGCTGGCTCAATGCCTGAATGTTGGCCAGTTAAACACTCAACCAATCTGACTTTGAAGGATACCTTGTATCAGTCCTGTACTATTCACAACCTGCACTCTTGTGGAGGATTCTGAGTATACTAAGGTGCATCTGAACGAGGACATAATGGTGAGCTTCATTCTGGCCTGAATACACCGCATTGTCACAGATGCTAACTGTGGCCAAGGGCAAATTAGAAGACGATTTGAAAACAGATCCTCCATGCCACCCTAGGGCAGTGAGTACACTCTTCCACCACTCCGGAAGATATGAAAGCTGATGGACTTCTCTGCCAAGTGTGCCATCCAAGGTGGGTGACAGTCTCCATGCCTCCGAGCAAGCACCGGTTGACGCCACGGTCCAGATTGCCTGCAAAAGCACAACTACAAGGAAGAAAAGTGCCAGTCAGCGGTAGACGCCTTGTACGAGTGCTGCAATGCCTTCTACAGTGACAAGGGCGATGACGCCAGCACGACATCGTGCCCCAAACCGAAGCTACTGAGGTTGAAGATGCAGCAGCGAGGGCAAAGTTAACATGCTCAAAGATGGCCTTGTACATAGCGTTCCCTGAGCATGACTGGTGTCGAGGTTTTCAGCACTTGTGGAAGAATGTAGCAAATCGATTTTTTCTACCTGAGCCATCGTCCCTTTTGCGAGGTCTGGTCAGCTGAACAGCGAATGCCAAAATAACGCTCTGAGGCAATCGTGAGCACGCGAGAGACCCCGTAGGATCTGAACAAACATTGAAGAAGTAATCGTCTGTTCCGAGACTCTAATGACTACCTGTATGACATTGAGGAAAAAGAAGAAGAACAAAGAAGCCGAGAGTACAAAAAGGTGAGGTTGAAGGAATTTTGAAATTTTCTTCACTGCACCAATGCTCCTCCGTAACGTCGCGTCGCGTGCGAAAGCGAGGCAGTATCAGAAAAGTCCGGATCAGCTTGAACTCACCATCCTAATAGGAAGAGTAACACGACTATGGCGCCTGTCACGCGGTCTTCCCTCTATGGAAGGCAGTCTCAGGTGAGTCAGTAACAGCGCGTCTCTTGGAAACCTACTGATATAAATGCAGCTGGACAACAACCTCAGCCCGGAAGAGTCGAACTCGCCAGACGACGAACGCGAGGATCAGCAAATGGCTGATGAGGATGATGAAGAGTCCCTTCACGAAGGTGCGACTGAGAACAACGAATTTCTTTACACTTCACAAGGCGGGATGGAACTCGGGCGACGGGCCGAATCAAGCATGCTGATCGACACAACAGATGCGCAGTCTCCCTTTCGGTCTTCTGCGCAAGAGATGCTTCGTCCTCTGCAAGACACTGCCGAACGAGTAAGCCGACAGGTCGAGGAGTTTGCGAAAGCTCTGGATAGATTCGTCTCTAATCGAGAACCCACGGACAACTCACTCTGGGACGATGCGTTGGTATTGCTGGAACGCTATAGCAAGATCGCAGACATACGAAAAGCCAAAACACCTGCGGGACAGGAACAGGGCGAATTGGACAAGTTGCAGCTCGAATCTGATCTCTGGATTCTGGTTAGGAACCTGCTGTACACCAATTCACCTCGCAACCTCAACGACGTGCAGATTGCCCAAGAATCGAGACTTGCTGGCTTGCACCGTTATTCCACCAACACCGAACTTTGGACTTCGTTTCTAGACTCAGATGCTGTCGCCCAGGAGTACGAAAATATCCTGTCGTGGCTGCAGGAAAGAGCAGCAGCCACATCCTCGCCCATCGAGGATCTTACACGCAGTCTGATGGACAAGTCATCACGTGGTGACGGCATCTGGAGCTCTGGACCCATCTTCACTCAGTCAAAGATCAAGCAGCAGAAGCGCACTCGAGTCTGGTCGTTGCCACTAGAGCCCTCAAACCCAGGCTTGAACCGAACACACGTCTGTGAAAGCGACCAAACCAAGCTTGTTACACAGCTCGACCCCGATGCCCGCACTAGAGAGTCGGCAGCTTTTGAAGACGAAGATGAATACTATGACCAGGCGACCTGGCAGACGTATTGGGAGATGCTGCGCCGAGGACAGAGCAATACCGAAATTCAGTCGTGGTTCGCTGAGCGAAAGATGTTGTGGAAATATGCCTCCCTTTGTGGATGCGGTACTCCCACCAAACAGATGATCGACTCTCCGTGGGTGCGCATCCTGAACTTTGCCACAAACTCGGAATGGTTGGAGCGCTGCCGCATGCTGGCACAGAACCCTGCGGTTGAAGATCACTTCCAGAGAGCTGTGTATGGAATCCTGTGCGGCGACTTCGGCGCCTCCAAGTCTGCAAGCAAGACCATTGAAGACCACCTGTTCTCCATTTTCAATTCTCTCCTGATCCAGAGATATCAGCACTATCTCGAAGCTTTCAGAACCAGATCCTCGGCATCTACCATCTCTGGATACCTGCCTGCAGCACCTTCGACCGAAAAGATCCGACAGTATTTGGCCGTCGTCCAGTCCGATCCATCAGTTAAGGAAGAAATCCACCTCCCGCACAAGCTGGTTGAGTTGGCGTTGATGTCAAAAGATTTTGACAACCTCTTCGTCACAATGGGTCGCGCTGCAGCCCATGTCGCGTACGCGACTGGCCAGGGTTCGCAGCTTATGAAGAAGAACGAGGGCGAAGTGAACGAACTTGCTTCACTGAATGCGCAGGATCAAGACTGTGTACGAGTGGTGGCGCACTTGCAGCTCTTGCTACGATCTCTGGGTATGCTGGAGTCGGCATATGCCCAAAACGAATATGAACTGGAGAACAATATCGCAGCTTACGTTGGGATGCTGGAGAGCTTGGGCAGATGGCTCCTGATACCTCTTTATGCTTCCAAACTGTCCAAGAAGAGAAGCTACCACGTCTTGGGGGACATCTTAATCAATGTGACGGACCGGCGCGAGCGAGACTTGCAAGTCAAGCTCATGAAGCAGTACAACATCAACGTCTCGGAAGTCGCCTACGGTATCTTCTCGCTGGCCAACTTTGCAGACCTTCAAAAGCTCCGTCACTATAGACACGGTCCTATCTCTGCCAAAATCACGATGATGGGAGGCACCGGCAAAACTGCGCAGCACAAGATTCGACCAGGCCTGATGAGTGGCGACGTCCCCGAAGCCGAATTAAGGGCAATTAGGAGCGTCGAATGGATCCGCTATGTTGATGCCGAGAACTGGGGATTAGCTTCTTGGTCTGTCGGCGTGCTGTACAAGGTCTTCCTGCTCGAAGGTAAATTTGTCGCCCTCCGCCAGCTGCTTGAGCGAGTTGGACTGTCTGTGATGTCCCTTGCCGCTGTGGGCATGAACCTACATTTTGCAGACGCGGATCCACCTACCGGCCACATCGAGAGTGAAGTCGACGAGATGGATGAAGATTACGTCAAGCCTATTGGCAGCCCGACTCGCAAGCGGAAGGCAGCCGGCGCCGATGCTGCGTTCGGAAAGGCAAAGACGGATCGCCAAACGCTGGCACATCAGTGCTTGATATGGAAGCAGCTAGAGCAGCTCGTAGCCGCCATCGATGCTTTGGACATTTTCCAGGAAGTGGCGGACGCCCTCGAACAGTGAGTACCTCTGTCTGTCATTGCCTTACGGTGAACTAACTGCAGCCGCACTAGACACAAAACCAACCCGTCCGTAGCGCGCAATTACAGGCGAGATCTTAAGCGAGCTCTTGACGACGTTCGCCAAGCGATGAATCCAGTTCTTGTCGACGACTTCCTCTGCCGGCCGGATGATGAAAATGAAGCAATCGTCCTGGACGATATCCGCAATCACTACATTCCCGAGCTCGTTCTTGCATACAACAGTGCCCTATGGTTTGCAGGCCACTACGTCTCTCGCACTTGGCTCGTTGAATGCATGACTCTGGCCCAGGTCGTCGCTGAGACACCCATGTTAACTGCGGCTTTTGTTGCGAGCGCCAGAATGAAGGAATTGGTCAGGGCGTTTGCGGTCGACAGCCAAGCGCTTCTGCAAGCGACCGAACAAAGTGGTGCAGGTGGTGCAGGGACGGGTGCGGGCCGGGCGAAGAAGATCCGGACCGAGAAAGGAAATGCGGATATCTGGAAGGTCAGCTGGAAGGAAGACTACAAGCCCTTGGATTTGGAGGCGGTGGACTGAGGGCGGAGAGAAGTCTGGGGCTACCACTTCTTGCTTCACATGGCCAGATCCGCGGAGTTTGGATCAGGGATGTGATGCTGAATGTGACGTCCAGTACACCTTCCTCGGTTAGTAACAAAGACTTCATCCCGAGCTCTTGAATTCTGTCCCATCACTCTGGCCCCTTCGATGAGCGCAAATGGACGCTATCAACCGTGCAGTTCGCGAGTCTGCCCAGCAACGACAAGGCTGAAAGAAGCGAGATTGACCATGGCGACGCTGAGATGCCAACAGTTACAGGATTGTAACGCACCACGTGCCAATCCATCCAGAAACACACGACAACCCCGTACTTTCTCCTACTGATATATCCAAGCGGTACTGGAACATCTTGACCTCTTCCCACGATCTCCGGACTCCTTTCCAATGGCTACATACTTGCTTACAGGGTACTATTACTAACCACACCCCTCCAGCGTGATTTTGCTTCCAGGCAAACAAACCCCTCGTGCCTCCCATCCGACCAGCCCGTTCATTCGCTCGCTCACGAACCATGTCCTTGACCGTCGGCTCAGCCATCCTGCCCATCGACATCGGAAGTTCCCCACCCGTACAGAGGGAGGACGACCCGTGAAGCCGCAATTTCGGAAGTTGCTTCAGAAGATTCCTCCTCCTCTAACTCTCAAACCAGCGGTGCTGATTCTGCTATTATTGGAGGATCAGCGCCCAAAACCACCAACATCAACATGTATGTACCTTTGAGGCGACGATCGCCCTCGGCAACGCCCGCTCGACCGAGGATCGTTCTCCAGAGGATGTGTCGCCAGGAGACCATCTGCGTGGCGCTGGCGAGGACGTATGCGAGCGCGACGAAGAAGCGGCCATCGCAAGGCGTATGCAGTCTGCAGGCGGTGCGAGGAGGAGTACATACGACGTCGAGGAGATCGAGGCCGTGGGGAAGACTGGTGCGTTTGTGCAAGTATCATTTCTCCTGGTATGTATGTATGTATGTATGTATGTATGTATGTATGTATGTATGTATGTATGTATGTATGTATGTATGTATATATTGTATCTTAATTTGTGTGGGCGTGCTGTGCTGTGCTTTACTTACGCTTCTTGCATAACGACCGAACAGAGGCGCTGAATACCTCCATATTTGAGTCTAGGTTCATTCCTTATCGGTGTTGAGTGTCTGCTCGATTAAATGAATGACTGGCTGACGCGATACCTACTTGCTGTGCCTTTGCAGGCCATAAGGAAATCAATGACGAGGCCGAAGCCTGGGACGACCACGAGGATAATCGTTATGGCTCTATGGAGAGTCTTGCGGATGTGCCAGATTATACGGACGGGTTCGTCTGGACGTGTTGCGGACAGGAGGGAAGGAAGTGCCGCGCCTTGCACACGGAGGAAACACCGGCCTCATGTGGCGGGGAATAAGGGTGCGAAATGGGATTGAGAGGTGGTACACGGTATAGAGAAGGATGTGTCGGGTTAAGTGAAATATTACTGGCAGAATGCTCGAGTGCTTAAAGAGCATTCTCCAGCGAGTGGTGTCGGCGTGGTGTCCGGGTCTTCAATGACTTTGTCGTATCCTACTTCCGGGTTGCTGAGGGTCATGAGCATGGGGAACTTCGATAAAGGGACTGAATTCGGCTACAAACACCCGTCGCTGGCCTCTCATCCCTGTCTTCCTCTTCGACAGACTCTTTCCAAAAAGGCTGAATGAGTGTACTGCGGTCAATCGGAGCCGTTGAGAACAGCTTGATACGAAACAAGATTAATCAAAGCCAGCAACCCCTTCCGTCACTTTTCGCGAGAATTTCCTGCGTCGTGAGCACTGGTACGCGCTTGCTCGGTGGGACGTAGTTGTCGATGACCTTCCGAATTCATTCTGCGCCACCGCCTTGTTGGTTTCTCTGTATGGGAGACAAGATCGTCAGAAGGTGTGAAACGGATCTGGGTTTGTGAGTGTGACCAAGCGTACAAGGGCGAGAGTCCGCATCACGGCCTGACAATCAGATCCCGAGGGATGCTGCAATGCTACACCTCAATGCAGCACTACCGGATCCCACGGCAAGACCGGTCAGGGAGCATCTCGCCACAAGTAGGCTAGGTCCATCCGCGGCAGAGATGAGTGAGAGCCCTGGCGTAGAGCAACCAGGATGTCCAGCGCGCCGCCGGAGCCGGCGAAGCATCTTGTGCGGTGTAATCAATCTACACTGGTGTAGGAAGCATAGGTATATACACTGCACAAGGCACCCCGTGGGCGACGGCTGCGCGCCCGATGCTTCCTGGTTGCGCCGCGTCAAAGCTCACAGTCGCCTCTGTGGCAGGCGGTACCTATATTTCACGTAAGCAGTATTGTGCGCCTCGCGCTCAAGGCCAGGATGGTAAGAGAGTTTTCGACTTTACCGGTGTAAGCAATTCATGCGTCACATTGAGTCGATCCATGACCTTTTCGGCCGCCGCCCTGCCGCCGTCCAAGCTCACTGCCCCGATGATGGCTTCCACAGTGGTAGCCATGACACTATCGGTCACCTCTGCCGTTCCTGGATTGAGGACGACGCACGCGTCGAGTCCTCTAGCCTTGCCAATGGAGGCCAGGTTAGAATTGCTCGCCGCCTGCTGACGGATTTGGGTCCATTGCCCTATCGCGCGTTGTCAGCACCCGACGAAGAAAGACTGCTTCTCATGGGAACGCATGCCCTTGGAAAGGCCTATGGCAAGCCATTGCCGGCATAGGTGGTCTTGGATGACTATGTCGCCGAAGATTCCTAGCGTGTCGTTCTTTTTGATCGCCAAGATAGAACCCATGTATCGGCAAGAGCCAGAGTAGGCGAAGAGCGCGTCGATCCCATGGCGTTTCTCCGCGAACTCGTAGCCGATAATGCTCTCACATTGCCTCACTTTCTCTGGGACTGCGGCCATCGTTGACAGTGGTTTTCTCAATTGAGCAGCTGGCTCTCAAGGCAAGTAGAAGCTGAAGGGAGGCGAGGATTAGAAGAGGGAAGGAAGGAAAGAGTTTGTTGGAAGCCACGAAGGGCCTCTTGAAATGGTTGGCAGAAGGAGGGGTAACAACACATCATCACCACAGAGCCAGCGAGAATGGTTACACAAACACGAAATATGACGCATTGAGCGGGATGAACACGTTCCAGGTAGCCCTGCCGTAGCAGCCGTCGAAGTGGCCATGCAGGAGCACAACTGTAGCTCGACGAGGTCCTGTCGTTCATGATAGAGAGCAGGACGTAGTTCATCTGAAAGCTTCGAGAAGGGGGAGACCAGATTTTCAACCTGAAGTATCGAAAATCAGGCCGAAGTCAGGCAACAGTCTGCCTCGGATGAGGGCTGAATGAGCCTCGTGTGAGAGCGAAGTGAGTGACGGGAGTGCGCGAAGCTCCCAGGAACAGGTGCACACGGCAACCAACGGACGCGATGGACGTCCCTCCAATTTGAAGTAAATCGCAAACACTCTTATGCATGCGTGTCATGTGCTTACAAGGATCGGAGCGGACCAAATGAGGAAGTGCTCCTGTCTAATGAGACACGGCGTCTTCACCATGAGCTCCGCATTTAATTGCCAGCTTCTCAGGTATTCCCTTGCGCGGTCTTCAGACATCGAGGTCTCTGGGTACGTCCGGAAAAGGCCCTGGCCCCGCTTCACGGTGTCTTTGACTAGGAGAAGTATATTGGTGTGGCGTTCGCAAGGAGTGCACGGAGTGGAAGAATGTCAAATGGAAGGCGGGCGGATTCTGCGGAGAGGGAGTTAGTAATGCAACGACTGTCAGCCTTGCCATTGACGGGGCGATTGGGACCATGATGTAATCCAAAGGGTAAACAACAGTCACCCAGCAGTAAATATCAACGGACGTTGCAGTGCTATGTGAAAGGTATAAGATTAAACCATTGCGCTTGTTTATACGGAGCTCTTCCAAGGCGAAGCCAACTCCGGAGTCTCTATCTTGGGTACCTGCCTATACGTGGCCCCATCAGCTACTCTACAGCACAGCCTCGTCACCAACTTGGGCAATATCCGAGTAAACACTGCCGGCTCCAGACCGCCCCAACCCCAATCTCCTCGCGGACTAGATGGCTGATAGCGCAAAGACGTACGGCTTCACGGCGTTGCCGGCCGATCAGTCGCAAGACAAGCCAAGCACGACCAGTCCTCAGCCCATGGACATCTCATCGCTTCAGCCTCCCAAGACACCGCTCGCCGAACGCGTAACCACTTACGTGAAGTCCAAGCTTGACGCTGATACTTACCGCCACAGCTTGCGGGTGTACACCTGGGGCCTCGCAATCGCGAGGCAGTGTTTTCCCGACTTTGAACTTACGCCAGGCTCGAAACTTGAGGAGACGTGGTACCTGACCGCCATGCTGCACGACATTGGCACCTGCGATGAATTCATTGCGAGGACCCATCTCAGTTACGAATTTTTTGCGGGTCTTCACGCCTTTGATCTTCTGCAGAATCCGTGGGTGACGGGAGGCGAGGGTATCGCACCGCGGGAACAGGCCGAGAGCGTGGTAGAAGCCATCCTCCGGCACCAGGATGTTCAGGATAAGGGCAAGGTCACCCTCATCACCCGTCTGATTCACTGGGGCACTCTCTTGGACAACATTGGTGCTGTGAAGGAGCTGGTGCACCCTGGGACCATTGAGAATGTGGTGCGGGAATATCCTCGGCCAGGTTGGAGTGGCTGCTTCAAAGGGACAGTCGAAAAGGAAAAGAGACTCAAACCTTACGCCATGGTGTCGCGTATCGAGGGCTTCGAGGAGGTTATCGCAAAGAACGGCGCTCCAGGAGGGCTGATGGCCAAGTATGATTGACGGTAATGATGACCTAGAATGCTTGTTGTAGTTTCCCATCAAACCCAGATAGGCGAAATGATTGTATGGGAACATCGCAGTCAGCTGGCTGAGAGTGGCATGTCATGGGCGGAAGACGTGGGTTTTCAGGTAACGCCAGACGGCATTAAGCCAGTCGTCTGGATCGAGACAGCCATCGTTTCTCCCGAGCTGCCTCACTCGCTACATGTCGCAAGCTCATAGGGTGGGCAGGGTCGGACACATGACTGGAATCCCCTGAGCTGGCGGCTTTGCCACCGAGTCATGGGTGCATGGCGCTGCTGAAAGCGAGAAGCTACGACTTTGGCATTTTGGGTTTGCGCTCAGTGCCCAGACCAGCGGCACTTCCTGGGCGTGAGCGTTGTTTGAGTAAACAGATGTCTGCCAATGTACAAGAAGCAAGTGGCGGCCCAGGACAAGAACCACGTGTCGGCGATCGAAGCAAGACCAAGCGTTGACTTGGTCCTGGGCATGCACATCTTCGTTGATCTTGTTTCGTCGAGTTTGCCACTACGACCATAGCCACGGCTCGACAGTCCGAATACGCACAGAAGAGAAAAGCCGTGATCGATCATCTCCGCCTAAGGAAGTGGTCGGAGGTGGGATCGGACTCTTGGGACTTCTACTGGAGTATCGCGTACGGTGTAAGACGCTGGGGCAAATAATGTGACGGAAGCCGATACTGGTATGAGGGTGTCAGCTAGCATGGGCTGGTCCAGGGAGGAATCACTCATCTCGTTCCCGCAAGCCGCAGGCCCAGAATGTTAGGTGACAAGAGAGGCTGCCTGACACCGGATGGAGAAGTTTTAGCATCGTGGCAGTGCAAAAAGGTGACCATCGTTTCGAGCCAAGGGATTGGAGGAGCGGCGCTGTTCTTGCAGCAGAGGCGCGCCGATGAGAGCGGGGACACCTCCAGATGATGAGGATTTTTCGCTGATGGATGTCAGATGCTTTGCCGCCATGCTAAACTGCATGCCGCGCAGTTACAGTGGCTCAAGGCCAGAGGTGTCCATGTGGAAGACGGATATGCCAATTTGATGTGGTCAACACCAGGTACATCAGATCGGCCATTGAAGAGTCCGATGGGCAGTGAGGCAGCGACTCCCGGCCAGTCATAGGCGTCGGAGTGCGAGCTTGGTAACTGGAAAGAGCCTAGCCGCCCAGAGAGCCCGCATTTTAAGGGAGATTTAGGCTTGGATTTAGCTGGCGGGGGCCTGTAAGCGGGCCCGGCTTCCAGATGCATTCGCGACTCACTGGGAAAGTCGACGGTCGACAGCACTCGCTCACTGCACTTCATGTATTCTTCCACCTGCACCATCCGGTAGTCTTGACGTCTCTCTACGAGCAAATGGCCTTGCAGTGTGCCTCGCTCCCTTTCCTTTGTACATACCTCTTCTGACTCCACCGTTAGCCATTCTTCTCTTGTCTCTTCGACCCTACCTATCTAATTGCGAGGCGGAATCCGGACCCGAAGATCATCCCTTTGTTGTACATTATTGCAGATGCGCTTTGGAGCGAACCCAACGCACGAGATTGTTTCCTTTTCTGACACGGGCCCGACACCTCTCGCACGAGCAGACCCATTCTCAGGATCTTCAGCGGCCTGAAGTAAATAATCACTGGAGCGATCCTCGCCTGCCAACGGACATTTGTGTGTATGGCCTCAGTCACAACGCGTTTGTCTGACTGCAAAGCATTTCTGACACCGTCCTTGTACCAGTTTGGTTGGGATAATAACAGCAGCAAACTTAATACCACCATCTACTTCTGCTGCCGGCCGGCCATTCCCTCATCGGACCTCTATGATACGTCTTGAATCTGCGCTTTGGAAACTCGTCATACGCAAGATCGGCTGAAGAAGACTGGCCAGCACGGCAAGATCCAGCCATGTCTTCGCCGACGCCCGGGGAGACAGAAGGTGCAGACGCAGAGTCGCCAAAAGGAACCCAGCAGAGACCACGCGCACCCACGATCAGTATAGACGATTCCGCCGTCAATTCGCCTCAACCCTCCGAAGAACCTTCCAGCGCCGTTTCTGACAAGCCCGCACCATTACCTCGAATTCAGACATCAGGTCTTGACTCTGGTCCTTCCCTGTCCTCTCCTTTCTCCATATCGCCGACGGACGTTCGCTCATCCTCCGATGCCGCGAACCGCGAGTCGCGCCCGACCTCTCCGCACAATGTCTCCTCTCCCAGAGGCCAGTTCCTTGATGGCGCCTCCCAAAACTTCCTTGCCGTTCCCGGGTCAAGGCAACGGGCCACATCGATGGAGTCCCAGAACTCAGCATCCACGTCGGAGTTTGGAGGAGAGACGCAGATAGCATCTACGCTTTCAGCTGCAGAGGACGCGCGGAAAAACTCCTTCAATAATAATGACGATGTGATCAATGACGCAGACGCACTGACGCCGGACCCGGGCACAGAGGACGATTTCAAAGTTGAGAACAACCCCTTCGCCTTTAGCCCTGGTCAACTGAATAAGATGATCAATCCCAAGAACTTGGCCGCTTTCCACGCACTTGGCGGTCTGGGGGGCCTTGAGAAAGGTCTGCGGACAAATCGACACAGCGGCTTGAGCGTCGACGAAGTTGGCTTGGAAGGCACAGTGGATTTCCGAGAAGCGGTCCAGGCTGGCGCCGAGGCCGAGCAACACTATGGGACTGTCAAGCGGACGACCACTGGCATGTCACTGACTGCGGCTGCGAAGACTTCAGACAACTCGTTCGCCGACCGCAAGCGCGTTTTCAAGGATAATCGTCTGCCAGAGAAGAAGGCCAAGACTTTCTGGCAACTTGCCTGGATCGCTTACAACGACAAAGTGCTGATACTGCTGTCTGTGGCGGCTGTCATCTCGCTCGCGCTTGGAATATATCAGACTATCAAACCTGCGCCTTCCGAAGAGCATGAAGCTAAAGTCCAATGGGTCGAGGGTGTCGCTATCATGGTTGCGATTTTTGTGGTGACTTTTGTGGGAGCGCTCAATGACTACCAGAAGGAGCGTCAGTTCGTCAAGTTGAACCGTAAGAAGGAAGAACGCTTTGTCAAGGTCATCCGCTCGGGCAAGTCTCAGGAAATCTCGGTGTACGATGTTTTGGTTGGAGATGTGATGCATCTTGAGCCCGGAGATTTGATTCCTGTGGATGGCGTCTTCATCGACGGCCACAACGTGCGATGTGACGAGTCTTCCGCCACTGGGGAGTCAGACATCATTCGGAAGACAGCGGCCGACGAGGTTTATCACGCCATTGAGAACCACCAAAGCTTGAAGAAAATGGATCCATTCATTCTGTCGGGCGGCAAGGTCTCCGAGGGCGTCGGCACCTTCCTTGTCACTGCGACTGGTGTCAATTCCAGCTACGGCAAAACTTTGATGTCGCTACAGGATGAAGGTCAGACGACTCCACTGCAGATGAAGCTGAACGTTCTTGCCGAGTATATTGCCAAACTGGGTCTGGCTGCCGGTCTACTCTTATTTGTGGTCCTCTTCATCAAATTCTTGGCCGAGCTCAAGAACATAGAAGGAGGCGCGCAAGTCAAAGGCCAGCGCTTCCTCCAAATCTTCATCGTTGCGGTCACCATCATCGTGGTGGCGGTCCCCGAGGGTCTGCCGCTGGCTGTCACGCTAGCCCTTGCGTTTGCAACTACGAGGATGCTGAAGGACAACAATCTCGTGCGTCTGCTGCGCGCTTGCGAAACAATGGGGAATGCCACGACTGTCTGCTCTGACAAGACTGGGACATTGACGCAGAACAAGATGACAGTCGTGGCAGGCACGCTTTCTACCGCTTCCAGATTCGGCGACAAACAGCAGCCGATCAACTCGACGGCTGCTTCAGATGCCAAAATCTCGGGCCCTGCCGAAGTCTCCAATGATGTGTCGGCTGCCGAGTTCTACGCAACGCTCTCCCAAGACACCAAGTCACTGCTCAAGGATTCGATCGTTCTCAACTCCACTGCGTTCGAAGGAGAAGAAGACGGCAAACATGTCTTCATCGGTTCCAAGACCGAGACGGCTCTCCTTCAATTTGTTGTTGATCATCTTCCGGTAGAGTCAATTGGGGAAGAGCGAGCCAATGCTGACATTGCGCAAATGGTTCCCTTCGACTCTGGCCGCAAGTGCATGGCTGTGGTTATCAAGCTTGCTAATGGCAAATATCGCATGCTCGTCAAGGGAGCCTCGGAAATCCTGATCTCGAAATGTACCAGAATTATTAGCGACCCGACCAAGGAGCTGGTAGACTCGCCCATAACATCGGACCAAGTGGAGACTCTGAACGGTATTGTAAGCAATTACGCGTCTCGCTCTCTACGTACTATTGCCTTACTCTACCGAGATTTCAACGAATGGCCACCTCGGGGAGCCACTCTTCCAGAGGATAAGCGACAGGCGGACTTCGACAAGGTATTCAAGGATATGATCTTCCTTGGTGTAGTGGGCATCCAGGATCCGCTGCGCCCAGGTGTCGAGCAAGCAGTTCGGGACTGTCAAATGGCTGGTGTTTTTGTACGAATGGTCACCGGAGACAACATTATGACAGCAAAGGCCATTGCTACCGAATGCGGTATCTTCACGTCTGGCGGAATTGCTATGGAAGGCCCAGTCTTCCGGAAATTGAGTTCAAAGCAGCTGACGCAGGTGATTCCGCGCCTGCAGGTGCTTGCTAGATCAAGTCCGGACGACAAGAAGCTGCTCGTTGGCCACCTCAAGAAGCTCGGAGAAACTGTTGCCGTTACAGGTGATGGTACAAATGACGCCCCCGCCCTCAAAACAGCAGACGTCGGCTTCTCGATGGGTATTGCAGGCACAGAGGTTGCCAAAGAAGCATCGGCCATCATTCTTATGGACGATAACTTTGCCTCGATTGTCAAAGCTATCTCCTGGGGCAGGACTGTCAACGATGCTGTGAAGAAGTTCTTACAGGTAAGCTCCATGCCACCGTCTGACTATTTGTCGTGTCTGACCGAGGGTGCAGTTCCAAATCACGGTCAACATCACTGCAGTTTTCCTAACATTTATCTCCGCCGTGGCCAATGATGAGGAGAACTCTGTGTTGACTGCTGTGCAACTTCTATGGGTCAACTTGATCATGGATACTTTCGCCGCTCTAGCGCTCGCCACCGATCCCCCTTCAGCGTCCATACTGAAACGACGGCCGGAACCAAAATCGGCCCCGCTAATCACATTGACGATGTGGAAGATGATTATCGGACAGTCGATATATCAGCTCGTGGTGACGCTGGTACTGTACTTTGCTGGCAATAGCATTCTGTCTTATCAAACTCCAGGCGAACAAGACCGGCTTCACAGCACGATCTTCAACACGTTTGTTTGGATGCAGATTTTCAACCAATACAATTCGCGACGGTTGGACAATAAATTCAACATCTTCGAGGGTGTCTTGCGCAACTACTGGTTTATCGGAATCCAGTTCCTCATCGTCGGAGGACAAATCTTGATCATGTTCGTTGGAGGACAGGCCTTCTCGATTAACCGCATCAATGGGCCGCAGTGGGGATACTCGCTCGTGTTGGGTGCGCTCTCGGTACCTATGGCAGTCATAATACGATTGATACCGGACGAGTTGTTTGCGAGATTGATACCACCTATGCCTAGAAGAAAGAAGCGTGGTCCGGAATTTGTGCTCGAAGACGACGAGAACGAGAAAGTGCACTGGAATCCAGCGCTGGAAGACATTCGAGAAGAGCTGCAATTCTTGAAGAGGATCCGAGGCGGGCGCATCTCAGAGCTGGCGTACAAGCTGCAACATCCGAAAGACGCATTTCTACCACGATCTCGCAGTCCATCTCGGTCCCGCTCGAATAGCGAGTTGCCGCAGACCCCAGATGGGGAACAAGCTGTGGTGGATACGTTGACAGGATCACCGTCTACTCCGGAGAAGACCAAGCGACGGGCTCGAGCAAGCTCGAATTCGGTCTTCGGTCCCGCTACAGCCATGGCAGGCATCATCGCAGGCAGCGTTGCTGGAGGATGGTCACCGATAGAACGACGGCCAGAAGAACAGGAAACAGTTCGGTTCACGCGATCTCGATCGCACTCCGGTGTTGAAGGAACACCTGGAATGGAGATCCATCCTGCAACGCCAGCAGAAGACCCTGTCTTTGCACGAACAGCTCCCAAATCTGGAGTTCCTCCTAGCCAGGATCCAGAACTCGCGCCTCACTTCGACCATGCACCACCGCACAGTCCTTCTGCTCGATCGAAAGGTTCACATTCACGAAGTCCTTCTTCTGCTGTTTGAGCGCAAGGATACACCCGTTGCTTTTTTCAGCGAAATTCGAACGTCAGGATCATGCCGCTGTCCTCGTGGTGGTGGCTCTCCGTATTTGCATTGTTTCCGAACAGCACCGGCGCCGACGCCGCCAGCAGCTGCCGAGCTCAAGCGACTCTTTACGGATCCCCTAGCTATGTGCCACACCATCGCTCTAATCAGTCAGCATCAACGAAAGGTATTTGGCGCTGGAGGCCGAGTGGAATAAGGGCTGTTTGCACATGAAGGTTGCATTGCACAATAACGCGATGCGGGTCGCCCGCACGGTCGTCAAGATCGGCTGCAATTTGAACTAGGCGACTGAAAATGCGTATCGAGCTCAGGCAAATACGGGATACGAGGTACGAGAGCCTCGGAGCAGCCAGGCTGAGACAAGGATACAACATCAGAACAGCAGTGGATCATGTACCTCCCTGTCCTGTCCACACAAGCACTGATCCCCCTGTATTTCCCTAGCAATAAACAGTAATAGGCATGCTGAGAAACAATAGCGCAGCATTGAGCACACTTGGCTTTCTTTGAGCCTTTTCCCAGGGGCTGATTAATGGTGGTGATGGGGGTTCCAGGGGCTTCTGAGGCCCCGAGGCTGGCCCGTGAGGCTGTGAGCCGAGGTACGCGCCCTGGGCCAATCGCCGCCTCCAACTGACGCCGAAGATCGACGCCCAGGCCAATAATTTTTGCGCTCCGGAATCGATCCAGCCACATCGCAGTGTTGTTGAGGGCCGAGTTTCGCACTTCGCTACGTCGTATCCGGCCGGCCTTCTGGCGGGCGGATATCTAAGCCTTTGCCCATCATGGCTTCATCAGGGCCGTCAACAATACATAAAGTCTTCTTCTTCGCGGCTCGGCCAAGATTTTCTCTGACTCGGAGAGCGATTACCGCTGCTGGTACCGATTGCGCTGGTTGCTCGTTTGCGTCTACACCTGTGCCATCCACAATCGCTCACAGGCCGATTCGCACTGCCACTGGGCCATTCTCGTTGTCGGGGGTATCATCTGCTCGCGGGAAGGCGACAAGGTTTTCAAGAACCCTGAACAGGGCTGGTGTGAATCCGTATTCTACAGGTGAGTCAAGTCTGACTGATTGTGCGGCTCAACCGCGGACTGACGTGAGCTCTCAGTCGTTGTACACAACAAGGGACAAGCGCGAGTACGCCGGACGATCAGCTTCCTCGTCATCAGCACGCTCTCTTTTGCTGTCGGCACCTATCTGGCGATCAACTACTCCTCCCCGATCCTCCACCCTCTCATAATGGGGTCAATACCCTCCGACGCTGAAACCCTGACGCTCTACACGCCCGACAATGACTTTGCACGGGAAGTTGACGAGCATATCAGAAATTGTTCCCTGGCACGGTCATTACGATCGAATCCAGACTTCGTCGAGTCAAGACCGCACCTCAAAATTCCCGATGAAGTGAAACAGCACAATCTGACGGCGGGCACGTTGGCCGGCCCCGGCATGATTGTGGTGCCGCCGTACTATTTCAACGAGAAGGGCGGGAAATCTATGGTCCAGATATTCTACGTCGGCACCGACGTGTCGGGGCATCCAGGAATTGTGCATGGCGGGTTCCTGGCTACCATGCTTGACGAGGGCCTTGCGCGATGTGCTTTCCCTGCTATGCCGAACAAGGTCGGCGTGACAGCCAATCTAAACATCAATTACCTGAAGCCCACAATGGCAGGACAGTTTCTGGTTCTGCGAGCGACAACGACAAAAGTTGAGGGTCGCAAGGCGTGGGCAGAGGGCTGGATCGAGAGTTTGGAGGTTGCCGAAGGTGAGGAGCCTGTGAAATTGGTCGAGGCCAGTGCTCTGTTTGTTGAGCCAAAGCATGCCAAGGTACGTCTCGAGATCTTGTGGGAGCGGTCGAATTGCCAACTGACACTAAATCGCAGGTGTTGAAGTCCCTCTACAGAGTGGCGTCGTAACAATCCACGTGTCCCATTTCCAATCGTCGTCGTGTTCGTGAGCGTTCAAATGGAGTTTGCAAGAGGTGTTTACAAAGACGATAGACCTTGCAGGCAGTGTATATAATGGTGTTCCGATAAGATCGGGTGGTCAACTGCGAAATACCCGTGTGGGACGATCCCGGGTCGAGTTCTATGTGGCATGTATTCCCATCAACGAGGCGATGGCCAATTGAGAGCCCATTTGTCTGTATTGAGTGTAATGGTCGAACTGTTGACGCAACACGTGCATGTTTCTCGACTTATGTGCTGTCCAAAAGTAAACAGAATCCACGGCATCTTGCTCCACTACCGCTCTCACGATGCTGAAAAGCCTTGAGGACTGTCGTGATTCAATGGCCTCATGTCGCAAATCCTCACGAGTCGGGATGGCAACCAGCGAGTCGGCATGTTGCCGCTCCGGACTCGTGCTGAGCAGGCTTCGAGCAAGGCCCACAGATAATTAGTGTTTCAAATCGTCACGAGTCGAGAGGGAGAAAATGAAGACTCCTGCTCTTAGTTGCCATATCGGGCACATATCAGCAACGTTGCGGCGACTTGGCGCGAGGTCCACTGGACACTCGAAGTCCGGTTACTATTGCACCATTTCTATTCGTCCACGTTCAATATCAAACTCGAGTGTGGCAGGGTAGGAAGAGGCCGACCCCACCGCTGGCGGACCCTCGACGGCATTTGCATTGTGCAGGTTTGCAGTGGCATGATCACAGATAATCCGTCGAGATCACGTCAAGAACACGCCTGCAGTCCTCGTCCCGAGAACCCCGTGTTCGCTTCCGCTCAGCTGCTGACTTCCCCGCTTCGAAGTCTTGTGAGAGGGACATGTGATCACGAAAAAGTTGTGAGCCTCAATTTCCCCGTGGCAAGCTTTTTCAAGGTACGAGTCCTCGGGTACTGGATGATGGGTAGGTGTCGAGGCTCAGTTCGCTGCCGTCAATTGGCTCGGTGGCGCCTCCAGTCGAGTGTTTCTCGAACCATCTAACATCGATGGGTCTCAGGATCCTCACGTCTCATCGAGAAGCAAATCACATTGCGTCTAAAGCTTATTGTGTCGTGCATCCGTCGAAACCGAGGGCTCCAAATCAATCGCTTGAGGGTCTTCGCTGAGCGTTGCCCGAACTGCGTGTTCCGTCTTCGCTGGGGCTAGCCTAATATGGCAAAGCCGAGGAACAGCTCCAACCCTTGCTCCGGTGCTCCCAGCCAATGGTGAGCATTGCAATAAATCCATCAGTGCCTAGACGCCGATTTCCGGCGGGGGCTTATGCTCTAGTCAGTTTCGGGACATGCAGAGCGAGGGAAAAGTACCTGCCCTGGGGAACATGTTTATGAGGGGCACCTTTCACTTCCATTTCACCCGACTCTCATGGCTCTTTATAAGGCGCGGGGTAATCCTCTTGTCTATCGTCTCTTCTCTTGCTCTCTCTCACCTCATCCTCTTCGATCTTTCTCCTCGTCAATTCAGAAACGAACCGCAGATATGTCCTCAGGTCCGGCTCAGTGCCCCATTCGGGAGGCCAATATCGGTGGCGGTGGTACTCGCAACCGTGACTGGTGGGCAAATGACCTGCAAACAACCATCCTACGACAACACCAACCCCTCTCGAATCCTCTGGGCAAGGATTTCGACTATGCCGCAGCCTTCAAGAGCTTGGACTATGAGGGCCTCAAGAAAGACCTCCACAAGTTGATGACCGACTCACAGGACTGGTGGCCCGCCGACTTCGGTCACTATGGTGGTCTCTTCGTCCGCATGGCCTGGCACAGTGCTGGTACGTACCGTGTCTCGGATGGCCGCGGCGGCGGTGGCCAGGGTCAGCAACGGTTCGCCCCCCTCAACAGCTGGCCCGACAACGTCAGTCTGGACAAGGCCCGCCGCCTGCTCTGGCCCATCAAGCAGAAGTACGGCGACAAGATCTCGTGGGCCGATCTGATGCTCCTCACCGGTAACGTCGCCCTCGAATCCATGGGCGTCAAGACCTTCGGCTTCGCAGGTGGCCGCCCAGATACCTGGGAGGCTGACGAGTCTGTCTACTGGGGTGGCGAGACTACTTGGTTGGGCAACGACGTCCGCTACTCACAAGGACACAAGGGTATCGAAGGCAAAGGAGTCGTCGACTCTGACGAGCACAAGAGGGACTACAAGGACATCCACACTCGAGACCTCGAGGAACCGCTGGCCGCTGCTCATATGGGTCTGATCTACGTGAACCCAGAAGGCCCCGACGGTGTCCCCGACCCGGTCGCCTCAGGCAGAGATATCCGCACCACATTCGGACGTATGGCCATGAACGATGAGGAGACCGTTGCCTTGATTGCCGGTGGTCACGCTTTCGGCAAGACCCACGGTGCTGGCCCCTCCGAGAACATTGGCAAGGAACCAGAAGACGCTCCTCTCGAGCAACAAGGCCTCGGCTGGCAAAACAAGCTCGGCCGTGGCAACGGCCCTGATACCATCACCAGTGGCTTGGAAGTCATCTGGACCGCAACACCCACCAAATGGAGCAACAAGTACCTCGAGTACCTCTTCAAGTACGAATGGGAGCTCACAAAGAGCCCTGCCGGTGCCAACCAGTGGGTTGCCAAGACGAACGACGAGTTCATCCCTGATGCCTACGACCCCAACAAGAAGCACAAGCCGAGGATGTTGACATCCGACCTTGCTCTTCGCTTCGACCCCGCCTTCGAGAAGATCTCGCGCCGCTTCCTCGAACACCCAGAGGAGCTCCACGACGCTTTCTCTCGCGCCTGGTTCAAGCTTCTGCACCGTGACATGGGCCCTCGATCTCGCTGGCTCGGTCCTGAAATTCCATCCGAGGTGTTGATCTGGGAAGACCCACTTCCGCCGCAGACCGGTCCCGTCATCGACGACAAGGATGTCGCGGATTTGAAGCAAAAGATCCTGGCTACCGGCATCCAATCCCAAGAACTCATTACTACTGCGTGGGCGTCGGCTGCGACATTCCGTGGCAGTGACAAGCGTGGCGGCGCCAATGGTGCTCGCATCCGTCTCGAACCCCAGAAAAAGTGGAAAGTCAACAATCCTCAACAGTTGGCTCAGGTTTTGGGCGCCCTGGAGAAGGTCCAGTCAGAGTTCAACAGCTCGGCAAGTGGCGGCAAGAAGGTGTCGCTGGCAGATCTCATCGTGCTGGCCGGTACTGCGGCAGTGGAGAAGGCCGCTGGCATCCCCGTGGCCTTCACACCTGGCCGCACCGATGCCACGCAAGAGCAAACTGACATTCAGTCATTTGAGCACCTGGAGCCTGTTGTCGATGGCTTCCGCAACTACGGCCATGGAACGTCCCGTGTGCGAACAGAACAATTCCTCCTCGACAAGGCTCAGTTGCTCAACCTCTCGGTACCTGAGATGGTTGTGCTGATCGGTGGTCTCCGCGTGCTTAATGCCAACTGGGATGGCTCCTCACACGGCGTCTTCACCACGACTCCTGGCAAGCTGACTCCCGACTTCTTCACCAATCTCCTCGACATGGGCACTGCATGGAAGGCCACCAGCAGTGACCAAGAACTGTACGAGGGCACCGACCGGAAGTCTGGCCAAAAGAAGTGGACTGCTACTCGTCACGACCTCGTCCTCGGATCTCACGCCGAGCTGCGCGCCGTTGCCGAGGTGTACGCTGAAGCTGGCAACGAGGAAAAGTTCAAGAAGGACTTTGCCGCTGCCTGGACCAAGGTGATGGACTTGGACCGATTTGATGTGGCCTCTAACAAAGACCCCGCCAAGGCTCGCCTGTGAAGGGTGCTGGCGTCTACATTTAAAATGATATAACGTGATATTCCGAGCCAATACTTAGTCGATCTCACCGTCAGGAGGAGTTTGGGGGGTTCGTATCCAAGTCGCCACGGGTGAGCAAGCTCGATGAAATGCAACCACAACTACATAGCAATTAAGAGATTTATCTCCAATCCAGAAATGTGTTCATTGTCCTCGCATGATCTAGACCGAGACTGACGGAGTAGTCTTGCGGGTTATTGACTGACCTGGGGGGTCATGATCGGATCCCCAACACCGTTCTGTTTTAGACTGCGCACTGCCGTCTTACGGTCGTGACACCCGGATGGAATTCCGGTAAAGGTAGGGAAGACAGTGCTCGTAGGAGATCTGCGATGGAATTAGAAGAAAGCGACGGGCGCGACGAGCGTGTCGATTAATTAGGCTCCACCGAAAGCGAATGACGCAGCACCACAAGCTCGCCGCTGGTGCCGTGGTGGCAGCCAGAGCTCCAGCTTCCATGTCCCACTAAATTGTTTACCCGGAGCGTCTGCAGGTGTCTCGACGACGCCTTCGATTGACACGTTCTGTGCCAGGGAGCCCTAAGATCGAGGTCCCTTTTGTGTCTTATGCTCTCACGTTCCTCTCTGCCTTGAGTTCTTTCCCAATCTCTAGTCCCATTGAGCGTCGTCCGTCCGTCCGTCCCCCCCTCCCACCACCAACCCACACCATGTCTACTACAAAGTACCTCTTCGTGTCGGTCCCGTCGAGCATAACGCCGTCGGGCCACAAAGACGACGCCCTCGCCGCGCTACAGAAAGCCGCGAACCCTTCCAACGGCAGCGTGCTCCCCCTCGCGGTGCCCGAGTTCAAGATCGGAACCCTCGATGCGTTACTACAGCAGTCGGACGAGCTGGCCAAGCTGGGAGGCCTGTGTGCCAGCGTGGTGAGCAAGGTCGGGGACACGCTGAAGAACGTGCTGGACGGGGACGAGGAAAAGATCGCCATGCACAAGACGGTCAATGATAGTACGTTTTTCTTCTGCAGGTGGTCACGAGCAGGGAGGGAGGACAAGGACAAGGAACACCAATGCTGACTCTGGGGGTTGCGATAGAACCGCTCGAACAGTATCTCCGCAGCTTCTCGTGGAACAAAGTCAAATACCGCGCCGATAGACCGCTGGCCGAACTGATTGATCTGCTACAAAAGGTATGTTGCTGCCGTATATGTCAGAACATATGCTCCCGTTCCCAGGCAAGGTGTGCGGGATGCTGTTGTCGTTGCTGTTGACTGACTCGGGCGCACGTTGTGAACAGGAAGCCAATTCAATAGACAACGACGTGCGGTCCAAATACAACCAGTACAACTCGCTGCGCACGCAGCTCCAGACCCTGACGCGCCGGCAGCAGGGGAACCTGTCGACCAAGTCGCTGCTCTCGGTGGTGCAGCCGTCGATCCTGGTGCAGAACCAACAGTCGGAGCACCTGGAGACGCACCTCGTGGCCGTGCCCAACGGCAATGTCAAGGAGTTTATGCGCAGTTACGAGACGCTGGCCCCGATGGTGGTGCCGCGGTCGGCGCAGTTCGTCGCCCAAGACGACGAGTACAGCTTGTACGCGGTCACGACGTTCAAGAAACACTCGGCCGAGTTCCTCCACAAGGTCCGCGAGAGGAAGTGGGTGCCCCGGGACTACAAGTCCAAGGAGGGCGGCAAAGAAGAGGAGGAACGCGAGTTGAAAAAGACAGAGGCCGAGGAGAAGAGAGTCTGGGGTGAGGCCCTGAGACTCGGCCGCACCGGCTGGTCCGAGGCCGTCATGTGTCTGGTCCATGTCGTCGTGTTGAGGGTCTTTGTCGAGACCGTGTTGCGGTACGGCTTGCCGCTGGACTTTGTCGCTGTTTTGATCAAGGTGAGTTATACGTTCTACCTCCACTCCCGCGGGTGTGTGTGTGTATACAACACGCGACTACCCCCGTCCGAATGCTAACGCGCGTACTACGGTATAGACGGATGGCAAGCGCGAGAAGAACGTCCGCAAGGGTCTCGACAACGAGTATTCGTACCTGGCCGGCAATGCGTTCGGGCGAGATAAGAAGGGCCGGGTGATGAAGGACGAGGGCATGGGCCAGCAAGATATGGTCGCTGGAGGGGGTGAGCAGGGGGAATACTCGGCCTACGTGTGTTATGACATTGAAGTTGATTGAGGTTGAGCTTGACAGGCAAGACGGGAGGCCAGAGCATAGGGAGGGGAGATGTCGGAGGTGAAGGTAGGAATGGACTACTTCCTTTACGAACATCACAATTAGAGCCCTGAGCGTGAAGCAGCGTGCCATGCTGTGCTATGCTATGGTATGCATGATATGTGACTATACCGTAGATACGGTACCCGCCATCCACCCGTCGCTCGCATCAAGCGACACCTCACCACAGTACTTCGTGCCCTTTTCGTTTCTCGCTGAAGTGGACATTGCCCACGACGCCCAAGAACGAACAGACGCATGCACGCACGCATGCATGTTACAGTACCGTAATGCTGTCAACTCTCATGTAGTATATATTGCATCGCCATGGCGAACGATGGACAAAAAGCCATGTTCGTCGACTCGCACGCTCTCCACGCTCTCCACGCTCGCTCCTCTCCCCCAAGCCAGACCTTGTCTGAGAAGTTTTCGGCCCTGCTGACTGAAGAGGCCTGAGACCCGAGAGCCCTCCCTGCCTACCCATCGTCTGGATGTGTGCTACAGTATGTTCTGGTCTGTTCTGATCTGCTCTATTCTGCCCTACTATATATATTTCCTTCCCTCTTCATCATTTCGAGCCGCGGTCCATCAAGAGAGAGCGATCGATTCCTCCACGACCCTTCGACAGATGTAAGGACCTAACTGTCTCGTCCTCGTATACCTACTTCCTGTGGCTTTCGCAGTAGCTACACTGCCTACTCGGTACCTAGGTCGTACATTTGGCGTTTGAAAACTCGGATCCGGAGAAGCATGGACGGAGTTATGGATGGACGGATGGACGTGCAGACGAGCATCCGTGCATCCGTGAGTATGTAGAGTTGATGGTTGGAGAAATACCTGCTCCGTAGCAGATTGGATCGTCGCTGAGCTCTAGCTGCCCTTTCTCTCCAAAGCCAGGGATGTTCGTTCCACGGATACTTGTACTTTGGTTGATATTGGCGTAGTGTGGCGTGGGTATAGAGCAGCACTCGAGAATCAACCACGGAGATGGAATCATGTATGCATAATCAATGCAATTCCGGTGGTGGAGTGGATGCAGTGGATGCAGTGGATGGACGAGATGCTCTCGAAGCTTCATATGGTGGCACTTCGGCTTCAAGATGACCGTCCGTATTGACGTGGGCTTGAAGTCGGTTTCCACTTCTCGCTGGGACGTGGGTACAGGCATTGTCGGTTGTTATTCGCCTGGTTGTCGGTTATGGGCCACGTCTCTCTCTGTCGGCGCCATCGACGCGTTCTGCGCATAGAGGTCCACGTCGCGACGCGCTTGTGCATATCATTGAGTCTGGCTTTGAGCCTGGCGCTGCCCGTCGTATAGCCCTGAGTAGTATCCCGCCCAGTAATACGCCATCTTGATGTTTTCGAGCGTTTGGTCCTGAGCCGCCGATTTAGGGGGACCTTCACGCCGGTCAGCACGTAGCATGTAGAAGGAGGGAGGCAAGAAGGACTCGATTCTCCATGAACCACCAGGATGTAAATACCTTGCTTACCTTTTTCGTCCGCTACGTTATCAGTAGCCGCTGGATGAAGACTCATATCCGCATGACCTGGTGGTTGGCCTGGGCCTATCATCGGAGCAGTAGCGGTGGCACCGACATTCAGCTTTGTGGCGAATGGCCCCCGGCGTGCGTTTGCGGCAACGGTCTCATCCTCCTCCTCTACCAGTTCGCCTTCTTCGGCCTCGTCGTCGCCAACCCCATCTGCAGTCTCAGCTCGAGTCACGGCCTCATCAGTCCCCTTCATACGGCCATTTATTCCGTGGGCAGCGGCAGTTGTGGGAGCGCCATCTTCAGAGTGACTAGACTTCGACGCCGCGCTTGTCTGCTGATCGTCGCCATCGTCGAGTTCACCCGCTTCAGCTTTCCGGAGGATCTCCTCCACGTCTTCCCCTCGCGCGTGAATACTATGATAGTATTCGTATTCGGCGAGGGCGTCGTTCCAGGACCGAATGAGGGCCGAGTCGTCCCAGATTTCCGCCTGGGTTAGCGTGCGTGTGGCGGTGGTGGTGGCGGCGGCGGTCTTTTGTCTTTTTCTCTTGGAAGGCATTGGCCGTGATGGTGACTGACGGGCTGTATTGCTGATCACAGAACCTGAGATGGTGGTGTGGCGACGCTGGGAGATGGCGCCTTAATATTATTGCAGAGTTGTTATGGTTGTGCTTGGGTGGGATTCTGAAACGGAGAAAGGCCGAAGACCGCTGTAGGTTACGGACAACTCGGTTTCCCCTGCTGTAGATTCAGTTGACCGGGAGGGCATGTGACAGCAGGGCGTGCATGGGCTCTGAACGAGCTTAGACAGATGTTGCGGTACGTGGGAAATCGATTAGACTGCGAAGAGAGACGACTTCGACTGTAAGCTTCAGTCCCAGTAGGTGAAGCACGGATGAATACAGCCTAGTCACCCACTAGTGGTTACGACCAGTTAATACATATCGCCATGAGGCTCTACATTAAACAATGGGTATTGTATACGGAGTACCTATATATATAAATATATATATTATTGTTCTTTTACCGAGAGTAATGACGGAATTCGGTCATGTCTCACACGAGCTGAACGTGCAGAGACTTTCGGTCGTGCACGCTAAAAATACTACCGTAGTTAGCCTCGTACTATCACCACTAGCACCTAAGCAGGTGACTAGTTAATTACTCTAGTACTAGCAGCTAAGGAACATAAGGAACATAGTGAGTGAGGAGGCAACCCGCGGCAACGTTCGTGTCTCTCTTATACCTCAAGTCCCGTGCTGCTGAAGGTGAAGACCTCATGCCGACCCCGACTCTTGGACACTCGAACTGGGGTAGGATCTGGAACGCCCTCATAGCTTCTTGCCATGGACTCTTATGGGAACGAGGACCAGCTACAAATCGGTGGTGGGGGATTGGCAGTACCTCTGTGACTTGGGTGTCGTGAGTAACATTTTGTAGTACACTTCGACGCGGGCAGTAGACCATGGTGTCCTATGTAGTCATTCCAGTCCACTAACCACGGCTACTATCCCTACTGCATCCGATGTGTTGGATGAGATCGATTCATCAGTTAATTGCGGCATGCCGTTTTTCTCTCCCTCGCCGAACTGAGCCGTGCTGGGCCCAAGGGAGCGCGGGGAATCAGTCTTGTTCCGCCAACGCATGCATACTGTACTCGCTGGGCGGTCGTCCATACTTAATGCAGTACATACATATCCTCCGGTTTTTGTTTCGTGGACAGTCAGCGGTACATCCACGTCGGTACCTTACTACCACAGACTCACAAGGCGGACCTTCCATACCCCACTACTAACACGACTCCTCTACTACTACCGTTACTACTACCGTTACTACTATTGTACTATCCTCTACTACCTCTGTCACTACTCCTAGTACTATTACCATCACGTACTTCCAAGATGCCTTCACCAATGCCTTCGAATCCCGAGCGCTGTCACCTCCCCCACCGCACGTGGACCCCTCTAGACAGCATCTACCTCTGGACCACCCTGCTTCTGGCCGTGCCATTCATGTTGATCGATATGCTCATCGACATGTACATATTATCCATCCCTGGAGGCTGGAAGCGGCGGCGCGGACGCACCCCGTCTCGCCTGTCTGCCACAGGTACTCGTACCGCGTCCGCATTTGCATCCATGGAATGATGATGTCTTGGCTTTGATCAAGGGGATTTCATTTCATTTCATTTCATTACCCTTTTGACGCCGGACTCGGGCTCAAGCTCGAACTCGGATTGTTGCATCCAACGCGCTCAGATCAGACCGGATCAGAAAAGATCACCCCCCTTCGTACTCTCTATCTAACCCCGGACGTCGGTCGTATGAACATCCGTCAATCAGTACCAGATCCTACGGCGCATGCTTGCATGCATGGCTGTCTTCGGGCGACTCCCTTCGATCACCACTTGGAAATCAATCGGCACGCCTCCTGTACTGGTCCATCGTCCATGATGTATCAACGACACTACATTGCGACTCTTACAACAACCCGCGACCACTCAAACACAATGGCTGACATGTAATTAATCCAAGGCCAGTAGAGCCAAGTTTGACAACTAAATGGGGTATCTATATTCAAGAAGAAGAAAAAGGGTCGAAAACTGCTGCTCGTCTCGCTAATCAACAAAGAACCCAGCTGCATAGCCTCCTCGCTTCAAGTACACGGTTTTGCCCGAATAGCGGTGGTCGTACAGGGTGAAACAAATGGTACCGTCTTCAGCTCAGCTCGGCCATGCCCGGAAAAAGAATAGTTTCTTCTTCGACAAAGGTCCCCGTCGTCCCAAATGCCCAAGCACCAAATTCCTACAGCACCATGGTGGCACTGAAAGCGGTGAAATAGGAAGACAATCGTTTTGAAGCGAGTGGTGATGCTGATTGTTGAGAGCCCAAACCCAATGTGATGCTCGCTTGCTGTGTAAATGCTGTCAAAAAAGAAAGAACCACTTCAAAATGCTCGGAAGATGTGTGGGCCAGCAGACATCATCCTGGAATGTCGTTCGGATCCTCTGAATCCAGGGCTGTGAACGGAAGTGCTCAGAAGAGACCCCCGAGGAAACTCCTCCTCTTGCTGTCGTTTCGGCCGCCCAATGCAGGGCGGCCATCCCACGTCTTGACCGGCGCTTCGTCGTATCCGTAGCCCCGATCGTCGGTCACGTCGCGCTCTTTTCGTCGTCTTCTCTCGCGTCGATCGCGCTCGTCGCTGCCGCCACTCGCCGACTTGCCTTCTCCGCGCCGTAAGCTCTTTCTTCGAGCACGATATTCTTCAATCTCGGCTTCGGTCATGCCGGCGTACTTGTCGCGGTGACGACTGCTGCGTTTGTGCTCATCGTCATCCACTGCGGCTCGTGGCTTCTCTCCGCTTGGATCCAGTACCGTGCCTTCGACGGGCGGGATCTCCGGTGGCTCGTCCGCCTGGGAGTTGACCCATGAGCTGGTTTTGTTAGCTGGCGGCGCGATTCCACGGCCGCTGCCGCTCCGCGACTCGTGATACTCTTCGACGAGCACGCTCGACTTCTTGCGGCTTGATCTGTACGGGTCGTCCTTGACTTTTCGGCTCTCCTTTCGTCTTCTCCGTTCGTCTTCCGCCGCATAGTACGACCGGCGGCGATCTTCTTTTGCAACGTCGTGCGTGACACCTTGCTCAGCCTCCAGTTGAGCACGCAACCGCCTTCTTTCCTCCCGCTTGCGATCCGCCTCCGCTTGAGCGTCTGTCTCTTCTTGTGCAATCCGCGCTTCTCGCGCAGCACGTCTAGCTCTCTTTTCTTCCCGTCGTCGTTCCTCTTCCAGCTGCTCTCGTTTCTCACGCTCGCGTGCTTTTCGCTGACGGGCCTCGATATCGGCCTTCTCGCGTTCTCGTCTTTCTTTCCGCCGGAGATCCCGTTCTACTCGGTCCGCTTCCTCTGCCTGATCGCGGGCGTCGCGTTTCGCCCTCCGCTCGGCACGTCGGGCTTCGATGTCGGCGTCGGTTTCCGCAGGAGCATCGGTAGTAAGTTCCTCGCCTTCAACGGCTCGAGATCTTCTGGTGGACTTGCTCTTGGTTCGGATGGGCAGATCTTCCGCGTCGGTGAGAGTGTGGCTCCGGGATCGTTCGGCTGCAGGTCGCCCCCCACCGAAGAGTCCACCGAAGAATCCGGTCGATCTCTTCGATGCAGTGTTGCTTCGCTTCAGCGTAGGCGGATGATCCACAAAGGCCATATCGTCGGGGCCGCTCGTGACCAACGGATCAGCCTGTGTCGGGCTCTCGACCATTACCATATCATCATCGTGGGAGAAGTTCTTGTTGTGTGACTTCATCTGTGAATAGGAAACCCTTCCGTCAGCATGGACCTCTTTGGTGAAATCGGGAGACCACGAAGGCCGCATAAGCCTGCCACGAAGCTGTGAGGAGGACGCGAGACCTACCTCTTTCTTTGCTTTGGCAGGTTTGGACTTTGACTTTGCGGCACCAGACACGCCATCAACGTGTGGCGGATTGTCGTTGGTGTGGATCATCACCATGTCATCATCGTCGATGGGGTAAGGATCGGGAACAGCTGATGGACAGACGTCAGTGATGCGCACATCGCGGTGCGAGAATACTTCAAGCTTACCGGAACGGTTCTTCTTGACGGACGGACGACGCTCGATCCTGCTCGACTTCATTCCCATGAGCTTGGCTACCTTGTCGGTCATTGGGGGCTCGTCTTCAGGAGGGGGGGAAGCAAAGCCGTCCATTGACTGACGCCTCGAAGATGGTCTAGAGCTGGCCGCGGTGCTGGGCCTTCGAGATGCACTTGTCTTGGAACGCGCCATAGCAGAGGGCGGCGGTCCGCCAAACATGAAGTTGGAGAAAGAAGGTCCGCGTGTGGTCTTGGGCCTTTCGGGTTTCTTGGTTTTCGAGTCCTTGTCGGAGCCGGACGACTTGGACTGCTTTTCAGCTTCCTTCCTGTCCTCTTGCTCCTTCTCCTTGGGAGTTCGGGTGGACTTCGACCGTGCGACACCAGTTGGCGACTTCTCCTTCTTCGGTGGTGGCGGCGGCGGCGGCATCTCCTCGTCCTTGGTCTTGTCTTTGGCCGATTTCTTTGGCGGAGGTGCTGCACCCCAGAATCCCCAAGAAGCAGTCGCGGATCGTTCCACCCTGGGCCGTTCCTTCTTTCCCGCTTTCTTGTCGTCTGGCGGAGGTGTCGCTGCCTTGACAGGCGTGGAAGCTTCTTCAAGATCGAGATTGTCGACAGCCGATTCCTTGGGGGTGGCCGCCTTGGATTTCACAGCTTTCTTCTCGCTGCTCTTGGCTTTCGTCTTGGGCTTCTCCGGCGACGAGGGTCCGAGTGGCGGATTGTAGTCGAGGTCGTAAAGGTCGTCGTCGAGGGCGCCAGGAAAACTACCAGGGACCGAGTCTTTTGACTTCTTTTCTTCGGTGACGAGAGACGCGTCTTGGGCAGAGGCCTTGGTGGTCTTGCTCGAAGCTGTCTTTGTCTTGACGCCTGCTGCCTTGGAGATTGGCTTCTTTTCCTCTTTGGGCGATGGGGCGTCGTCTAGCGGAGACAAATCCTTAGTCAGCCCGGCGTCGGCCGTCTTCGACTTCTTTCCGCTCTCTTCTTTCTTGCCTTCCAGTGCTTTGATGCGATCGGCGACGGAGGAGGAGACTTTGGTCTTTGTGGAAGTCGCAGCGGCCGTCATTGCCTTCGCGGCCTTGGATGAAGAAGAGGCCGGCTTCCCAAAGTCGAACCCGGAGTCCAGGTCTCTCTCGGGGTCAGCTAGTGCATCGTCCTCATTGGCCCACTCGTGTTTGCCAATTTCCTTTTTCGAGGCTGAGTCCTTCTTGCCAGCTGTCTTCTTGCTCGTCGACGCGTTACCCCAGGACCCAAAGTAGTCGTCTTCGACCTTGTCCTCGGCCGGCTCCTGCTTGTGCGACGGCGTCTTGGTCAGTTTCGACCCTTTGGCCGCCTTGGAAGCAGGTGTGGGCGCGTCAAGAAATTCCAGGAGCTCGTCCGTATCCTTTCCTTTGCCCGCTTTCGCGTCAGTCTTGGAGGACTTGGCTCCCTTCTTCTTAGAGCTCTTCGCTGCTGCCGCTTCTTCGGCCAGACGTGCTGCCTCAGCCTCAGCCTCCTCAGCCTCGCGGGCGAGCCGCTCCTCTTCTTCCCTTTTCGCCTGTTCTTCAGCTTCCTTCTTGGCCTTGGCCTCCTTGTCTTTCTTGGTCATTTTCGTGGTCGTTGGTGCGCCAAAGCCCCAGATGCTCTTCGTGACACTAGCCGGAGTCTCCTCTGGCAATGGATCCTCGAAAGAGGGGACCGCACCAAAGTCCTCCGCGTCCTTGCTCTTCTTCGACTTCTCCTTGCCGCTTGAAGTCTTGGAAACGGCGCTCTTCTTTGATGAAGCTTTGCTCTTCACCGTGGTAAGATCTGCCCAAGTATCTCCTGCAACGTCATCGTCAAGCGTGTCAATTGGCTGGGGTTCAGGAGTGAGACCCTGAGCGGGCGGGCTGGGCGCAGGAGGGGGAAGATCATCCTTCGCTTTGGACTTCTTGCTGCTTTTTTGGTCTTTGGTGGCCCAGGATCCCCAGATATCATCCTCGACGGTCTTTTCAGCCGTCTCAGCCGGTTTGGGCTCGTCGAAATCGGAGAAACCTTTCTTTTTGGAGTCTTTTGCAGACTTCTTCTTGTCTTTTGTGGTTGTGCCCCAGGAACCCCAGATGTCATCTTTCTTTTCTTCCACGGGCTCTGGCTCAACCAAGGGCTCGGGCTCGGGCTCAGGCTCAGCGATGGCGGCTGCCGCGCCTTTCTTCTTGGCTTCTTTCTCCTTCTTCTTCCTCTCCTTCGCAGAGAGGCCGAAGAAACTGTCATCCTCCTTGACCTCCTCGGCTGGTTCAGGCTCTGGTGCAGGAGGGGGTGGAGGAGGTTCGTCGTCGAAGTCGAGGAAGCCTTTCTTCTTCGTGTCCTTCTTTTTCTTCTTGTCGCTAGAGGTGGCCGTTCCCCATGTGCCCCAGGCATCGTTGTCCTTCGCCTCGGTTTCCTGGGATTCAGCAATCACTGGCTCCTCGATAGGATCAAGGAAAGTGCTCTTCTTCGCATCCTTGTCCTTCTTTTTCTTGTCCTTGGAAGAAAGGCTAAAAGCCCCCCACGAATCGTCCTGTGGCTCTTCCGACACAGGAGGTGGTGGTGGCGCTGGAGGTTCTTCCACTGGGTCTTGAACGCCTTTCTTCTTCGATTTCTTCTTGTCTTTGGTGGAGAAGCCCCAGCCATCGTCCACCTGCTCTTTCACGACTGGCTCCGGCTCAGGCGGTGGTGGGGGAGGTTCATCGTCGAAATCCATAAACCCCTTCTTTTTGGCCTTCTTGTCTTTTGTAGACGTCCCCCAACCTCCAAAGCCCCACGAGTTGTCTTCTTTAATCTCTGGTTCCGGTTCCGGTTCTGGGGCCGGTTCTGGCATCGGAGGTTCTTCACCAGGGAGGAGCAAGCCCTTTTTCTTGGCCTCCTTTTCTTTCTTTTTCCGGTCCTTAGCAGAGAGGTTTTCCCAGCCCGTAGTATCAGCGTAGAGTTCTTTTGCGGGTTCGGGTTCGGGCTCTGGTTCTGGCTCGACCTCGAGAACTGGATCCGGAATCGAGGGTTCAGGACTTGCCACCTTGCCCTTCTTCCCTTTCTTGTCCTTTTTGCCAAATGAGCTCCAAATGTCATCTGTCTCAACGGGAGCCTCGGGAGCGGGCGGAGGCGGAGGCGGCTCTTCTTCAATGATCGCACCCTTTTTGCCCTTCTTTTCCTTCTTTCCCTTGGTCGTTGTTTCATCCGCTGCAGGTGGCTCACTCTTGGTGTCAGCAGGAGCAGTCAAGTCCACGGATGCAGACAGATCTTCGATGCCAGACTTCTTGCTTTTCTTGTCCTTCTTTTTCCCTCCCCACGCGGCGGACATCCAGTCATCGCCGTCTGCAGCTGCAGGCTCTGGCTCAGGTGCGGGTGCAGGATCGGCTAGAAGATCATCATTGTCATTGAAATCGCTGAATGCGCTCTTCTTGGCCTTCTTGTCCTTCTTGCCCGTTCCGAAGCCCCAATCGAAGGTATTGTCCGTCGCGCCAACGTCAGCAATTGCATCCTTGGTCTCGACTACGGGCTCCTCGGTGATGCCTTTCTTCCCCTTCTTTTTGTCTTTCTTGCCCGTCGAAAATGCCCAATCGTCTCCTGCAGCAGCTGGCTCCGGCTCGACAGGAGCAGGTGGCGGGGGCGGGGGCTCGGGCTCCTCATCCCAGGAAAAGCCCTTTTTCTTTTTGTCTTTCTTCGATGCCGAGGTTCCCCATGCACCCAAAAGATCGTCGTCCTTCGAGCCAGGGTCAACCACTGCAGCCTGTTCGTCGGCTTTGGCGTCCTTCTTCTTCTTGTTATCCTTCTTGTTGACAGTGGAAAAGCCCCAGGCGTCGTCGGTGGGTTTGTTGTCACCAAGGTCACCGTCGAGGCCAAAACTTTTGTCTCCGGCATCCAAATCGCCAAAATCAAACCCGTAGGATGTGGTGGTTTTTTTCTTCGACTTGTTGCCAAAAGACCAAGGATTGTTATCCCCGAGGCCTGATGCCTCTTCCTTCTTGTCGGTGTCTTTCTTAGAAGTCTTGTCGTTGATTTTGGTGCCTCCACTGTCGAGGGATCCAAAGTCCCATGTCTTACCCCACGCACCAAAGCTCCCAGTATCCTTCTTCGTGTCCGTGCCACTGAAGCTGAAATCCAGCTTCGGGGCTGTGTCGTCAAGGCTGATGTCCTGAAATGTCGCAGCCGCTGGGGGATCGGGAACAGATGGCGGCGGGTCATCGGCGCCCTGACTAGTTAGTATATGCTGCAGCTGACATCTGGGTTACTCGAGGACAGACCTTTTTGCCCTTCTTCTTTTTGTCCTTCTTGGTCGTAAAGCCTGTTGTCCAGTCATCTTCCGCAGCAGCATTGTTGACATCGTCGGCCCAGCTGAGTGAGTTAGCAGCAGCCTGTTCCTCCTCTTGCTTCTTCCGTTCCTCCTCCTCCTCTTGTTTCTTCTGCTCCTCCTCTTCCTGCCTTTTCCTCTCCTCCTCTTCTTGCTTCTTCTTGCTCTTCTTTTTATTCTTCTTGCCGCCACCCATATCCCATTCTTCTTCGTCGCCTCCACCTCCATTATTGTTGTCATCCCCACCACCGTCACCAGCACCACCGCCGGCTTGGTCCCCCCCACCGTCTCCAGCACCATCTCCACCATCACCAGCAATACCGCCATTCCCCTCGTTGTCTGATTCGAGCCATTTCGCCTGCTGTTGAGCCTTCGCGGCCTTCTTCGCAGCTTTCTTGCCTCTGGTCTGTATGCCGGTAGTGTCGCCGAAATCTATGCTGAAGTCCATCGTTTCGACCGTCTTTTCGGACCTCCTGGCAGTAGATACGGGTCGGGGTTGCTCCCGGGTGGCGTCGAGCTGGGCGTGCGCGAGAGGTTCGGACAATTCCTCGGGTGTGAACGAGTGTTGGGTGGGCAGTATCGGCGGGCAGCTTCCATAAGGCTCGGGAACGTCTGCAAGCTCCTGTAACAAGGCTGCGACCAGCGCAGCTGCTTTTATATATGCATCGTAGTCGGGGATTGTATGCTATGGTCTGTGTTAGGCGACGTCGCAGTGCCAGGGAGGAAGTAAGAAAGAGCGGGATCTCAAGGTAGAAGAACTAGAGGCAAGCCTCGACGATTCGCGTTAGAATGAGGGATGTCTTGCATACCCGTTGTGCTGGCTTGTAGTTCTCGAGCATGGCGGTGTGCATGCCATAGCGCCAATCGGCATTTCGTAGTGTTGGAGAAATAAATGCAGCCTCCCCCATCTTGTAAACTCGCGAGCATTCACTGTCAGCCCTTGCCGTCCTGCAATAGTTCGGGATCCTTGGTGGAAATGACGCGTTTTCGCTGCCGGCGGGCGTCGTGGCGACGAGAGTTGCCATGCTGTGTCTGTAGCTGGGCGAGGACGGGAGACAGGTCGGAGTGTGAAAGCATTTGCTGCGGTGGCGGCGACGACGAGCAGCGCGCAAAATCGACGGATTAGAGAGCAGAGGTGAGTGAGACTGAGTCTACAACGCCTCTTGGGTCAGCGACAGAGAACTGGGAGCAGTGGTGGTTGAGCTGGGTTGGTGCAGCAAAAGGAGGTCACAAGGTGTTTGGGTTGCTCATTGGTGTGCAAAAGCGAACCAGCTGCCAATTGGCGACAGCAAAAGCCCCGAGGGAGGGCAGAGCGAGTGGTGGGTTGCGTGGGTGTGCCTGGGTGCGAGTGCCAGAATGCGCCCCCTTGCAGTCACGCTTTGCAGATCCCAGCGGTTCAGCGATTCGCCTGGCCAGAACGAGTCAAGGGTCAAGCCAAACAAGCCACCCCTTTCTCGGGATCTGTGTATCTGCCAGTTATCGCCCACGCTATCGATACACACAACCTGCCAGCAGGAGAAAAGGAGAAATGAGGTCATTCATATACGCCCGCGGTGGGCGAGCTCGATCAAGTCCGACAACGCTGAAAATTTCAGTGCCCAAAGAACCACCTTGAATGCATCAATTGAATCGCCAAAATACGGGCGGTGTTGACGTGCAGCGCGCCGCAGCGAATGACGCGCACAGCCAGCGTCGATGGTCATGCAGGCAAGCACTCGATGTGGCGACGAATCGCTCACCGCTACAATCGCGAGGTCACGCCTGGGCAAATAGGAAAGGGGCTGATGGCAAGCTCGCCGGTGATGGGCTGGAATGAGCGAGACCAGCCAAATCGCAGGACTTCAGCGAGCCCATTTGTGTGGGCGGCGCGCGGGACGTGCCAGTTAGTGACGTGAACCAAACACCACCCAGCCCGCTCCCGAGGGACGGACACAACCAGCGATTTGGCGTGGGAGGTTTGTTGCTTAAAGCACTTGTTTGAATGCCGCAATTGGCTCTTTCGCATTGAGAAGCGGGCAGGCCCACATAGCTCGTGAGACTTGCCCCCGATGTCATCCGAGCCGCCAAACGAGCGTGAACAGCAGACCCGCACGTCGCTCACGGGTACAGTACTGGGTAGACCGGATCATGCCTGGGTGCCGTGGGTGGCGATGCTATATAGGACGTCGTGGGTGCATCACGAATCCTACCTAGGTATGCTATAATAGGCGCAGTTCAACACGGACGGCTCGAGCCAGAAGGCGCGCGTGAATGCGACGGCTTGACCGGCCGATGCAGCGCACCATCTTCTGTGACTGGTCGACCACTATCGGTATCGTCTAAATGCTGGGTGGGCAGGGCCGATGCAGGGAAATGCAAAGCCCAACGCAGTTCATCGGTCGGACAAAACCACCCCAACTTGCTGCAGCGGCTCGGCGACATGCCATATGCATAACCAGACACCGGCCACCATCCTCTTTTGGAAGTCATAATCCTTCAGGGCTCTGGGCAGACAGTGCCATAAAGTACGGGATATTGAGCGTGCATGCGCGTAGACGCCCACAGACCTGACGTGGCCGCCGACAACAATTCTTCGGTGTACCTGGGGTATAAGTCACAAGCCATCCACAAAGGGGTTGTGGTCATCTGCAAGAATGTGCAGTTTCGAGTTGAAGGTTGGCCGAATCATGCCAACCCTCGATTGTTCGCCCAAGACAAGAGACGTCGTCATGCGACATGTCTGATGCCGGTCCTGCTCTCAATCATCTTCATCGGAACTGTAAGCCGCCAGGCCTAGTCCAGCAGATTTCTGGTTGAGTTCGTCTTTGCTAGGCGCAACTTGTACACTGCTGTCTTTTGCTGGACGGGCTGGATCGCTGTGCGCTAGGCAGCTTGGGTCGGACGATGGCAGCACGGATCTATCACCATCAGCAGTTGACAATTTTCTCAGCTTGGTATCGCTAGGCTCGCCGTCCTTCTCTCGACGTCTTTTCTTCTTCTTCGTGGCCCACGAGCCTCCGTCCGTGGGACCACTAGGTGCTCCCTCGAGGCTGCCTTCAATTTGTGCTTGCTCGGCGGCAGCACGCTGTTTCCGAAACGCGTCAAGCTGTTCTGCTGTTTCTTGCTTCACTGCATCTTCCTTTGCTCTGCTCGTCTCCAGTATAGAATCGAGGAAATCGACCTCATCTTCGTCAAGCGCGCGAAACTGGTTCTTCAGCCGCGCCGCTTCTTCAAAGCGTCCTGCTTAGCAGCTAAGTGGTGGATGGCACTACCGCGTCAGAATGCAACAACTGAGGAAATCATTCTTCACAGCACATGAGGCGCCTACCTTTGTTCGCTTGTAGAACCTCGTAGAGACTCTTCCCTCCTTCTTGCTTACCCTCTTCGGTTGACCTGGGCTCTTTTGAGGACTGGACTTCCTGCTGCGCCTTCAGCCAGCCATCATCGGCTGGAGGTCGCGAGTCGGCATCGGTCCCAGCTGAGACAAAGCGGGACATGGGCGAGGCGATGGATGAGATCAGTGGGTGAGCTGAGGAACACTGATGGCTTAAATTCCTTATTTGGGATAAATCCAGGTAAGTATCAGGCGGATTGGGCGGCGCCGGCGCTTCGTGGCAACGGGTCAGGTAAAAGTGAGATTCTCCAGGCTCGGTCCGTGATGTACGAGGTAGAAGGTATGAAAGGCAACGCGCACAACAGTCCGACAGCTCGTTATCATTCGGCCAGCTAACCCACTTGAGGCAACCTTCATCGACTTGCGGTGCTTGTGCTTCGGACACCCCGCAGTTCATACCAAACGTTACTCGTTGCGACGGTTCATCCAGTACGTCGCCATTGGATCCTGTCGCTTTTGTTCCTGGCACTTACAGATCTGATCAGACGCGCCAAAACTTCCATGTCGTGGCTTGCCTTCGCTTGCAGCCGATGGCCGAGCCTCAACCGCCGGCGTGAGCACCGTCTTCCGTGCTGGAACAGGAGACTCAAGCGCAATCGGATGTGGATGGCAATTATCTTCATTTATCCTCTTTGACCCAGTCAACCCTTTCAGCCTAAATCACGGCAACAGTCTAGAAAATTCCCAGTCTTCCAGGCCCTGCGTCAACGGTCAGACAGTCCATTACCCGCCAATTACGCCGCGGATGAATAGCTGGAACCACTGATCGGGCGTGCATCATGGCCTCCCGCTCGTGCCCCTCGTGGTTATTGCGTAGTGTGTTGTTGCATCCATGCTGTAAGAATCATTTGCCCCACCATCCGTCCCTCATGCAAACGTCCACCGGGATATAACTGCAACTATATCATCCAGATGATCCGCGAAGGAAATTTTAATTCTCCTGCTTCCCGCTCGCATGTCATACCTTCGACTTTCCGCCTCCGCCTATAAAGGATTCACAGCGTGTTCTCGAGTCGCAATTTCCAAACCCGCATTTAGACCATCTGCAAAACCTATCTCATCGACGCCTCGCTTTCTCTCCACCATGACGACTTCACAAGAAGGAAAGGGCACAAAGTGAGAGCCCCTCCTCCTTGGCCTCGCAATGCCGCTGCAGACAGGTACAGATACTGACCTACATGTCTTAGGACCGTGTTCACGCTGAACACTGGTGCCAAGATGCCCGGTGTCGGTCTGGGCACATGGCAGTCAAAGCCCAATGAAGTCCGTGAAGCAGTGAAGCACGCTCTGCTGGCTGGCTACCGCCACATCGACACGTAAGGGAGATGTCCCAGTCGATAGCGTCGGTTATGTTCCTGACACATTTTGCAGCGCCCTTGCATATGGCAACGAGGCAGAGGTCGGCCAGGGCATCATCGACTCTGGTGTCCCCCGTGATCAGATCTGGATCACCACCAAGCTCGACAACCCCTGGCACAAGCGCGTCAATGAAGGCATCGCATCCTCGCTGAAGGATTTGAAGACAGACTACGTCGACCTGTACCTCATGCACTGGCCCAGCTCTACGGTCCCAGAGGATCTGAAGAAGCACTATGAAGACTGGAACTTCATTGACACATGGTGAGTCCAGGCGCACTAATGAGGTCGACTGGGGATGCTGACCCTGCGGTATAGGCGCGAGATGCAGAAGCTCGTGGGAACCGGGAAAGTTCGAAACATCGGCGTGTCCAACTTCGTCATTTCCAACCTCGAGAAGCTTCTGAACGCTCCTTCGACGAAAATCGTCCCCGCCGTTAACCAGATCGAACTCCACCCTAACATGCCTTCACCGAAGACGCTCGCATACTGCAAAGAGAAGGGAATCCACGTCACTGCATACTCTTGCCTGGGCTCCACGGACTCGCCGCTGGCCAAGGATCAGACTCTACAGAAAATCGCTGATGCCCACGGCAAGACGCCCCAGCAAGTGCTGCTGCAATGGGGCCTTCAGGTCAGTAACCCTTTCTCAGAGATGACGACAGCCCTGAATGGCAAAGCTCATTCCCTGGCGGAATCTTACAAGCTGTGGTTTCAGGACAACGACTGACATTGTTTTTCTTGCTCAGAGAGGTACCAGCGTGATCCCCAAGTCCGTTACCAAGTCGCGCATTGAGGCCAACTTCCAGCTCGACGGATGGGAACTGAACCCAGAAGAGATGGAGGAGCTGAGCAATATCAAGACCCGCTTCAAGGTCTGTGGCGATTCGTGGCTCCCTATCAAGGTCTTTTTCAACGAGGAGGGTGATGGTGGTGATGTTCCCTCCCACTAGATGGCGTACCTCGATCCAGGATGCTGCGCCCTTAGAGGTTGGACCTCGATGGGACACCTAAAGCGCCATTTGGGCGTCGACGCTTCCCACCAGGCGCGTGTGTAGATACAATTTTTGGCGTACAGAAGACTCGCAGCCCTTTTCAGGGAGACATAGAGGGTACGCGATGGCTCTTAACACCGTTCAGCTAAGTCAGATCATAACTGCCTTCATCGTTGACGTAACCGTCGTCCAAATACCTAGTGTGGAGTGGTGCACCAGAGCTTCGTGTCGTATTGTGCACACACCGACGATAGCTGGATACCTAGGTACGGACGTACCCGCGCGTTCTGTGGCATGAAATTCACTTGGTTAGTGGGGCAGGCGGCCTCGACCCAATTCGTGGACTAAATCTGCTTATGTAACCGTCCGTTGGTAATCCACCAAATCCCTGTGTGCTACGGATTGACAGGGACTCTCTAGGTGGGTCTAGGCTGCAGCTTTTCGTTCCCGCTTCGTACTTCGTATGGAGTAAAGCCCACCCGGGTACTCGTACGCCTCACACGATGTCCCAGGTACTGGGGGGGAGTATTCTGCTTGCTCGCTTCTTCCAATTCTATCCAGCTGTTCCTTCTCGGAAAGCAAACCGTCTGAGCCACTTCGCACAACCGTGGCCCCACGAATTGGAACTGAAGCTTTCCGCCCAAGCAGGGTATCCCTCTCCGGGACTGCGGTGTATTTTTCTGCGGTTGACCTCTTGACCTCATACCACTCATCCACCAATTGTCGTGGTAAAGTCTCCGCGCACGAGTATACGTCTCCCGACGGCCCCGTTTCCTCATTGCCCATACCATATCACTCTATCGCAATAACCTGACACGATCCACCACCGAGCCTACCTCTGCTCAAATATATCCATGGCCGCCGGCAGATACACTTTCCCGTGGTAGAGCGCAAGACATCGGTTGCCGCTGGGGCACGGCGCTACGCTCCTCCTGCTTTCTGAGTCGGCCATTGACCATTCATAAGGCACAAAATGACATCCGGCAACGGAAGTGAGCATGATACGGCTGGTGCGGCTGGGGAGAGCGAGCAATTTGAGGGCAATACTAATGACGCTATTCCTCGACCGAAGAGGATCGCGTGCATTCTGTGCCGCAAAAGGAAACTGAAGTGTGACTCAAATAAACCGAGCTGCGGGACGTGTTCGCGCCTAAACCACCATTGCGAATACTCAGAAGAGCGGAAGAAGAGCGGACCAAAACGAGGGTATGTCAAACTGCTGGAAGCGCGTCTCAAGCAGGTTGAGAACTTGCTTGAGACAAGAGATGCACCTTCTGAGAGCACTACACATGCGCCGGCCGCTCCAGTGGCAGCGGATGCCTTCGCACCCATGCCGCCCTCGAACATGGCCGACGTAGTCGATACTTCCATGTCCGGGATAATGCCAGACAATAATTTTACAGATCCAACGCTGGTGGGCTTATCTGATTTTACTATGAGTGGCAACGACGACTTTTCATGGGAGATGATCGGGCTGGGTCTCGAAGAAGCGTTGCCCTCGCGTGAGGTCATTGACGAGCTGTATGCCTCACAACGTCCTACGGGTTCTTTTGTTGCTGACTTTGCTAGAAACGAGATCTACTTTGAAAAGATCCACCCCTCTCTACCAATGATTCACAAAGCGCGGTTTCTAGCCTCAATGGATCTCGCACCTCACATGCGCCCTGCGGTTTGCCTAAGATATATCATGTGGACTCATGCCTGTGCCATCACGTCCAAATATTCTGCGTACACCGAGCACTTCTATGCACGGGCTCGAAAATATGCCGAAATGGATGAGATGAGAGGACATGGCGAGGGCATGATCACCATCGCCCACTCACAGTGTTGGACTTTACTGGCTTGCTATGAGTTCCGAGTCATGTACTTCCCACGAGCCTGGATGAGTATTGGCCGAGCTGCGAGGTTGGCTCAGATGATGGGTTTACATCGACAGGATCGCGTCGGCCTTGACGTGAAACAAACACTACCGCCTCCCCGCGATTGGACAGATCGTGAGGAACGTCGGCGGACGTTCTGGATGGCATACTGCCAAGACAGATATGCAAGTATTGGCACCGGGTGGCCGATGGTCATCGATGAAAGAGATGTATGTTGCTGGTTGCTAAAGTTGCCATCATCGGACTGACGTACCTAGATCCTCACCAATCTGCCCGCAAGCGAGGAAGCGTTCGCCAAGTGTCAACCAGAGCCGACGCTGCAACTATCTGACATCTTGAACGGAGACGGCGCGTCTTCTTTGTCCTCATTCGGCGGCGTCATTCTCATGTCAACAATATTTGGGCGGAACCTAACACATCTGCACCGGCCTTCGGAACAGGACAACGACCATGATCTTAACGGCGCTTTTTGGAAACGACACCGGTCTCTGGATAATATCCTGCTCAATACGTCTCTATCCTTGCCTCCGGCGCTCCGTCTTCCAGCAGGCCTCCATGATGCGAACACTGTTTTCCTCAACATGAATATACATACAGCCACCATTTGCTTGCATCAAGCTGCCATATTCAAAGCGGACAAAAATCGTCTGCCAGCTCAAATAAGCGCCGAGTCAAAGCGGCGATGTATTGTCGCTGCGGACCAAATCACCAACATAATGAAAATGATATCTCACCTGGATATGTCTACTGTACGTTGGATTCCTCGTCCGGTCGGATTGGAATGCTAATGTAGACCAGATGAATCCCTTCATTGCCTTCTGCCTTTACGTGGCTTCGCGTGTATTCGTGCAATACCTCAAATCCCGACGAGAGGACACGGCAGTTAAATCATCGTTGCACTTTCTGCTTGCCGCGATGCAAGTGTTGAAAACCAAAAATCCGCTCACCGAGTCATTCCTGGTCCAGCTGGATGTCGACCTAGAAGGCAGTGGACTAGACATCCCGACCAATTACTCGCGGTGGAAATTTGGTCATCGTCCGCCGGTTGGTAAATCGGAGATCCCTTGCAAACAATGCTGACACGGGTACAGGGCGAAATACCTGCCAACACGGATAGCCTTAAATGCTCGCCGCTGTTTGAGATTCGTGAAACCCAAAGCCACAATGTAGGGGATTGCGCTCCTGGAACGAAGACTAAGGGGATACATTCGCCCTGGCCTGCGGATCCGGGTGCAGCGACTGGAACTAGCAGTTACCCGAGTCTGTATGCATATGAGAGCTCCAGCAACAACCCCTCGATAGGCCAAGAGAGTGGGTTTGGCTTCTCTATACAGTCCATCGGTACCGACACTTCCCCGGATACCTCGAACCAAGACGGCTCGGGTTCAAGACAGCAGTCGAATCACCCGACCCCTTCCACCCTTTCGAATCAGACCTCGGCGCATACGTCCTATACTTCGCCCCCGAACCAATCTGGCAGCAGTAATCCCGCGAACAGTGCGCAAGGACAGCCGTCACCAGGTTACATCTACTCGAATACCGCTTTCAACATAAATCTACCAAGTCAGCTGGGGCAAGGCGTGTCTCCGCAGCAGTCCAATCTGAACTTCGGCTCTACTGGGATGACACCGGGCCCGACAGGCATGACTCCCATACCTGACGCGCTCTGGCCGGCAGACGGCATGCCCGACGGGAACGAATGGATGTTTTCGTGGCCGGGGTCAACGCCACAGCCACAGTGATCTTGAAAAAATCGGTGATTCGTGGAAGTCGACAAAATGATGATTTATGGCAGGTCGCGAGGAGAGACAGAGTGATACCCGACTTAACGAATCTCAGCTCGATCTCTACTGGTGCGTGGCTGATTATGCGTGTATATATTTGCAAAAATGCCGAGCTTTGTACCGCCCCTGTTATTCCGAGCTTGATCACTACGCGCTTTGCGAGATCTGTTGGCTCGGCTTTCCTGCGAGGATAGCTCGTGGCGCCGAGTCTGAGGTCGCCTGACATATTCTAGTCCGGTTTTCTCGTGGCGACCGGCCCGCTAGCATGAGGCTGGCTACCGCCAGACGCGCTATGCAGCGTTTTGAGGCATGAAGTGGTCGAAACCCGCTCTTGGACTGCAGAATGTCACCCATGCAACCACTGGACGACGCCTCAGCTTCACCTCCGCTTCAACTCGTTCCACACGGCAGGATAATGTCTTGAATGTCGCTCTCCAATGACCAGGTCGGCTGATACACCAAGTCCCACTTCTCTTCCTCATCGGGCGATGGCATTTGAAAGCTCTCCGCACGGCAGCGGCCTCGATGCAACGAATGCTTGGGCACGACCTCGATCGGTCATACAACGCCATTAACGGCACTGATTGCGTCATCTCGGCCGGCATAAAAGCGTCTTGCTGTTCAGTGCTGATGGCTAATGCCGCACACCACAGGCACCGAGCCAAAGTCACCATGGCGGCTGTAGCGGTAGCGACGAGACGACAGCCAGATATTTCATATACGCCGAACTTCGAGAAGTATCAGGCACGAGTTAAACGTCGACTCGAGACCGAGTCGCTTGCGGCAAAGGGGCTCCCTGCTGGCTTCCCACGACAGGTGACATCGGATTTGGTATGGGAAGGAGATTCCGTTGGAAATCACTATGATTGGAATTTCGTACTCAGCCCCGAGCATGTCCTTGAATTGGAACAGGCTCTTGCACACTTCAAATGTCAGTGAGCTTCGTACTCACGGCTATTGGGCTGATCTTTCTATAGCATTGAACAGACCTCTCGGCTACGTTGACCAGGAGAGTTTCCCCTTGCCAACACTGCATTCTGCTCTCCGCGACATCTCAAGGGAGCTGCATCTGGGACATGGATTCAAGGTCGTCAGGGGTGTTCCGGTTGCTCAACACTCGCGGCAAGACAATATCATTCTTTATGCGGGGATTTCCTCTCACATTGCTCCGTTGCGCGCACGGCAAGATAGCTCATTTGATGGGAAGTCGGCGGATGTAGTCCTTGCTCATATTAAGGACCTGAGCACGACCAAAGACGCAGCTGATATCGGAGCACCCGCATACACGACGGACAAGCAGGTGTTTCACACCGACACGGGCGACATTGTCTCGCTTTTTGCCCTGAGCACCGCGGCTGAAGGGGGCAAAAGTAGACTGGCAAGCACTTGGCGCGTTTACAACGAGTTGGCGGCTACCAGACCAGACCTCATCGAAACGTTATCAGAAGATTGGTTCGCTGAAAACTTTGGCAACGCTGAACAGCCATATACTGCAAGGCCGCTGCTGTTTTATCAGCCCGGCACATCCGAGTCGCCCCAGCGCTTGATCCTGCAATATGCCCGCCGGGTCTTCACCGGATTTGGAGCTCTACCACGGTCAGCCACCGTTCCACCCATTACAGAAGCACAGGCCGAGGCACTGGACGCCGTGCACTTCCTCGGCCAGCGTTTCAACGTTGAGCTGGATTTTCGTCAAGGTGACATCCAATATGTGAACAATCTGGCAGTCTTCCACGCTCGGGATGGCTTCAAGGACACGCCAGAGCAACAGTGAGTGCATGAGACGAGCTGACACAACTTTCGATTGCGTGCTAATGGATTTTGCAGACGACATCTGGTGCGACTCTGGCTCCGCGACCCAGAGTATGCTTGGGAGACACCGAGTGCTTTGAAACCCAAATGGGAGCAGTTGTACAAGGGAGTGATCGCCGATAGGCAGGTCTTCCCATTAGAACCATACGTGCGAAGTGCTAGTAATGGTTCATCCAAAGCGAATCAATAGGCCTTCGAAGTCCTGATTCGCAACAAGCTCTACGAGGGCCACGCCTCCACTCTCACATGACATGCACCGCGCCATAGACGTTATATACTTCCCGTCGAGGCTCGAAGCTTGATCAAACCTGCGCTCTCCGATATATCTTCCTAATCGCAATGGAACTGATTTGCTAGGTATCCACGCTTGCGGCGATTCCGTGGGTTGTGCGTGCTCTTGGATGAGTCGATCGATTCAGTCAATATTGCACCATCTGCTACTCTGATGGCGCAGCCGGGGCACATGTCGATGAATTCCAAAATCGACCCTTGCTAGGCTTGTTCAGGGCTGGGCTGCGGACCACTCCCTGCTCGAGCCATGTCCAAAGCACAAGTATTGTGCATGGCTTCCACCATCAATGGCACGCTGTTGCCATCGTTTTTCTCAGCATCACCCCACGCAAGCACGCAAGCGAACGACCCTCAGGTGTTGCCCTAGGCGAGCCGTCCATTTAAAGTCTCTTGCGACAACCTGGTGAGGCCAGGAGGTACAACCTCTGCAATCGAGCCATCTAAGCGACTCAAGACACCACCGCCGACAACATCATGGTCTCCTTATATTGGAGTAAACGAGAAGAATCGCCGGCTGTCAGTGAGAACGGCCAGGACCATGGAACCACAGCTTTCCTCAAGGAGGGGAACCTCCGGTACGCGGTCGAGAAGGGTGAGAACAGTAACGAACCGACATACCAGGAAGTCTCTGGTGCACCTGTTGAGACCCGGTCGCCGCTGGGGTAAGTTCGTCCTTCGAGTACCCTGCTAGCTAGAGTAAAACAGATTTTGATTTCTCCGTAGGTACCATGTCGGCTCCATCACCATCATGTTCCTCAACCTCTCGAAAATGGTTGGCACTGGTGTCTACTCGACCCCAGCCTCTGTCCTCAAGGGTACAGGAAGTGTCGGCCTCGCTCTCATCTACTGGTTCATCGGCTTTCTCGTTGCCGCCGCATCGCTCTCGGTCTATCTAGAATTCGCCAGCTACTTCCCCAACCGCTCTGGCAGTGAGGTTGTCTACCTCGAGCAGGCCTTTCCACGTCCGCGGTATGCCGCCCTGTCGCCTCGGATGGGCATGCTTGGGAGCAATGAGTATGCTAATACGGGCTTTCCAGTTACTTCTTCCCGGTCACCTTCGCCATCCAGACAGTATTGCTCTCCTTCAGCGCCTCGAATGCGATCGTTCTTGCACAATATCTGTACCGCATGAGCGGCTCAACTCCCACAGCTTGGCAGCTGAAGGGCGTGGCTGTGGCTGGATATACGCTCGCCTTCCTCTTCGTAGCCTTCTCGACTCGGTGGTCCTACCGCGTGTCAAACGCCATCGGTGCCGTGAAGTTGCTCACGCTCGTCTTCGTGGGCATTACTGGACTCGTGGTCCTTGGCGGAAACGTCGACCGGGTTCCGGATCCGCATGCGAACTTCCGCAACGCTTTCTCGGGCTTCGAAGGAATAGAGGCCTCGGCATACGGCGTGACGAACGCCCTGGTCAAGATCATCTTTTCGTATGCTGGCTATGAGAACGCCTTCAACGTCGTCAACGAAGTCAAGAACCCCGTCCGCTCCATCCGCAACTCGGGTGGCTTGTCACTGCTGGTTGTCGCGATCCTGTACATGCTGGCCAACATCGCATACTTCTCTGCGGTACCTAAGGAGGAGTTGGTCCAGTCATCCCAGGTAGCAGCGAGTCTGTTCTTCCAGAAGGTCTTTGGCTCGGCCGGAGCGGCAAGGGGCCTTAACTTCCTCATCGCCTTGAGCGCGTTCGGCAACTTGACTGCTGTGCTGTTGGGGCAGTCGAGACTGATCAGGGAGTGTGGCCGGTAAGCACCCCTACTCTCTTATCCTCCATAGACCGTCCATTTAACTATTTCGACAGGCAAGGGACGCTCCCGTTCCCAAACTTCTGGGTCAGCACCAGACCCTTCGGAACACCCCTAGGGCCTTACTTCGTCAAATGGGCATTGACCATGCTCATGATCCTTGCACCTCCCGCGGGTGATGCTTTTGTGGGTATACCTATTGCGAGAAAGGTGGCCGATAACTGACGGCCTCAGAACTTCGTTGTCGATCTTGCAAACTACCCCGCGTCGTTCTTCGCATTCTTGATGGCTGTCGGGCTATACTTCGTCCGCTACCAGCGCAAGAAGCTCAACCTACCTCCTCCTTCCAAGGCCTATCGCTTCCGGACGTGGCACGTTGCCGTCATCTTTACCATTCTAGTCAACCTTTACCTGCTGATCATGCCATGGTACCCCCCAACAGGTGGCGCCACCGGCGGCGATGTCAGCTTCTGGTACGCAACTTACGTGGTCACCGGCCTGGGCATTCTTCTCGCGTGTGGTGCTTACTACATCCTCTGGATCTACGCACTGCCAAGGTGGCGAGGATACAGGATCCGCCACGAGAGGCAAGTCCTCGAGGGCGGTGAAGTCACGCACAAGCTCGTCAAGATCCCACTGCAGGAGTTGGAGGCTTGGGACAGAGAGCACGACGCACAGGGTAAGAGGCTCGGCGGAAGTGATTATGGAATTCTTGACACGCAGCACGTCTTCCCACAACAGGAGAAGTCGTGAGCGCGACTTTCGCATCTTCCGTCGACACTACCACCCCTTGGCATGCCGGATTGAGCAGTCGTACGATTTAGGATGTTGGCCTGCTGTCTGATGAGATCACTCTTGCCTGCCATGCCGCCAAGGTGTGCTGTATGTGACTCTCTGAAGACACGCAATACTCGGGACCTTGGCACATAGGAGTGTAGTCTTGATAAAGTTCGGGCCCAAATCTGCCAGCGCAAAAAGCCTGGAGTATAAGCAGTTCTCAAATGCAGTTCACCACCCTTTCGCAAAAGTCCAAGCAGGTCAAAGACGAGGCTTGCCCGGCCGGTGACCATTGGAAGCACCGCGAATCACCACGGCTCAAGCACGCCATCCTGTGCGGAATGGCGAGCCCCAGATCAGCCGATCCGACGATACCCCCAGCACCTTCGATTCGTCCAGTTATTCGGGCAGAGATCGTTGAGGCCAACAACATGTATTGGGCTGTGTCGTTGATACATCGCTTCTATGCTACTTCAGCGACGTCGTTACTTGGCGTAGAGCATACCGCTCGGCAAGCATGAAGAGGAGTTCCATCAAGTCTGTGGCGGTGATCGGAGCAGGCGCAGCAGGTAGGCGAGAACGAATTTCCTTACCGGGTAGACGGAACTTATTCTGGCCTTTAAAGGCGCTGTCACCGCGGCTGCTCTCGCTGCGGAAGGACACTTTGAGCAAATACGGGTTTTCGAGCGGCGGGAGACGCCTGGCGGAACGTGGTACGTCTTGGCCCAGCACCAATATCCCCCATCAGACCTTGTCGCGTAATGATCGACTCCAGGATATACGATCCGGATCCCGGTCCTGCGCTTAGGATTGTGCCGGGCGCGAATCCGCCGGAAACCGATCCTCCGCTGCACGTACCGAATGGGCCGTTTCCAAGGACGACCTCTCCCTGCATGCAGGAAAGGTTCGATCGTACGCCGATATACGACAATTTGACGTAGGTTTGGCCCCCGTCTGGCCCCTGTTCAAACCCTAGGTCTCAGCTCCGACACTCTGCAGGACCAATGTTCCCGACATCGCCATGTGTTTCTCGGATTCTCGATTTCCATACGGCCCTTTCGTGCCCCATTGGGTCCCGAGGCATTACATTGAGAATTACTTCTCGCTCCACCGGACCGACTCACTGCTCGTTCTCAACACGACGGTCGAAGATCTTTCGAAAATCCCCGGGACCCAGCGGTGGAAGCTTACGCTTCGGCGGAAAGACTCTGTGAGACATGTCGATGTGTGGTGGGAGGAGGAGTTCGACGGCGTGATTCTGGCAAATGGTCACTACTCTGTGCCATTTGTAAGTCCGCTTTCTTTATACCTGCGTCTGGCTGACACTGGGTCTGCATTTAGGTCCCTCAAGTCGACGGCCTCGAAGAGTATATCCGCTTGTTCCCAGGACGAATATCTCACTCCAAGTCTTTCCGGAATGCACTCGCTCATCATGACAAGACGGTCCTGGTCATCGGCAACTCAGCCTCCGGGCACGACGTCGCCGCCGCTTTGGTTGGCTCAGTACGAGGGCCCGTGTATCAATCCCGCAGGTCGCGCAGTCGCTGGGAGGGCGACAAGCCTGCCCCTGGGATCGAATGGAAGCCCGTAGTCAGAAAGTACCTTCGTACAGGCGACATCGTGTTCGACGACGGCTCCGTCCTTTCCGACGTCGACGCCGTCATCTACTGCACGGGGTTTAAAGCCTCGTTCCCGTTCTGGAACGACCACGCCAATGGCGGTCCGATCTGGAATTACGAGCAAAGTCGCCTCATCGGAAGCTATTGGCATACCTTCTTCAGGGACTTCCCCACATTAGGTGCAGTGGGGGTGCCCCGTGTGCTTACATTCCGCTCGTTCGAGTACCAGGCCGTTGCGTTGGCGCGGGTCTTTGCGGGAAGAAATACACGGTCGTTACCGCCCAACGAGGAACAAGAACGATGGGAGCGCGAGAGATGGAGGCTCGTGAGTAGCGAGCACAGGAAGTTTCACGACATTCTCTGGGATAATGGCGAGACCATGGACTGGCTGAGGGGCTTGTACGATTTGGCGGGGTTGCCGACTCTGGAGGGCCGCGGGCGATATCCGCCTGTGTTGGGCGACGAGACGAGATGGGCGATTGACCATTTGAGGAAGTATCCTGAGCCGGGGAGGGAGAGCTGCGAGGACTCCGGAGAGGGCGTGGATGGATGGACGGTCGTGCAGCCTGGAGCAGCGAAGGACAGTTTGCAATTTATCTAGCAAGCTATGTAGCTGGCTTTAGCGCCTAATCTTGAGCTAGTGGTGCTAGTGCGAGCACGGAGCCAATGGGGGATTTTTAGTTGTGCCTTCCTTCTCGGCTAAAATGCCGTGTTTGGAGTCCATCTTTCAGCTCAAAGTTACTCTTAATGCTTTGCTTCGTGTCTGTCACTTACCGAGGACCATAGACAAGTCGAAGGTGTCTTCTTACGACCCGGGGCCCATTTGGTCCTGACTGCAACCGATTGCATTGACGCTATGCCACGCACCAGAGCCGTTTCAGAGCGCAGCCGCTCAACACGACGTACAATCCTCGCCGTGGACGCCACCCTCATCGATGTACTCACACGTAGTCAACCCAAGAGCCGAAGCATTCGCCATTGGCGCGACCATGAAGTTCTGATAGTCAATATTGTAGCAGGGGTGCCTCTGCGTGCATGAGATGGAGTTGACGCGCGCCGACTTCGCCGCTGTTATGTTGGTGGATCCGGTGAAGTTCACAAAGGCCACATTCGATACCTTCACACGCGTCAGTGCTTTACGGGAGACATCTCGGGGGATAAAACGAACTCACCAGCATATTAGAAGTCCCTGAGAAGGTGCCGGTCTTGGGGTTGCTGTTGCTCTGTGAGATGGCCGTCGCCAGATCTGCTCCTTGGATGTTGAAGTTGCTGAACAGGATGTTTCTCACATTGCCCCATCCGCTGCCGTTCGGGAGTCCTGCGCTCTCATAGTTGGACTGAGGCGCCTGCTCCCCAATCCAGGTTTTGATATACGCGCCATTCTTCATGTCTTCATTGTACCGGATGATCGTGACATTGTCCACAACCACGTTCTCCACTGACGAATCTTCCAGATACTGACCGAGACTGCCGATGGCGATGCCGTTGCCGCCTCGACATGTCACATTGTACACGCTGACATCATAGCTCCGCGGCTTTATCGCGATGCAGTCCTGTTGGCGTCAGCTTCGGTCGCTCTGGCTCCAGAGGCAATACTTACATCTCCGCCTTGGTACACCAAATTCGACAAATACACGTTCTTCACGTCCATGGTGTCTGAATGACAGTCAGAAAGGCCGATCAGATTCTCGTCCGTGACGTACCGAACCCGTCTGTGTTCTGCACCCAGTTCGAACCCCAGGGTGCTTTGGTCGCAGTGGCATTGCAATACAGTTGATCAACCCAGATGTTTGTGCCGTTCATGATGTTGAACGCCCACAGCTGAGGCTGCTCAATCGAGAACCGGCTGACGGTAACATCCGACACATTCCACAGCACGAAAGGCATCGGCCGTCCGGGCAGCGTATGTCCAGCTTCGGCCGTATACCAGACATCGCCATTTCCGTGGATGCCGCCTGTTCCAAAGCCGTCAATGTGGATGCCATCTCCCGTCAGAATGAAGCCGGCTTGGTGATTCTGGAAGGCAATCGGGTACGAGTTGTTCCGCCAATAGTCGAGGTCGTCGGAGAATTGCCAGATACCGCGCCATTCTATTGTGACGTTATGGACGGCGGGATTGAGCTTGGTGGCTATCCAGTACGTTTGGTCTTCTGGGAACACAATCGTCCCCCCATATCCACAGTCTTCGAAGGCCTGCACGATTTGAGGCACGTCATCATGCTGTTGACCCCTGGCAGTAACAGTGCAAACCCTTTGGCCTGAGGCATCCGGAGCTCGAGGCCCTAGGGCTCGAGCGGCCGTGGGCAGGAAACAAGCAACGATTCTGAACAGACTTGATCTCATCTCGTGTTTCGATAGGCTTGGATACTGTGGCAGGACACTCACGGATTTGAATCCATGATCCTACCTTTTAATTCACCGCCATGCACTTCAGGCAGCACCGTCACAAGGCATCGGACGAGCTTGAAGCGAGCGTCTTGCAGGTAGTGACGACTTTGAGGATCTTCATCAGACTCCTCACTCATCGCAGAGATATCCGGCTCAATAGCTTGCCCAAAGCTTGTTCTCCGCATCCATTACCCCATGTTTCTGTGGCTGGATGGCACATCATAACGCAATTCGGGTCGATAGCGGTGGGCGAAATGCAAGGTACCCAACGCCTTCGGGCCAAAACGAGCCGAAATGGTGGATGAGAGATGATGCGGAGTGGACTCGCACCGCGATACTCGAGCACTCATATAAACCGCCCTCAAATGGCCGGCCATAGGCGAATGCCTTCGTTCCGACTGCGGCCTGGGGGTCGCTCAAAGATTGTGGACAGTCCCCTCACCACGATATGGTGCCGATATTGTTTGCCTTGCTTGTGGCCACGGTGGAGGTTGTTCAGAGTCAATGTTGGCGCGACTATCCCTGCAGTGGTCCTGTCGATGCTGCATTCCCAGGTCCGTGGGACCAGAACAATTACGCTCCAGATTCTCGGATCGTGTCGCCAACGTCGTCCCTTATATGGCCGAACCTGACCTCAGTGCCGTATCCGGAGGTGCAAACAATCAGCGGCAATGGGTCATTGGTGACCTACGACTTTGGTAAGGAAGTCGGTGGCATTGTCCGCTTCTCATATACGAGCAGCGACGCCGGGACGCTTGGGATTGCCTTTACTGAGTCCAAGAAGTTTATCGGCTACGTGTCAGACTCGTCCAACGGTCTGTTTACTGGGTCCGATCTTTGGCTCAATCTCACTTTGACGGGGCAACCCGGCGAGTATGTCATGCCAGACGAAGTCTTGCGAGGTGGCTTTCGCTATATGACGCTATGGCTGTCGACCAACTCAAGCACCACGTCTTTCTCAGCTCAGAATATCACCGTCGAGCTAGACTTCCAGCCTACGTGGTCCAACTTGCGCGCATATCAAGGATACTTCCACTGCAGCGACGAACTCCTCAACCGCATCTGGTATGCGGGCGCATACACCTTGCAGAGCAATGCCGTTCCTACCAACACTGGCCGACAAGTGCCCATGCTTGTGTGGAATTGGGCGAATAATGCCACGCTGGGTCCCGGCTACTCAATTATCGTGGATGGTGCGAAACGTGACCGGGCGGTCTGGCCAGGTGACATGGGAATTGCCGTGCCTTCAGCGTTTGTGTCCACGGGGGACCTTGAGTCGGTCCGGAACGCCCTGCAGGTGATGTACGACTATCAGAACACGACGACCGGCGCGTTCGACGAGTCAGGCCCGCCCCTCAGCCAGAAGAACAGCGACACATACCATATGTGGACCATGATCGGGTCGTACAACTACGTTCTGTACACGAACGACACGGCGTGGCTTGTGCCCTTATGGAACAAATACAAGCACGCAATGGAGTACGTGGTCGGCAAAATCGACCAGTCAGGCCTTATGAACGTCACCGGCACGAGAGACTGGGCCCGCTGGCAACAAGGCTTCCACAACACCGAGGCAAACATGATCCTCTTCCAGACGCTCACGACGGGCAGCAAGCTCGCCACTTGGCTCGGCGACTCGGCGACCGCAAAGGATTGGAGCGCAACGGCGACTGCATTGGCGGACGCGATCAACGAGCACACGTACGACGCCACCGCCAACGCCTACCGCGACAACGACACCACCACGGCTCTGCACCCCCAAGACGCCAACAGCCTGGCGCTGCTGTTCTCGGTGGCCGCGCCGGCTCACGTGGCCGGCATCGCGAGCGCGCTGGTGAACAACTGGACGCCCATTGGCCCCGTGACGCCCGAGCTCCCGTACAATATATCGCCGTTCATTTCGTCGTTTGAGCTGCTCGGCCGCCTGGCCGTGCGCGACACAGCGCGTGCGCTCCAGCTCCTCCGCACCCTATGGGGCTGGATCGTCAACAACGCCGACTCGACCGAGTCGACGCTCCTCGAGGGATTTCTCGCCAACGGCAGCTTCGCGTACCGCTCCGACAGAGGCTACGCGTACGACGAAAGCTACGTGAGCCACGCCCACGGGTGGACTTCCGGCCCGACGAGCGCGTTGACGCACTCGGTCTTGGGACTTGACGTGCGGAGCCCGGCTGGGCGTGTATGGACGCTCGCGCCGCAGACGGGGGATCTGGCATTTGCGGAGGGAGGGTTCACGACCGTGCTGGGCCAGTTCAGTGCAAAGTGGCGTGTATCTGAAGGGGGTGTGCTCTTGACGTGGGATACGCCCGTCGATACGTCCGGCAGGATCGTGCTGCCTGTGTGTAATATGCCAGTATCTGCTAGCGCGGACGGCGTACAGGTCATTGTGCGGCTGAATGGAGAGGACAGGACCGTGCGTGTGAAGCCCAGTGCCGTGACTGCTTTTGACGAATATCTCGGTCAGATTGATGTGCCTGGCGGGGAGGGGAGGGTTTGGTATCCCCTCGAGTAATTGGCGTACAGCGTACACAGCATGATTCACATTTGGTCCTCATGTTGAACGGACCCGCGTGTTCCCGAGTTTATAACAGGCGTATAAGCTAAGCGGGTCCAATGGTCCGGCATAAAGTGCTCGGATATTCAGTCTTTTTGGGCGATCCCCCAGAGGCTATGGATCTCTCTTCCTTTCCATCTCACCACATCGTTCAGACGACGGCAAAGGTGCCGCCACTGCCCTCTGCACCAAAAAAGTCGCTGTCCTGGACCGTAGCTGAATGCAACAACTGCTCTGTCCGGTCCTGCTAGAGTGGGAGGTAGGACGACGCTGGAGTTTGAGAAACAATGCAACGCGACGGGAAAAAGGCAATAGGCACATGCGAGCCACTTGCCTGTCATGTGAACATCTCCTACTGAAAGGGGTGGCTGTATCACAGTAGCATGCCTTCCGCTATGACTTGCAAGACTGTCCCATTCTTTGCGCGCGGTCTGTGTTTGGCAAAAAGTAAAGACATCCTGTAGCATGCCTGCTGCTGTGACCAGACCAGCCCTACTTTGCGCCCTGTCTGTCTTTGGCAAAAAGAGAAAAATGAATTTGAGAGGAGTGGGATTCGAACCCACGCGGGACAGAGCCCATGAGAAGACTGGTATATCAGTCCAAGTAATAAACTTGAGTCACACGCCATAACCGCTCGGCCATCCTCCCTTTTAACCTCTGAAGGTCGTATCGGCGTTGGTGGAATTTTCCAACGATAATGTAAGGCAAAATTACAATGGTTATCTATATATCTATTGAAAAACTTTCACGTGACCGCAGCCCTGGACAGTTACCGAGGTCGACCCTACTAGGCTACGGATGATGGGGAAGTTCTTTTCATGCTGTCACCATATCTTTACGCCGGTAGGTCCTGATGTGTCTGCGGCCACTCCTGAACCCTCAGCATGGGCAGGTGTTGCCTGCACTCCTCAGTCGATGTTCGTCGCCAACGAAAGCGAAACTTTGACAGCCAGCACGCCTCATCCCTCTGGTGTCACTCTAGTTGCTCACCTTCATGAGCTGCTCACAAAATGTATCAAATACTATTGCTGCTGATTTGGCAAGAATCTTACTCATTAATCTTGGCACTCGGAAATCCAGATGACTCACACAAAGCCTGATACAGAGGAGGGAGCGATGCGGGGCGCGTAGCTTTGAGTCCATTCCTCCGTGATCGAGAGCTTCACATACTGTGTAGACAGACAGGAAGTACTCCGAACGAATTGCCTATCTGACGAGACAGATCCCCACAATCAATCTCTTGGCTACAAAGTCTTGATAGGGAACAACCTAGGTACTCCTAAACACAGCACGACCTGCGACGCATCCTGCAGCCTGCAGAAGTATGATTCCGAGCCAATAGGCATAGGACCCGGCTTCCTTCTTCGTTCTTCTACACACGTCGCTGCACATGTGTCGCTCCTGAGACTAATGGGTACGACGAGTTTGCTTTCCAGGAGTTCCGATACTCAGTGACAAGTTTCAGCCCCGGCCTCGGGCTGTCTCTCACTGGTCGGATTCGTGGGGTGTCATGGCCGTGTTCAAAATTTCCGGAACTCCTGTCACACTTACACTTTCCGTCCAGTGCCCCTTGAGGCCGCCACGACGATCCACCAAATCGCCCATCCGTCCTCTGCGCGTTGCTGGCGCTCAGGGATGGCAAGAATTTTATGAAAAACCAGAAAATGCACGAAACATGTGGCGCGCCGTGATGTCAGCCTGGTCAGATGATGGGTTGTTTGGTGTTGTACGGAGGACTGGCAAGACTGGATACCCTGCCACGACATGTGGACCTGACGTGTGCGAGTGTGAGAGTTTGTCTGTGTCTCCCCAAGGTGGAAAAGCAGGCTCTGCAGCACGGTGCCCACTTCTTCACTGGCACCACTGGCAAGGCTGTGGAGTGGACAGAAGTGGACAGAGTGGACAGCCGCCGGATCTTGCTTCCTGCTTCCCAGCCAATTAGCCCATGTCAGGCGCTGATCATCCGGAAAATCCGAGCCTTGGTGCTGGCAGCCTTGCAAGCAGCCACACATGCGGATCAGTCTCGTGTGCTGCGAATCGCACGGATATCGAGGCCGACCTGACATGACTGACAGGATGGCTGGGTGAGAGACGACGCAGGCTAAACGAAGCGCGCCCATGAGCAAGCGGTGACTAAATGAATACCGAGTCACACAAGCTTCCTGCCAGTTTCACTATCACGACGACGTCACCCCCTTCTCGCCTTCGAAGTTCCGGCTATATAGATAGCGAGAGGTGAATCGCCTTCGCCGGCGCTTCTAACATCTTCCTCAACACAGCATCCTCCCCAAGCCAAGGCCTCCTTTTCAACCCAGGATCCTTGATAGTTCCCATCTCAACACATCGCAAGCACTATGCCTCGCTTTGGCAGATTTGGCGGACGCCGCGGCAGTCCAAGCGCCACTGGCGCTCCCACCAGCGACTACGGCTCCCCAGCTCGTCGCTCGAACCCGGCCCTTCGTCCAGCCATCCTCGCCAACCACTGGCTACATTGGATCTCGTCAATCATCGTCCTCGGCATCTCAGCCTACTTCATCGCACACTACAATCACAATACCCACCTCGTCTACTGGGTGACTATCGTATGTCCACACGCTTGTTAAAAATCCAAGTCGCTAGAGAGTTGCTAACCCGTTCACTCAGGCCGCGATCGATGCCCTCATATACCTGCCAGCACTATTCCTTCCTGCCCTCGGCTCGTACAAGGGCTACCTGGCCCCTGCGGCTTGGATTTTCTCCTACCTGTGGCTGACGGCCTTTATCTTCTCGGCTCAAGACTACAACTTTAATGCATTTGGATGCCCTCGTTCTCCATCCGGCGTCAACAAGTGCGGTCTGAAGAAGACTCTTGAAGCGTTTGCCTTCCTTGCCTTGTAAGTTGTTGCGTGCCTCGATTGTTGATCCCTCGGGCTTAGGCTGACACGGCGGCATGACAGCTTCACCAACATCATTGGACAGATCCTCGAGGGATGGCTTTGGGCGAAGCAGCCCTTCAAGAACCGTCGGCGCAATGCAGGCGTCGAGAAGCATGGCGTCGGAAGTACCAGCACCGGCGCTACTACTGTGCCTCCCACTACAGGGACCACCGCTGTCTAGGGTCGATGGCCAAGAACGGGTGCTATCACAGCGTTGGGCAATCTGACGCCGATCCCTACCTTGTCAACTGACGATCCGAGGGCGTCGGCATGGTGGAGCTAGGTTGCCAGCGCACGTTGGAGCCAGGATCAGAGTCAACTACAGAGTCGATTATGGAGCGAGGAGGTGTACCATGGGTGTAGGATATAGTTGATAATAATGAGACAGTGATGATAAACGTGGGCTCCTCGGTCCGGAAAGCCCAATGCGTGATGATAGGTGGTAATCCAATAGTCTGATGACGGCGATGACATGTCATTGTGATATACCTTTTTGTGCTTGAAGAGGTTATATATCCTGTGACGCGTGTAGGGAATTCTTTTCCCCAATTTCTTGTGGTTGTCGCCGCTGGTTTTGGTGGTGATGGTAGTTTCACTCTCAATGCCAAGAACGCCAAGCCTGGTGTTGCCTTTGTTCTTCATTCTTCGTTCACATTTCAAACTTGACTTTCTACTCACACCAGCTTCACAGCAAGGAGTGATCTATTCGCAATCTCTCTCCTACCAAGTGTACACCCATGTCCACCGCCCTGGTCATATACAGCAAGCTAAACCACAGGTTTCGGGTCTCAATCGATCCGCGTCCACTGCCCGCCCCAATGAACAGTAATCAACCGCGGTCCTCCGCCTCGATGCTCACTCCCTACTGACCGAGCAGTCGTGGTCAAATAGGAAGGAAGTCAGTCGTACACGTCATGCCATTATGTACTCTATCCCAGACTCAAGCTGCCCCGGCGCCAGCGAACTGACACCAAGCTGGCGAGCGCGAAAGGGAAGGATCTCCAAGCCCTGCTTCTCTCATGCCCCTTACAGCCTCTTCACCTCTTACAGTTGCAAAGACGAAACGCTGGCTGGTTGATATGCTGTCTTGATACATGGTTGACATCATTCTTGACGGCATCAACAAAGGTGGCCCGATAGATTTGGATGTTCCCTCGCATCTCAGGGTATGTGCTCTAGCAATCTTGCCTTCGTCAATGTCGAGCTCAGCGATGTATGTGTGCGGCATAGACATGTTGTAGCTGCTATTGATTTGTCGACAATCCGAAGCGGCTACAGCGAGGCCCGAGGCAGTCAGGAAGTCTGACTCGCGACTGTGTATCTTGAGCCTATATGTCGCGAGAAGGACATGTTGACAGGCAGACACTTCCAGGCTGCAAATCCAACCATACTACTCGAGATCGTCCTCGCGACCATACAAGATGCGCAAAATCATGATTCCGGCGCTGTGTTCTCTACCATGCTTCTTCTACTGGCAGTTTGGCGCAACAATTTGACCCGATCAGTCCTACGCTGCGACCTCAGCCTGATGTCCACGAGCAAGCATGTCGAGCCCCAGAGATCACGGTCCACTGCATCCCAGCTCCTCCTGCGTACATCGTCCATAGGGAATCTATCATACTCTTGGAGCCACCTGAATCTACTGCTCGACGCCGGCTAGCTGCTCTCGTTCGAGTCCGCATCTTCCGCAAGTTCGATCATGGCCGTCAGGCTGATAATGTCGACACTGGTGAATACAGTCAAGCCGAAGACTTCATCAAGGGCGAAGGCAGCCTGACAACAAGCAGACGCGCACATCGGAGGACTCAAACTATAAGTGTCTGACGCCACTCCAATCTCGCCGTCTGACTTCAGTTTTTGCGACACTTCAGGTTACCACATCAGCGACATGAGAGCCGCAGGTGGTGATGATCACATACGGAACCCGGAAGATCGGTGCATCCAGCTTTATCGTCCATAACCTGCCCCTCACTTGGGCTACGATCCTCTTGGCCATGAGAGACGATAAATACTCGGACCTCCTGTGCCTCTCACCTCAGCCCTGCCGCCTTTCAGAGCCACAGTTCATGACACCCTCCCTCTACTATTGTGTCCAATTATACTTTGAGTCTTCCCTACCTCAACGGTCTTGTGTGATCTGTACGTCGTCCCCTGGCCATTTGGTACACACAGCATGGCTCTGCTTTTGGTCTCTTCCGGAAGCTGCTGCATGTGGGTACATGACGAGAACTTCGTCCGTGCCGTGCGCATGATGGGCCAGTTAAACTCCACGAGCGGTAGTTGAGGATTGACTGCTTTATTGCCACTTTGAGCCTAGACTATCTACCTCAGACGGTGATGATGGTAAGTTCAAACAACCTGCATCTTGTTCTATAAATACTCTTGTTCACTTGCTTACTGGGGGAGAACTGTGTCCCGATGTCGTTCCGATTTGTACCGTCTCAGTTGGACGTTGGCAGTCTCTGAGTTATGCACACTGTGTACTGTGCTTGTACCTTTCCTGGACCGACCATCTCTTCAAGCGAACATCTTGGCTTTGAGCTTGATTTGCGAAGCAACAACACTCAAAGCTTTTCTCGTTCTTGAATATGGGCACGATATAGTGATGTTTCGATCGTGGAGATAGCCGACCAGTGCTTCGGCGAATGTCCGAGGCCTCTCGGCGTCTGCAGCAAGCAGTGGATTCCTTATCTGGGCTCGAAGTCTGTGCTTATCCAATCTAATCAGATTGTTTTTTAAATCTAATCTGATGAGCTGCATGTCGTCAATGCAGCTCCGCAGCCAGACGCTCAGGGGTGGACCACCACATGCCTCGGACTCAGGTCTGTTATATCGGACGGGAGGGCCGCTTTGCGGATGGCGGACAAATGCCTGGCTGTTGGGAAAGATTTTTTCTGGAAACTTGTGTCCTGATTCGCCTTTCTGACTTACTTCGTGCCCGGTTGGGCTTTACAGTTGTCCAGTGTCCAGCGACAAGACCTTTGACCCAGAGGAGTGCGGGTTCGATATTATGCCATCGTGTATCGCGCTATCCACCAAACGAGTCAACCCTCCGTGACCACAGAAACGGGACCTTTACAGGTTTTCGTTGAGGGTGAGCGGCACAAAAGGAGCGCCATCGGCGCTCTCTGGGATCGATTTCTTTCCCCCCTGTTGCGCCACACTGAGTATCTGTTTGCTTGAAGTTTTGCCTTTAGACTCTCGAGGTCGAGCACTTTCTCCCTGCTGCAGCGATGAAGTACAATTCAAGTCCATTCCGTTTCCTTCTCCTTCTCCTTCTCCTTGTCGCAGACAATTTGGATGTGTTGGCAATGTCGGCTTCAGACATGTCTGGCACTGCCAGCCATGAAAGCCACCTTCTGTCACGCGCTGCACCACCAGCAACAAAGCACCTTTCCGACAAAGTCCACGGCATCCTGATGGGCGTCACGGTCATCCTGATTTTCCCCTTCGGCTCGATCTGCTGGAGACTGCTCGACGGCGTGGTCAGTGGAAAAACGCTTCTCAGAATCCACGTCTGCTGCCAGGTCTTGGGGCTGGGAATGCTTGTCTCCGGATTCGGCGTCGGGGTCTGGGTCTGTATCATTCACAACTCGGTATGTGCAGACGAACCTCTTGCTTTAGTGTATCCGTTCCCATGGAAGATACGGGAAGGGAAATCCCACCTTGTTTCTTTCAAAACAAACCCCCACCCTCGGTCGACTGAATGGCTATTTAGACTGACTGGTGGCGCGCGCCCGCGGCTCTAGGTGTACAATGACGAATGGGGCCATGGGATTCTCGGCACCATCGTCACGGCTCTATTCTTGCTCCAACCTGTTCTCGGCCAGTGGCATCACATCCTGTACAAGCGCGGCAGATCGCAGGGTCGCACGTTCAACCCTTGGTTCCGGACATCCCATGTCTGGCTTGGACGACTGTTGATGGTCGCGGCCATTGTGAACGGCGCCACGGGCATCGTCTTGGCCAATAACACTCCGGGCGGAGAGAAGGGTTACAGCGCTGCGGCTGGGGTGGTCGGCTTGATTTATATCGTGATCCTGTCGCTCTGGTACTGGAACAGAAGCAAGCAGGATGCTGGTGAGGCTCGTCGTGACCATGACCATGACGTGCTGGCAGGACATGTGGAAGATAAAAGCGGCACTGCTGTGGCAGTGGGACAGGTATAAGGAGGTGCAGTCCACATCCAGGGGGTTCGTTGTGGGCAGTTCGGAGCAGATGGAGAAACACAGGGGTTGAGTACAATATCGACCAGAGTACGCTGCACCCGAGCTGCTCTAGCTTGATGAGGAGCAAATGGTCAGTCGCCGTCGCTTTGATGCGATGCGATGCAAGAAGGAGGAGCTTTCCATGGCCTCCTAGACCTGGAGAAAACGGATTGCAATTCGGTCTGAGCTGGAAGAAGGCGCGGGGTAGGACTGCGGTCAACACCACGGATAGGCTGTAGACAGAAAGGTCAAAGTTGTGACATGGCTTTGATATAAAAGATGACTATGCTCACACGCGGGGTCATCCAGGCCGTGCTGCCTTCAAGCGAGCCACCGTCCCTATCAGAGATATCAGTTTTCAATGATTTTTTGACTTCGAGAGAGGCCTCGGGACCGTTTGAACAAGCCGTAATAGGTCCAGAGAGAATAGTGGCAGTCCACCGGACTATCCTCACCTGCCTTGTACATTCTCAGCCGATGATGCATTGTGCATGCTCTAACTCAAGTCTTTCAGATTGCTTTTATCAGTCTTTTGACTTTCAGTCCTGTGCCTTTATTGCCATATTCCAATTCGGCGATGAACAAAGCCCGAATCCTACAGCCCGAGCATACTTTACCTTCATACCAGTCCCGGTTGATATCGGCGTGGAAAGCCATATATGCTCCGTCTTGACTGACCGCAGGCCCACCAGGTGCGTAAAGCTCGACGGCACTTCCATCCGGCTGCCTGAATGTTCCCGACTTCAACAGCAGATCGTAGTGGTTGTCGATACTGTCCTTTAGTCCCAGGAACGATTGGCCCCAGGATGTGTAAGTTTCGGGTTTCATGGCGCCGAAGTTGCAATCCCGGAAAAAAGGGACGTATGTGGGATCATGGGTGGTCCAGTGCGTGGAGACCGCGTTCAGTTGAGTGGCGCGGCAGACGATATGCTCGATGCGATACGACTCATCCGCGTAGCAGCCGGCGTTGTAGATGAGATGGTATGCCGAGTCGTCGCCGGCGGCGGCGAATCTGCCCGTTGCGTGCCCCCTGTAGAATATCTGAGGACTTTCTATGTTGGGTCCGTCGCTGCGATCGCTGAACAAAACCCAACTGGCATTCCCCACGGGGGTCCACGTATCATTTCCGATGCGTGTGGTATAGTCCTCGTTGTCGACGATGTTGAATTGAAAGGAAGTGGGTGTGTTGGGCCAGTTGCCGTTCCCGCAAGCTCCCCCAGCGCCTATTGCGTTGCCATCGTTCTTGTAGACCACAAACGACATGTTCTTTCGCGGGTCGTAGATGAAAGTCGGGTCGATCGCGCCGCCTTGACTGAAAGGACAGGTAAGTGGCTCTTCCGCCGGTGTGTACGGGCCTGTCACGTTGGGAGAAGTCGCCGCGCCGACGCAATGGAAGCGACTGTCGGCGTTCCACGATGCCGAAAAGTAGAGAACAAAGCTGCCATCGGGCTTGCACTCACGCAGTCAGTCCAGTACGTACGTATCAGCTGCGCTTTCAAGGAGGAGCAATCAATCCCGGCGAGTGAGCGGTGAACGCTCCTAGCAAGCCACAATATGGAGTACCATTCGACTCATCTGGACTTACTTACCCGTTGCACAACCTGTGGCGCCCACACGGCAGCATCACCTTCTTGTAGCGCCCATCTGGGTAGGATCGGCAGGGCATCATATCCTTCATGCAATGTCCAATCTGATATATCCTTCGCACTTGCCACCTGGACATGTAATGATGGATCCGGTCGCGTGGCGAACGCGTAGAACATGCCATCCACACTCAGCAGGCATGGATCGGCGAAATTAGACTTGATAACAGCATATTCGGCCGTTGGTGTTGTTGTTGTTGTTGCTGTATGAACGTTTGAAGCCGAATACTTGACCACTGTCACTGTGGAAACAATGGTCAAGAAAAGTAAGATCAGGGCGCTTCCCTTCACGAGAGCAGCTCGAGGCTGGTTGGCAATGAGCTTCGAGAGGTGTCGCCATAACGTAACACCCATGGTGGGTACGATATTGTGAGTGACAAAGAATACCTATTTGGCGGTTGCGGTTGGAAGAGTAATTACCTAGCCTCTTTGTCGTTTGCTTTTCTTGCTGCTAAGGTACTTGACGCCGTTTATGATGGGAACTGTGCTGCTGACCATGACGCGCGGCACCTTGACTGCTTGTCTCGCTCGAGCTGGGGGCGAGCAGGTGAGCGCCGGGGCCGCGTCACCCTCATCCCAATCCCGGGGGGATCGACGCCGGACCTGGTTACTCGTACCTACCTTAGTCTGTGATTGAACTCGTCTCGCGGAGCAAACACGCTTCCTGGTCGCCGCAACTCTACACAGCCGCGACAGCTATGCATGGAAATGCTCTGGATCAAGTAGGGGGTAATGGTTGAAACAGGTTAGCAACTGCCGCGTAAGTACAGAAGGAATACTCCGTACCGCCGCTCATATCTTGCATTGGTTAGCGCTAAGTTTCATTTGACGGGTTCAAGGATGGATACTCGTAGTCGTCCCCCTGCTGCGACTCTTTCGGAGGACATGATGAATTCTAAGGGGTCTGTGGGCAGACCTGACTATATAGTTACAGAGGCCTATGTAAACAATACGGTACTTTACGCAAGGGGTTACGATCCATGACACCCCTTGGCGCTGTCAGGCCAACTGTCGGCTGCTGGCGGCTGAGTAGCACGTGACGTAGCCTCGTCCCGGTGAGTTTTGGCGGCGGCCTCAGCCTCGTCATCGGTGAATGCTGGGACTTGACCGAGATTCTCGATGCATCGTCTGTCCTTCGTTCCGCCACCACAAATGTTGACTGCGCCGACATGGCACCTATCAGCCAGCGCAAGCACCTCGGCCGCGACAAGTTCGGAACCCAGTTCAGTCTGCTAAAGACACAGCAGTACACCGATCCTGCCACCCGTACCGCGGTCCCGACCATGTACGTACCCGTCGTCTGCAAGTAAATGCACACGAACCTGTCTTATCCACGAGCCGAAAGATCCCCCTTAACGACATGACAATGACACATGACACATGGCGGCTGATTCGTTCTCCTTGTGCCTCACAGCCACCGAACTATCTCATGGAATGCATCGGGCGGATTGATCGCAACCGGCGCCAATGACAAGAGTATCAGGGTGTGGAATGTGGAACGGACAAGCCCACGCAGTCAAATTGAACTCAGAGGTCATGGACACGCTGTGGAGAAAGTCCTGTTCAATCCCGTGCGAGAGTTTGAGTTGGCCAGCTGCGCGTCAGACGGGACAGTGCGCTTCTGGGACACGCGGACAAAGACCTGCGTGAGCAAACTGGACGTGGGCGGAGAACCATTCACCTTAAGCTGGAGCGTCGATGGAAGCGTACTGCTGGCGGGGACGAAGGTGCGTTGAATCCCCTAAGCTATCTTGGCCGCCACCGTCCACGGCAACTAACACCCACCTCAGGGCGACGTGCTCATCCCCATCTCGACCGCGATACCCTCGTCGCCGCACATCCTGTCTCGCCACAAGCAGAACCAGCAAACCAACCAGACGACCTTCTCCAACGCATACCCTCCCGCGGATCTCATCATCACACAGGGAGATGGCTCTGTCAAGATCCTCGACTACCCGTCCATGGCGACCCTACATACCATAGCCGCCCACACCTCCTCCTGCACCGCCATTTCCTACTGTCCCAACGGTAAATACATGGCTGTCGGTGGTTCGGACGCCATGATCTCCCTCTGGGACACCACGGACTGGGTGTGTCGCCGGACAGTGTCCAACGCCAGCTCCGGCGCGATCCGCGGTCTCAGCTGGTCGTGGGACGGTCGGTATCTCGTGGGCGCAAGCGAAGAGATGGGATCTGGTGGTGGGGAGGGCCTTAGCTCGGGCTTTGAGATATACCATGCCGAGACCGGTGACGTGGTCCACACGATCGCGACAGGCACAAGTGGCATCCCAGCCGTTGAGTGGCATCCCAACCGCTACTGGTTGGCTTATACCCAGATCGAAGAGACCAGGCAAGGCAAGTCTAGCTTGAAGATTGTGGGTGCAGCTGGAGGACCGTCGATATGAACGCAGTTAGAGGCCTCTTCAAGCATCTGACTTGAAGCTGTCCCTGCGACTGATCGATCCTAGTCGAAGCCTACGGGAAGTCAATGGGAATAGCACGCCACCGCAGTGCAATCCCTGCGATCAGCTGCCCTCGCTTCCCGGTCACCGAATACCATCGTCGCAGTCGAAGCGGTGGAGATCTCACGACTTCGAAGGAATACTGCATCTTGATGTGGCTTTCGCCTGGAAGACGCGCAGGCGAGTGTATCTTGAACATGCACCACCGAGCTTTCGTGTGGTACTGGTATTTGCATGCGGGCTACAGTCTCAAATGTGTTGGCTGTTGGATTGGTGGTTGACGGGCATCGCGGGCATCGCGAGCTGATTCAGACTGACGTGCCATCAACAGCAGTCTCATGCTATCAACCCTTCTCACCCAAATGGTTACCGTCGAGGCATCAGTCTCCGGACCTGGCTTCTTGGGCTCAGGTGATGGAGACTGGAAGGGGCTTCTCGGAGCAGAGGCGACGCAAAGCAGCAGCCAACGATTCGAACACCTCTCGTCGACTTCTACTGCGCATGCGCCAGCGCCTGTTCTCTCTCCTGCATTGCCTGGATCAAATCATTCATGTCCTACTGTATCCCCTCCCTCTTCTGGCTGTCGTCTTGTCGATTCGTTCTGTCATTCCCTCGCTTTAACCGAGTCCGTAAATGAGGACGGAATATAGTGCAGGCAAGGATCCCGTCCAGGCACTCGGCAGCTGTTTGCATTGCGACCACACTGCTCTCTCAATTCAGATCCTCTGCTATCTTGATTAGTATTTACGGCTGCGAATCACGTCTGACTTGCTTGCGGCTACGTGCACTTGCAGCCCATATCTCACACCGCAATCGTGGTACATTTCAGCCTTGGAAATGACCTATCCTCACCACTACAGCCTCAACCTACAGGTTCAGGTAGGAGAGGACCTCATAGCCCCAAACCGGATGAGGCACAGCCCAACCCAGGATAGCGAAAACCCGAAGAGAGTGAAACAGGAGGCTCGCCGAGCTCAAGAATCATTACTCCCGACGAGAGGACCGGGATGGAGGACAAATCTGGGCCACATTTGGGTGCAGATGTATGGAGTCCCACCTTTGGATCGATGATATCAAAGCGACTGGCCAACATCGAAAATGGCAGCCGGGACGTCGGCATCGCAATGCGGTGGAAGACCTGATCGATGAACGGAAGTCTCCCATAGGGATGGATGGACATAGGTGGATGGAAAGATATGAATGACCCTGCGCCCGGTCCATTCTGGCGATCACTGGTCGCAGATCGCAGCTCCGAGGGGAAAGCCGTGCCAGAGTGGTATGGAAGAGCCTGCCAGTTTGCCTTCCGACAAGGTACCAGGGACGACATCGGACCAGTTTTCTCCTGAAGACCCATGAATTCCTGAGCCGTGTCCAAGAGGTCATTTGGGGCCGGACTTTGGCGACTATCGACGCGAAGAATGAGGACCGTGTTTGTCTCGCCTTGTGTCCGCCTGAAAGAAGCCCGGACGATATCATTGCGATCCTCTATGGATGTAGTGTTCCTCTTGTTCTTTGGAAGGTACGATCATACTACAAGCTAACTGGCGAATGTTTGTCTATGGCATGATGAACGGCGAGGCGTTTACTGGACGGGGCACCAGCAGTGCAACGGAGACGTTTGATTCGATCTGAAGGTCGATGATCACCGCTTCGCGTGAAGGAACGGAGTGATGGCGCAGGCCACGCTCGAGCATCCACTGCGCAGTGAACAAATGCGAAGGCATTCAAACGCACCATTCGTCCAGACCAAAACGACTGCTTCGGTGCGAGTATATACACTTCTCCCCGGCTACCACGTTCCATCTGCGGCTACCCATTTCAACCACTCCAGAGGCCTGAACATTGAGGGCAGGTTATCGACCGACAACTCAGCGAGGTTCAGAAATCTATCGAACTCCGCTATCCGTGTATATACAGAAACATCTCGGCCACAGGATTTTGTGAAGATGGCTGAAGAGGGCCTAGGCCAGATATCGACCTGCTCATACATTCAGAAAACGACGACTTTTACAGAAGAAGAGGGCATGCCTCGAATCCCCGAGCGTGCGTATATAAAAGCACCATATAAGGTCCCGTATAGGTCACCCACTCCGCCCCACGCCGGTCCGTCGGCCCAAGCTGTCGACATAACTTCTACGCTGGTCCCATCCTCTAGCGACATGGGCTCTCCACAGGCGCAACCTTCCTTGAGACAGGGACGGATGCTCACCTTCGCGGCGGGTGGGACGAGGAAGAATGCTGCATCTGTTGCGTCTGCAGCTGCCTCGCGTGCGACCAATTCTGCCAGGAGACCAGCACGGGGTCATTTTACCATTGAGCCCGGCGATGGCGCATGTATGCTGGTAGTAGTGTAAGAGTTACTTGACAGATGGCTAGACAGGTGCCGGGGCACTCGGCCAAATGCAGGCGAAGTGATTAGCCAATGTTAGACGAAGACAAGTTGTTGACAATGACGGCGAAGGTCACTGCAATCGTCACCTGAGACCAGTAGATGGTTGATCGATACCGGGCACGATACAAAGCGAGGACACTTGCCTACTGTGTCAGTACGAGATGTGGCGACGATTTCGTCTGGCTCTTCTGGAAAGGAGGCCGCCGAAAGTGAGGCATGAAATGAAAGCTTGGGGCAGAATCGTATCCTACTGAGCCTACCACCAGTAAGTGGGATGGATTACTGCTGAGCAAACGCGGGTGACACGCACAACTCGGGCCTGTTCGAGCTCTTAGGATGAGCTTGTGTGACTGTGTAAGCCCCACGACAACTGGACTCCTTGTCGCACCTTGATTCCGCAAATATTGACAATCACTCGTCCGCCTCAAAGCAGATTGATCCTCAGGCTAAGAGTCAATCAAGTGGCTCAGCACTGCAAGCCGATGCCACCAGACTCGTCGACCACATCTGCTCCCACCCGACGCCAGATCAGCCGAAGCAGGAAAGGATGCGGAACTTGTCGTCGACGCAGCAAACGAGTTCGTTCATCGCGAGCTGCTATCTGGTATCGGACATGCTTTCTGTGGCTGGCTAACTCGATGGTAGTGCGATGAAAGCAAACCCGCGTGCCAGGCTTGTCGACGGCTTCGATTGGATTGCATCTATGACAGTGACTTTATTGTCGTCGACCCTGGGAACCAGACAGCGAGGAATCGGCCGGACAGTACATTAAGCATTCACCCACGAGCTCCTGCTACTGCTCTGCCTGAGTCGCTTCTGCCGCTCGCCCGAGCAGACCTTTCGCTTGCCCAGCCGGACGTGGTCTACTTCCATCATTTTGACAGGCAAGTAAAAGCAACTCTTCCTGCCTCGCTGCACAGCTTTAACATGCAAGCACTGGACTGTGCCTTCCTTCAATATGCCATCCTCTGCCTTGCAGCGTCCAATCTCTCAACGCTCGACGCATGCTTGACGCGGCGCAATGTGGTTGGCGACACGAGAAGGTCAACTGCCAGCCCAAGGCCGAATACCCTGCACAACTATCATGCGCGGCAGTATTGTGAGCTTGCCGCGACGCAGGAGCAGAGCCTCGAGCCCCAAGATCCGTCCCTCATTCTCATTGGCAAGATCCTCCTTGCCTACTACCAGCACGCGTCAACGGACCACTTTCGTTTCCGGCTCGCGGTACTCGAGACAGCCGAGTTCGTACGGAGACGCCGACACGACATCACGAGGTCGCATACTGGCGATATTGCATTGCAGCTGTGGTATCGTCTACGTATCTCACACCGCCCGTCAGAGTCCTTGGAGCTAGTGGCTGGTTACAACGAGTCCGACTCAGGCGCGGAACACTTTGCTTCGACTTCGGAAGACGAGGACATATATTTGCATTGCATTGTGGGACTGTCTCCGGACGACTTGCTGCATGATATCATGCTCAAAACCATGGAACTCAGGAGAAGAATGGTAGTCTACCATTGCACGACCGCCGTGCAGAACGTTTCGGAGAGCTTGCCAGCTCCAGGCTCTCGGGCTCAAAGGCTGGTGAATAGTTCGGTGCAGAGGCCGCATGCACTGGCAGGAATCGACGGCCCTGAGCTCAGTTCGATCGCACCCAGTCACTTGCTCGCGTTACTTGACATCCAGAGAAGGCGACTTGAGGTCTGGAGAAGTAGGGTGGCCGCAGAGGAAGCAGGTTCTGGGAGGCATGCGAATGCAGGGGGCATCATGTCGCCAGATCCAAGCGTGGAGAAGCTCGTGAATCACCGACGCTTGATGAACCACCTGTACTACCTCCTGTGCAAGCTCATCTTCGAGAACGCGACCGCTTTGCAAGGGGCAGTGGTCGACCAGAACCTCAACGGCGCCATTCTACGCGGGGTTGTCGACACGATCGACGGCATCGACCCGACGATATCCAATGTGGTGGATGTGTATGGGTACAGTCTCTCCGAGATTCTGTTGCAGCTCTCATACAACATGCCATCGACGACATACTTCAACTACATCCTAGACGTTGTCTGGCCCCGCCTGGAAGTATGCGGGCGTGGCTATGAGAATTCTCACCTACCGACTCACCTCGCCAAGAGGATAGTTGCTCTGATGGCGGAGGAATGGCACTGTTCTCGAAGGATCCTACTGGTGGTGCTGGCGATATCGGAGAACACCCCCAAAACAATACTATACGACATTCATCATGCTTTTGATGTCCTGCTGTATGGCTATGACCAGCATCAAGGAGACTTCTTCGTTAACAAGGTGTCACTATCTTGACAGATGACCGGTGCCTGTCTGGCTAAGATTGCATACCCACGCCGAGATCTAACAGCCACATATCTCCGAGTCTCTGGTTCGACTCTGCTAGACCGCCGTGGATCACCACCTCTGTCTCTCCAGCAACATCGGCATCGAACCACCCTCTAGGGCACGGCTTTTCGCCTCCTCCCTCGAACGTGAGCTTCTTCCATTTCTGAGAGTGGATCGCAAATATCCACACATCATCGAGCATTTTTCCGGCACCCTGATGTCCCAAGCTGCTTGGGTCGTGCTCTCCGAACATCGTGATGAGGCATGGCTGGTTATCCACAACGACCGAGAGAAGACAACTCACGCTCCGAGGACCGGGCCCCTGGTTCCCATCTGCGTCAAATCCAACAGTCTGCCACGAATTGGTCTGTGGATCGAACACGTCCAGCGCGCCCCCTTGTTCGGTCTTGCCATCGAAACCATTCATGCGATACAGCTTCCCTTGAGTGTAGGCGATCGACGTGCCTCCTCGATCCGGTGCCGGTGCAGCAGGCAACTCCCGCCATGTCCGTTCCACAACGTTGAAAGCCCAAAGGTCGCTCAGACGGCCCTTTTCGGGACAGCCCGCATGGACAAATATGGTGTCCTGCCCATCATTCGTCATGGCGTGGTAGCTGCGGCCCGCTGGCCGTGGACTAGCAGGATCTCGGGGCAGGACCTGCGACCAGACTTTGGCCGTCGTATCGAGAACCCAGAATGCTCCGTTCTCCTCGATAGGTGCCACTGCTACGCCTCCGCGGCCAGAAAAGACATAGATCTTCCCGTGGAGCGCTGTGGAGGTGGCTCCCACTCTTGCTTGGGGGGCATTATCGGCCGATGCTGACAAGAAGGTGTCGATGTCCGCGTCTACTCGCAGTGTCAAATGTGTCAAGGCCCTCTGACAGGAACTGCAGCCTACATACCCTGCCTCTTCGGGATCCGATACACGGACGACTCTACAGGTTCTCGAGGGCGTAGTTCGCCCCCGAAGATGTATACCGCGCCATTCACGACGGTCAGGGTCTGCGACGATCTGCGAAGAGCATCGCTTTCGCAGATTTTGGTCCATGTCGCGGTCGGAGGCATGGTTCAATACCAGCCGAAGGAAACGTGAGTCCTAAAATATCAATGAATTTGGAGCCGAAGAGGAGAAGTATGAAACGGCCATCTGGTCTTGTACTCGAACTTCGAGCTGCCAGCTGCTCGTGTCATACTGGACGGGGTACCAATTACTATGATAATCGCTGATGATCGCTGTTGGGCGTAATTTTGACCGTTTGCAGTTCGCGGTCTCCACGCGAAGCATACACCCGGTAAGTTATACGGTTTTCCACTTGCTGAGACACGTTGCGGCTGTATGGCTCTGTAACGGCGTAAAATTGCCTCGAAACAGCTTAGCGCTATGGGTCATCGCGATGTCGGTGCTCGTCCATCTTTCTTCTTCACCTCACCCACTCCTCACCACTCCGTGACTACGCTCTTGACAACAACACAACAACTGGATACGATGTAAATTTGAGAGATCATCCTCATCCTCATCCTCATCCTCGTCATATTGTCGCCATCGCCAGGCTGTCTGTTGGCTGAGCCAGCAGCCTGACTCTAGAAGCAGTTCCCAGCCCCTTCTTTCCATTGACGCTTCACATCACACCTCAGAGGACGCTTGCCCTTGAACAACGCTGCTGCCATGCCTTCGTCCGAAACCGGTCGGTCTACCAAGCATCCTTTACGTAAACACTTACCTCCCTGCTTCCTGATGTACTGCGGATCCTGATCGCCCGGGAACGAGTATCCTTTGGTCGTTATTTTTAAGCTGGCAATCAGCAGGTCGCAACGACAGCTTGTCCGTGTATGCGAAGAACCTTTGCGGTCAACTCTGCCTCCCTCGGACCCTCGTTGATGGTCTTCTGCGTCGCCATGATCCCAGCCCCTGACAGCAACGCAGCGAACGATGCCGTTGAACTTTCCACCATCGAAGAGACCGCGCCGACTGAGATGGAACCTATGATATACCAGCCAGACGACGACCCTGAGTCCGAGCCTGAGGTGCCTCGACGCATTGCCCGTCGGCTCTACGTGTCTCATTTCCTGTCGACGTGGAACTCACGATCGTTTGAATTCGGGGCTGTCTTGTTCCTGGCCACCATCTTTCCACAAACTCTCCTGCAGCTGTCCGTCTATGCTCTTTTGCGGTCCGCATCTGCTATCCTCCTCGCATCAAGCATCGGATATGCGGTCGACCAGAGACCCCGACTTCCCGTTGTCAGGCTCTCCATTGGTAAGACCTTATACGGCTCACCAATGTCACCAAGCACAATCTAACAAGCTGTGTCTCGACAGTCGCTGCACGCATCGCGGTCCTTCTGTCATGTGTTGGTTTCTGGGCACTATCCGCCTACCACACCATAACGGTGTCGGCAAAGTTGGCAATCTTCTCCGTACTAGTCCTACTTTCATGCATTGAAAAGCCTTGCTCGGTCCTCAACCTCGTTGCTGTCGAACGCGACTGGGTACGTCGGACTCTTAGCACCATTTGCACATATATCACTAAAGGGGAACATTGCAGGTGGTCGAAATTGCTCAGCACGACGAGCGTAGTTTGCAAAGTATGTGCTCTTCCCTTACGTACACATCACTTACTAGGCCGCTTTTCGCCATGAGGATCTGATGCAGTATTTGGCACCACCTTAGGTCTCAATGCCAGCATGCGGCGCATCGATCTCGTCTGCAAGCTTGGGGGTCCTCTAGTTATTGCGCTCATTGACGGGGCATCGAGGAATGCAGCCATATTTCTGATCCTGGCGACCAACGCCGTTGCTGCTCCGATAGAATACTTCGCCATAGCCCAGGTACGTCGAGAGTCAGAATGGGTCAAGTGGCTACTGAGAGTGGACAAAGGTCTACGGCGCAGTCCCTCAGCTCCAGGCTCCAAAGATCCAATCTGCTTCGAGAAGCTCCGATCAGACCGTCCGTGTTTCCGCAAAGCAACTACTGGCTCCATTTCGAGATCTCAAACATTACTCCCACCATCCAGCCTTCCTCCCTTCTCTGTCGTTATCGCTCCTCTACTTTACGGTTCTGAGCATGTCTGGCCAACAAATCACATACCTTGTCTCGGCCGGCTACACTTCTTTCGCCGTTGGTCTTGTGCGTTCGGTATCCACCATGTTCGAACTGTCAGCCACGTGGATTGCTCCACTTCTGATGCACAAGATCGGCGCAAACCGAGCTGGCATGTGGTTTCTCAGTTGGCAGGTCGCTTGGCTAGGCGGAGCAGTGAGTTTCTTCTGGGTTGAGAAGAAACCGATCGTGGCGGCTTCGGGATTAGTGGCCGGGACGATTTTGAGTCGAATTGGTCTGTGGGGTTATGATCTGTGTGCGCAGTTCATCATTCAGCAGGTACGTGTGGGTAGACGAGATTGGCTTGCCTAGAGCTGGTGTGCATATAACGGCTTCGATTTGTGGCTGACGAAGTTGACGTGCACAAACGATGCTGTAATGTGACTGACAAACCTCTTCTAGGAAGTCCAAGGTCCCCAACGTGGCTCGTTCTCCTCCACGGAAGCAACATTGCAGAATCTGTTCGAACTGCTCTCCTATGTCACGACCATCGTCTGGTCGTCGCCGCGACAATTCCAGTATCCAGTCCTCTTGAGTACTGTAGCAGTATTTACGGCAGCAGGGCTGTATGCTTATTTCCTAAGGCAAAGAAGGGGACACTTGGTACACCTTTCAGGATGCGTGAAATGAGAGCTTTACGGCTGTTACGTAGGGCGGTAAGGTATATTTTGGTGATTGCCGCCACGATCAAGGACGAAGTGATTGAGAGTGATCAGTATCTGGATCAGGCTCCAACCCGTCGCCCTCGCACGATGAAGCGATCGCTAAGGGCGTCTTTATCCTACTTCGTGGGCGTTAGCATCAGCATCAGCATCAGCATCAACCTACAGTACTGTGCTGTGAAGAGTCTATATGTGACTTCATCCCGTCAAGTCACAAGTCATGGTATTCACAAGAGCAGCCGATGAGAGCCGCGCTGTTTGCCGCCATAGGAATTTCCCAGATTGGCAGGTAAGAATCAACTTGGCTATTGGCCGAGTGTACCTCGGAGATCTGCACAGTACAGTCAGTAACTTACTTACCTACCCCTCTGAGCGATTGAAGTATAAGACTCGAAAACGACCATCAGCGTCACAACCACGACGACCTTTTATCCCCGAAGTCAAGTACCAGTGTTGTCGGTAGAAGGTATACACACAGATACGGAGTTCAAATATACTTACACCCACACACACACTAATACTAACAAACGGACGACAGCAACCACCACCACCAAAATGACAACCATGGACCAGATCTTCTCGGCCTACCAATCCCGCCTCCGCGACCTGGAAGCCAGACAACCGACCAACCCCTTCGCCAAGGGCATCGCGTGGATCCAGCACGGCGTGTATCCGATCCACGAAGCCCACATCCCCATGCTGGACCAGGGTTTCCTGCACAGCGACCTGACCTACGACGTGCCCTCTGTCTGGGCGGGGCGCTTCTTCCGGCTCGACGACCACCTGGCGCGCCTGGAGCGGTCATGCGCCAAATTACGTCTCCGCGCACCGCTCTCCCGCGCAGCCATCAAACGCACCCTCTGCGCCATGCTCGCGCGCTCGGGCATCCGCGACGCCTTTGTCGAGATCATCGTCACGCGCGGCCTCACGGGCGTGAGAGGTCTCACGGCCGCGGAAGTGGCGGGCCTGTCGAATAACCTGTACATGTTCATCGTGCCGTACGTGTGGGTCATGAGTCCGCAGGTGCAGTGCGAGGGGAGCGGGAGTGCCGTGGTCGCGCGCTCGGTGTACCGGACCCCGCCTGCGTGTATGGATCCCACGGTCAAGAATCTCCAGTGGGGGGATCTTACGAGGGGGATGTTCGAGGCGGGGGACCGTGGCGCGGGATATCCTTTCCTTACGGATGTGAGCGTGAGCGCAAGCGGGAGCGTAAGCGAGCGCGAGGGCGACGTGAGTTCAAGTGAAGGTGTGCGTCAAGTCGACAACAACGTCGACGTCAATATTACCGAAGGCTCGGGCTTCAACATCGTCATCATCAAAAATTCCACGCTCTACACGCCGCGCAAGGGCGTCCTCGAGGGCGTCACCAGGGAGAGTGTCTTTGAGTGCTGTCGTCGTCTGGGCGTCGCCTATGTCCTTGACAAAGTCCCCCTGCGCATGGCTTACGAGGCGGACGAGATCTTCATGTGCACTACTGCTGGCGGAATCATGCCTATTACTAAGCTCGATGGGAAAGCTGTGGGCGATGGGACCGTCGGGCCGATCACGACGCGGATTTGGGATCTTTACTGGCGGTTGCATTTTGACGAGGGGTTTAGCTTTGCTGTCGATTATGAGGATGAGAGGGGGTTGGATGGGCGGGTAGAGGATGAGGATAGGGATGGGAAGGGTAGCCAGGCGAATGGGTTGAGCAGGAGGGAGGGAGAAGAAAGTGCAAAGGCCTATGGGGATGCTAATGGGAAGGTCATCAACGGGACGGCGCATTGACGGTCAAGGGTGCAGTATACAGTGCTTGCTACGTATGTCGTGAATGTGAAATTATGCATTATATGATGGCTTGCTGCTTACTTTAGATGAGTACCCCCAGCTTACTGTGGGTATGGGTGTATGTTCTCAAAGGCCAGGCCAGCGAATATACATGGTCGATTGTATCTCCATCAGAAACTCAGACAGTGAGCCGCAGCTACATACAGCGTTGACCTGGCTGCGAGAGGGACCGATGATGATGATGCACTGCTGGAACGAACTCTGCCGCTTTTCTCTGGCCAGAGGTCAGTCGTTATGGTCACGGTCACGGTCACGGTCACGGTCACGGTCACGGTCACAGTCACGGTCAAGTCGCTTTCCCGTCTTCATCGCGGTCCGCTTCTTCTCAGAGGCTATCATCCGAGCATGTCGGGCGTGGGACGGTGCTTGGGTGTGATTTATATACCACCATGATCCTCACTCGACGACAGCTATTTGATCCCCCGGCACCTGAATCCACCATCCTGTATTTTGCTCGATACGGTAAGTGATTCGACGTCTGTGGCCTCTCGCTCCGGATGAAATGCGTGGCCCGCGTCACACTTCTCGAAACAGACTTGCGGCTCGTTCGCGTAGAGGGCGTCGCACTATCGCCGGGGAGCCGGTGAGATTGCCCGGCTTCCCCCCCGGGGGCCATTTATTCCATCGAGGAGAGTGCAAGCTGCGACAGGATGACTATCCGGCAAGCACAGCACGGCACATTTCCAATGGCACTGCACTGCGACTGTTCTGCACTGCACTGCGACTGTACTGCACTGCACTGCGACTGTTCTGCACTGCACTGCGACTGTACTGCACTGCACTGCAAGGGCTTCCGACTGCGGGTCCGTGGCGCTGCGAACCGGTCAACGTGTGACCACGTCCAGCGCCCGCAGCACCTTCAAGGGACCTAATTATACACTGAGAGCACTGCAATGCGCTCATAATCTGCTCCCCTCAATCGTCCTTTGACGTGGCGGCTGAATGACTCCGGCCGTACTCTCTCAAAAAGGTAGAAGCCTTGTTGGTCCGTTGGGGCGGCTGACCTGGATACTGATACTGATACTGACACTGCTCAGACTCATGCTTTGCGAAGCTCTTGCCGCCGCCGTGCTTACCGCCGCCATGCTTGAAGTTGTCAATGATGACGTAGACGGGCACGACCACGATGCTTGTGATGAGCGTGAAGAAGAGGTAGAAAAGCGGTGCAAGGAGGCCGTTGATGACGCGGTTGAGGATGTTGGTGGGTGGGAGGGGTTCGAATTTGGGCAGAGACGGCTTTGGGGGGTGTTGGTGTGAGGTTGACATGTTAGGCACTGTGGGACTGTCGTGGCTAACGTGTAGGTTGGAGTTTACAGTTATGTAGTGAAAGCTTCAAAAATGCAAGGCTACCTTGGGGACGAACTAACTTGGTACGATTTCGGACGGGTCGACGGTCACGACGGTTCACGCGTCGCCTACCTATACAGGCACTACAAGGAGTAAGTGAGTGGTGGGTGAGTGGGAGGTGAGTGAGGTGGTGATGTCATGGCGGGGAGACGAGGAGTACGGCGGACTACTCGCACTCATATTTCGTACTCCGTAAGGTACTCGTACCTCGTACCTCGTACTGGTAGAAAGAACTGCTCGCGCCCGCCCCGGACACCCTGGACCCTGCCGGATTGAGCCCGAGGCTCTGTCAATGCCCAGGCTCGAGCCAGGACCAGATTACTCGTACGAGTTACCAAAGCTCCCGCTTCGAGAACACCGTGATCCTCCTAGCCATGGCCCCCAGGCTCCCCTACCATGGTACCGCACTGTACGGAGTACAGTAACCACAGTAGCCCCCGCAGGAATGCCCCGCCTCCCGCGCACTGTCGAGACTGGGCACTTCAGCATGCCAAGATATGCTATGGCTGAGGCTGACGGATCAACTAAGAAACCAACAAGGGATGTTTAGGAAAGGTAAGCTCTTCGATCTCCTTCTTCTCCAGAAATCGACGTCCAGCCACTCTCAATTCCTACCCCAGTACTGTGTACAGCATGTTCCGGAGACGGGATAATCGCAGATCCGAGCCCGATCTCGATCCTCACCTATGGGAGTTATCCCACTCCCCGAGCTGGACGACGTCGGCGTCGGCGAAACACCCAAAAACAGTCATCCCTGACCCGTCGATATTCCGCGACTCGATCACTCCGTCGCTGGAAAATGCAGAACAGGGATCGGTTCGAGGCTACCCCACCCCGGGTCACCTCGCCGCGAACCTGGTCCTTATCGAGTGTTTCTTGAAGTTCAAGGACGCCGTCACCACCACCCACAAACTCGACATACTCGATGTGCCGACCTATTCGAACGCACAAGCACCAGAGAAGTCGAAAACTGAACCCGAAGGCGCACAGGCGAGCCAGCGATGGGACACCGTCGTCCGCCTGGCCATTTCCCGCTTTCAAATCTGGTTCGAGAACATCGAATCCCTTCTCCGACACGCGGCCGCCTACCACAGATATGGCGCCAACAGCAGCGCCCACCACGCCGCCATCACCGCCGATTACCTGCCTCCTCTGGATGTACTGATGGTGTGGTACGCCTATATGAACCATCCGGCTTCGTACCGCGACGACAACCTGGCTCACGGTTCCCCGAAACTCTTGGAAATACCTATGCCGTGGGAGGCGATCCTTGCCGTGATCGACGTCGATACCTGCACCTACAGGCCGCCGGCCGCTGCGCAAAAGCTCTTCACCACCACCACGACTCAGAGTCCAGATATCTTAGTCTATCTGAGGGACCCTCCCCCTTACAGCAATCTGGACCCACATATGGTCTTTTCCATCGACTTGGCCTCTGCTGTGCACGACCTTTTGGATGGCGCCAACTTCATACCGCAGATGCATGCTCTTCTCTGGCTGCGCTCACCTTCCCTGGAAGGGACCCTCGCTCGAGCACTCGCCCGGTATGCAGCTCTGCCTGAAGCCACAGGGTTGCGCGCCTCGATATGGTTCGCCCGTGTCAAGGCCGACCCTGCCCTGGAACTGGTATGGCGGACCCATATGCTCTACCCCATGGCTTTTGCCTCGTCTAGTAATGCGACGTTTGGCGGCGACGCCCTTGTGGCGATGGAGGGTGAAGAGTCACGCCAAGAGCAACTGGACCTCATCAGTGATAGCACGGAAAAGCTCGATCTCACGCAGACGTGGATTGACGACAGCGCTGATTCGGAATCGTGTTATTGTTGGACGTGTGAAAGAATCCGAGATGAGGTCCCGAATTATGTTTACCGACCCCCTTCCGCGTCGACCGATACGAGTCCGAACCTTGGGACGCCGTCGTCTTTCAGAAACCCTGTGTTCCCGAGAGAATCTGCCAATGTCAACCCGCTTCTCTGCTTAACGACAGATCAAATATCGGAGATCAAGGCTGACGTTGCCTTTCATCGGCACGTGGAAGCATTCCGCCAAGGCAACCCACCGGGCACGCCACTTCCCACTCGACCACTCACGGCTCGTGCGATGGCAAGACTCAAACAGGAACAGGATTCCAAGGCACGTGCAGGCCAGTACTACGGAACAGGGTATAAGGTCGAAGTGATCCGACCGGCAGTGTACGATCCATCGACAGGTAAACTGTTGAAGAAGGAAAAGACCAAAGTAACGAGGGGGAAGAACGCGAGTATTATAGGGGAATGGGGCGGAAGAATTCTGGGTATTTAGACCACTCACCAGTACGCCGGCTCAGAAACCTCGGCGCCCACCTTGCCCCAAGATTTCATGACCTTCATACTGGAGTCGTCTTTACATGGCCCGCATGTCATCGCCATGGCAAGGAACATGTAGGTGACAGGGACGACCTACGGGAGAAATACGGCGTAGGCATCTCGTCCCACCGGTTGGCATACCGACATCGTCCAATACAATGGCTGGAAGGAAAGAAAAGTCGACGGCAGTCGTGCTCACGGCCAGTTTTATGGCCGCGGTGGCCAATGTAGGGACACCCCCAGCCGAATGATTCGGAGAAGAGGTCTTGTAGGTTCTCACCGTGGTATTGGTCAAGACGGCAAGGTTGAAGTCTCGCGGCGGGGAGATGAAGTCGTACATCAAGGTAATGCCTTGATTATTACTGGTAACGGCCAGGTCGTTCTTACATCTGGGGGATATTGGTGTACACGATTTAGGTATTGTTCTCGGGTCGACTCCAAGGTTAGCACGATCAATTGTAGTAGGTGGACGAAGCCATAATATCCGTCGTCGCGGAGAGGACGTCGTCCCACATCTCCTGTGTCTTGAGGGCAGGCACGTGTTGGTCCGTACTAGGCTCTGCGAAGGACAGAGGACGTGACTGCTGGTAAATGAGCGACGAGTTGATTTCCACCCATCGCCGCATGAAAGAGACGGCGCTGGGGCCAGGAAAGGTTCATACTGGCGATTGTTGAAGCATAGTTCCCGTAGAAGAGAATGGGATGAGCGCGTGCATACGAAACTGCAGGAGGATGAGAGCCGGCCAAGGTGAGGTGAATAGAAAGTGAGGGAGAGATGGGTGGAAGTCACTGTAACCAGTGGCGAGTGAATCGCGAGCATTCGGATAAAAGCGGCGCGATCTGGTGAAGCCCAATGACACTGGATTAGAACAGAGCTCGAGCAGTTTTCGTCTAAGGGCGGCGTGTTGTTTTCGCGGCTCTATCGCAGCTCAAGTTTCATGATTGAGTGTGATGTTTTCAGCAACGCCCGCGCCTCTCCAGAAGAGTGGCAAGTGGAAGTTTTAGTTGCTCTATGGACCAATGTTATGCCATACCGATATACCCTATACTATGCAGATCCTGCTAAAACGCTAACACTAAGATATGCAACCAACTTCACCTACATGCTGCTCATTTTCGTGTCGCTGCTTCGCAGTGAATTCCTAGACTCGATCTGAGGCAGTCATTTCTGTTGATTCCCGCTGATCAGCCAAACCAGGTCCTGTGACGAATCTGCGGCTTTGCATATCGCGAGGGTGCATGTCAATCCTTGCAGCCTCCCACCCTTCGTCTCCCACATAGCCGGGGCGTCCAACACCCAACCAGAACGCACGAGCTCGGCTACGAGCGCCCCAGGCCCACCCAGATCCTCCTTGGATGGGCAAATGGTACCACCGGAAACCGAGCCACGCAGTGAATATGCCCAAGATAGAGCCCGAGATGATGTCGAACCCGTGATGGCGATAGTCGAACCAACGAGAGGTTGAAACAAACAAGGCAGTTGCAATAGGGATGAATGCAATGATAAGAAGATATATTGGAGGCGCTGCTGCTTGATTGCGAGGGGGGTGGATTCGGGAAGAGGAGGTCGAATGCGAGTTCTTTCTCGCTCCGGCGTCGCCGTCTGTTTCTTCATCGAACGTCGAGATGTATCGCAGACTGTCAGAGCCCGGCGACAGGAAAGGGATCTGGACGGCGAATTTGGCACAGACAAACAAGCAGAGGTAGAGCATGCCCGCCCAGATGAAGCTGGAGTGGCCGGACGGCCAGCTAGCGAATGCGTTACGCAGCTTGCCTTGGTCTGTCTGTCGGCAGATGCGCCAGTCGACGACAATCGGGACAGCAGATTCCAAGGACGTGCCGAATCCGCCAACCTGATATCGGCGTATGGATTCAGGGCTCAAGTCGGGGTCGCACACAGCCAGCAGGAAGGGTCGAGGCTTGCCCGCGAGGTCTTTCAGACCCTCGGTGATAACAAAAGCGCCTGACAGCGCAACACCGAGGCCCATCCATGCTGCATTCCACTCCCAGAGCTTTCTGCGCCAGATCAATGCTTTCGGGGTCGTCCTGTCGGCGGTCGGACCGGGGACGAACAGTAAGGAGATTGCTGCTGTGATGATTGCAGGCGCGATGACCGCTATGACTATCAAAACAGGGACGGTGACGGTGTCATCGTGATAGGGAAAGGAGATGTTTGGGTCTTGAAGGGAGAAGTGGTGTTTGTTTCCGTGGATTTTTGACAAGGCAATCCCGACGCCAGCGGTTGCTCTGATGCATCAGTCAGTCTGCATTCTTCGATAGTGAGCGCGAGTGTCAAAACCTACAGGATCAGAATCCAATCAATCACATAAGATGCAATCAGGCGTTTTGAGACATGCCTCACGCCTGAAGCGAAGCTGTTGATGGTTTTGGCCGGCGGTGCCATTTGTGGTAAGTGAGCACGCGACACAATTTGGTGGGGAGACCAGAACTTCATGGACGCATTATTATGTACTCCGTCCGCTGTAGAAATTACGCCTCCATTCCCGCCGAGTGAAGCAGAGTGGCTTGGCCTTCTTGTCGTCTCACAAAGATGGACATATGACCCGAAGGCCTCCTGTCATCCGGACGCTGCTTCGGCTCATCCGAGACGGCACGCACGCACGGCTGGCCCGGAATTGAGCGAAGGAAGAAAGAGTAACTACGTAATCCAAGAAGCGCTGAAACACCAGAAACAAACTGCAACGTTGCCCTAGGCTGCACAAATTCTTTGCGGAGGCACAAATTCTTCCCACAAATTACTCACAGGGGAAGCTGCGCGGCTGTGCACACCGAACTTTTCGAATCGGCCATTCAAATCGGATGGGTGACACGATACCCACACATTCTTCCGGCTCACTACGCGGCTCTGACAGTTGAGTGGCAAACATGCCTCTTTTGAGTCTGCGCCGAGCATACTCCAGTTTCAGCTCGGCGTCCAAAAGCTGTACGAGTATTTGGGTCTCGATGACACTATATGAACATCCCCACGCCCATTTACTTCTTCCCATCCAGATCAGCGTAGAAATTCCACCTGAACGATTCTGATGGGTCGTTGAACCTCATCTTCTTGTCGAGCGCATCGACCTTCTTGACGTCATCTGCATCCAGCTTGAAGTCGCCCTCAAAGTTCGCCTTGATTCGTGACGGCGTTTTTGATTTGGGAATGACTGCTTGGCTATTAGTAGACAGGACGAACATCGAGACGATCCAGGGATTGGGGGGTGCTGCGTATGTGGGAGCACTCACCTGAGTGGCCTCTGGCGATACCCCATGCGAGTGCGACTTGCGCACCGCTCTTGCCGTATTTCCTTCCAATGTCTGTCAAGACTGGGTCGTCGATGAGTTTGCCCATGTTCTTGCCCTTGTCGTAGATCTCGTTTTGGTTGCCGAAGGGAGAGTACTGGGTGATATGAATGCCTTTCGACTTATGAAACGCCGCGAAGTCTGGCTGACTGAGGTATGGATGCATTTCAAGTTGATGTGCGGCTGGCACAATGGAGGTCTCCTTGAGGAGCCTTTCTAACTCTGCTTTGGAGAAGTTGGATATTCCTATTGCGCGACATTTTCCACTCGCAACAAGCTTCTCCATTGCCCTGTACGTGTCAACATAGTCGGAGTCGCCTGGGATGATCTTGTCGTCCTTCTTGGGCATCAGCTTATCGCCTCGGGCGAATGGTGAGGGCCAATGCATGAGAAACAGATCCAGGTAGTCCGTTTGGAGGTCCTTCAGCGAAGCATCGCATGCTTTCTCGACGTCATCTGGATGATGCGAGTTATTCCAAAGCTTCGTCGTGATGAATATGTCGCTTCTGGGAATGCCGCTCTTCTTGATGCCTTTCGCCACGCCCGTTTCGGTGCCATATCTGTTCAAGGTCAAAAATGAGAGGCTTCACAAAGCCAGGCGAGAGAATCACTCACACTCGCGCTGTATCAATGTGTCTGTAGCCTACTCTCAATGCTTCAGCTACGGCGTCCTCTTGTGCCTCTTTGTCCTATTGCCAGAGTACACCTTGGAGTAAGTTTCGTGCTTTTGCCGATGGCATAATTGTCTCCGACTTCACACCAGCTTATGTCAGGGTCAAGGCTTACCTGCCACGTTCCGAAGCCTATAGCTGGGATCTCCGTCCCAGTGTTCAATGCAAACTGCGTTTTCGTGTATCCCACCAGCGACCTTCTTTGACTACCGATGTGGCGTGATATTTGACCTAGCCTCGTCGCGGATTGCCTGGTGCATTTGGACAACATGGCCCGTTACTGGTGGTGAGAAAAGTATTTGAGTATTGGTTCTAGCCCGACCGTTGCGTGGAGAGGTATGAGCCTCGGAATTGTACTCTACGAGCAAGAGACTCAGATCAGCGGACTGACCGATGCAATCGCCGTTGCTGATGTCATTAGAAAGCTATCCCCGGCCACGGATAAGAAATCCGGTCTCCCAGGGAGCGTTTCTTTGCCGTCTGAACTTCTCATATTGGACTGGTTCTTCCTCCAGAGCAGGTGCTAATTAGTTTGTGAGGTCTCCATTGGACTGAACTCTTCGTCAACACCTGCTAGTACGAATTTCCTTCACAGCAGTGCCATTGTCGTCGAATGTCGAGTCTCAACCAGATACGCGACACAGTCAAGCTCCGATGAAGGAAGAAGCAGCTGTCGCTTCTAGGCAGATTGCAGCCACACTTTCCTCACTTATTCGTTCGTGATGTCGCTGTGCGATGTGCTGATGACAATACAACCGCGCTTGAAGCTACGCTACTGACACGGCTGGTGGCGGCTTCGCTAGGATGCGTTTGCTTCAACTCCCAGGATCTGCCCTGTCCATGCTGAGAAGACAATGGCTTTGTCCCAAGCTCAAGGTTTGACGAATTGCTTCGGTCTGATGATACACGGGATCCACATTACAGCAAAATCATTTAGTACTCGGAGTGGCCCTTGCTCGGCGAGGCTGTTCTGTGCATCTGCATCAGGCCCTGCATTCTTTGTCCGTTGTCCAGGACAATGTCCGCAACCGTCGCTACGTGGTCACCTGCAAACATGAGGCAACAAAGAACGGTCGAATGGACTATACCTGTGTGACCTGCTGGTTTGATACTTCCCTCAGACTTCTGCTGATACCGCTTCTCCGAGTCCTGTCCGAGGCAGATGACTGATCTACATCCTGAGCAGCCACAAATCCGGCCGGTTTCCCGCTTCTCAACTTCGACTTCAGTCAGGATGGCTGCTGCGCTCGACAGTCGCCGGCCCGTTGTGCCCATGCCGCAGTGGTCGAACATAATCGGTTGCGCCAGGGCTGTTGTTGCAATCCTGGTCCTCGCCTTTACTGCCGCTGCCACTGGCATTTGGGGCGGCGCGCCAGGATTTGGCATTGCTCTGTTCACCGTAAGCTAGTACTTTGCGGTCTCTTATCGTTTACCCCCGCTAACTCTGTACAAGGCTTCTGTCACACTTCTGGTCTTCGCCTATTATTTCGTCGCCTTGTCCCGCAGCCCTGCTCTATACAACCGTTGGACCGTTCTTGTCCTCGAGAGTGCGGGAACCTTCCTCTGGCTGGTGAGCCTAGCGCTGCTATCAGGCTGGTCCGCCCATCACCGTGGAGGGCCGCCGAGTGGCTATGGTTTTTGGCATGCTCCATTTGGACCTTCGGATGTCGGACTGCAGAGCCATCCGCGACGCAGCAACAGAAGAGCCGGGATTGCATTTGCAGGAACAGCTGCTGGACTCAGTGGTCTTGAATTGTGAGTCTAACACTCCGCACCCTGGAATATCTTGATTACTGTCTGCTAACATGGTCGGTAGCGCGCTCTTTGCCGTCACCTTGGTCACCTTCGGAATGGGTCTCCGTCGTCAAAGAAAGGAGGAGCTGAGCCAAAGGGCAGCCCCCACGACCAGCACATCGTCGTCAACCGCGGTTCACCAGAAAGAGCAAGAGGGAATAGCAGATGAACAGAAGCCGGAACCGGTGGTTGTTTGAGGTCCATGGTATACTTCGTGCAAGAAATGAGCTTTGGATGGGTGTCAAGATTGCGGCCGATTTGGGTGGTAAAGGGCAACTCGTTGTGAACAACATAGTTCTGATGACAGTCGTAGCGAAAACACAGTTCCTAATACCACTGCGAAGCCTAACATGCGCCCGGTGTCCTGTTGTCACTTACCCACAGTCACAGACGCACTCATTTCGCGGACGAGCCGGATTTCACGGAGAAGCCGGAGGAAACCGCGGAGCTCAGCGTCTGCCAAGGCCTGATTACATCCTCATCCGCATTTTAATGAGGTCGGTGTGAGCACAATCTTCGCCATTGAGTCTGTCTTGTGGGCTCTCCAGGCATCATGAGCCACGTGCTGCAAGGATGATTCGACGGCTCTTCGTCTATCTGCTTGTTTCCAAGATCACGGGTGGCGCTCGAGATATCCCGGGGGCACGTTTCCGACACTTTGGATGGTGTACATTAATGCCACTCGCAACACAGGTGAGGTACAGTGCCTTTTCTCTGCAGTTTCTCACCAATGCCGCCGTTCAAAATCTACTCTTACCTCGGAATCGTCTGAAGGTCTGAATATGTTCGGATACCCCTCCTGTTAACCACCTTTCCATCAAACCTCATCGCCCTCGTTATTTCCCTTTCTTCCTCTTCATAAATCCGGGCTTCGCTGCTTCACCTGCCGGCACCAATTCAGTCACAATACCATGTTGGAAACGGACGCCTCGTCCAATGATGGGACCCCAATCTCCACTAGACAGTCGGCGGAGTTTGATCCTGCCAATCCGTTAGAAGTCGAAAAAGTCACGACTCAGCAAGACACGGAAGAGTCCATGGACGCTAGAATCCAACGACTAGGACGAGAACGACCTCCTGCGTTCACGACAATATGGGCGGAAATCGCGTTCGTCTTCAGCATTGTCATGTCCCAGATCATCACCGAATATTTTGTCTCTGGCTTCAACGTGTTGTTGCCGACGCTCATACTCGACCTTGATATACCCCAATCCTCAAGCGTTTGGCCCGCCACGGCGTTTTCGCTAGTCATTGCAAGCACGCTGCTTGTCTTCGGGAGACTTGGTGACAAATATGGCGGCTACCCAGTGTACATCGGAGGTTTGACGTGGCTGCTCATTTGGAGCATCGTCTGTGGGTTCAGTATTTCGCCGATCATGATGGATCTTTGCCGGGCGCTTCAAGGGCTGGGCGCCGCAGCCTATCTTCCTACCGGCGTGATGCTTATAGGCAGTGTCTACCGGCCCGGTCCACGCAAGAACATCGTCTTTGCGCTTTACGGGACATCTGCCGTCGTTGGATTCTTCGTCGGGATTTTCTTCGCAGGGCTAGTCGGCCAATTTCTATCGTGGGGATGGTATTTCTGGTTTGGTGCAATCCTTGTGGGTATTACCCTCATCACCTCAATTCTGTCTATACAGAACGATTGGCATGAACGGCGACAGAACAACATACAAATGGATTGGCTGGGAGCTGCAACGATAGTACCAGGCGTGGTCCTTGTCGTCTTTGCGATCACTGAATCGGCACATGCGGAACAACGCTGGCGAACACCGTACATCCCGACACTGTTCTGTCTCGGGTGCATACTGCTCTTTGCGGCTGTCTACGTCGAAGGCTGGGTGGCCAAATCTCCCTTGCTTCCCGCCGATATCTTCACGGTGCCCTGCATGAGTCAGCTTGTTATAGCAATGTTGTTTCTCTACGGTAACGTCGGTATCCTCCTTCTCTACGGCACACAATACTTCCAGAACATTATGGGGGCCACCCCCCTGCAAGTCGTGGCATGGTGGACGCCAATGGTGGTGGGAGGACTTATCCTAAGTACCGTGGTGGGATTTATCTTACACCTGGTCCCCGGTCGACTACTTTTGGTACTATCATGTCTCGGGGCTATCGGAGCTGAGTTGCTCCTCGCTTTAGTTCCGGAGGGAGGGAACTATTGGGCTTGGGTCTTCCCGTCATGCATCCTTGGGACGGTTGGGATCGATCTTGCCTACAACCTGATGTCTGTATTCATAACGACGCAACTGCCCAAAGCAAGACAGGGCTTGGCGGGTGGTTTGATCAACTCCATCCTCCAGCTCGGAATTGCCCTCCTTCTGGGCTGCAGCGACATTATTCAGTCATACACAGTGGAGGAATCTGGGCTGAGGGATAGTTACAAGAACACGTTCTGGTTCGGCGTGGCTTGCGGCGGCACAGCTCTGGTCCTGGTAGCGATCTGGGGAAGAGTGCCCAAAGCGAAGAGCGACTTGACGGCGGATGAGAAGATGGAGCTACAGCGCGAAGCCACCAGGCTGTCAGCAGCCTCCCGTGAACAGCCAGCCGATCTCCAGTGCTGATGTACATCTAGCCGTCTGTTCTCGAGCATCGCGACGGCGTTGGCAGGATAAAATACAGACAGAACTATATTGACTCCATTCACACTCTTCACTGATCTGTCTTTGCTGAGATGGCTGATACGACTTATGCTCGAGTGTCACACTAACAGTGGGCAGAGCCCCTTTTGGGTTTAGCGTGCGGCATATGAAAGCGTCCAATCAGATGCCGAGCTGCATCGGCGCTCAGCTCAGGCGAAACTCATGCGAATTTCAGGCGAATCTAAGCTGCCGCCGTCAAGGCATTGTGCTTGGACATCCACCAACATCTCCAATGTATGATCGAACTCCGGCTTGCAGGGCGGTATGAAGTGCCCACTGCATCAGCACCCGAAATCTTGCAACCGCCGCATGAGTCCATGGTGCGGGAGAAATATTGTTATGGTGTGACATCAAACGTGCAATTCAGCCACAATCGCCTGGCAGTACAGACACCAAATCCAAATCCGTGGGACGTTCGGCTCAGCCTCTCGCCTCACACCAACACATGGTGAGCAGCACGAAGAAAAGCAGTAGGAGCGCTCGGTTGTCTGTTCTACAATCTTGTGCGGTCCTTACCCCGATTGCGACGCGGGATTGGGAGATCGCTGGCCCAAATCCTAGAAACTCTCCGCAGGTCTTACGTCTCAGCCTTGACCACGAAGCTGGCACACACGCCACAGGACCTGCGACGCTCAGCTCTCTCCCCTCTGCCGGACCTTAGATGCACTGGAAAGGTAGTTGTCGGCGGAAAAATCCTGTCGCTCCGCTTTGTCACCGTCATGCGAGACTGTTCCTTTGTGTTGTCCACCGCAAACGGAAGGATTTACAGCTGTGATTATGGGTGACAGCGCGGACGAACACGGCAAGAGGAATCTAATCACAAGGCTCTGGACTGCCTGTACCCATCTGCTCCGGGTGCATCGGTCAGATGACGCCCAGAATTCGACATCATACAAAACCCCAAAGTCACCCAGGGAAACAGTTTCTCGAAGCCTACCTAGTGAGCGAGTTGAGCCCGTTCCTGACCGAGCACACAGAATGCAGACGTTACACGAGGTTATTGAAGACGGATCCTTCTGGCTGCTGCCGGACCGAGACGTGCTGGACTTGATAAGATCGGAATTTCCCCAAGAACTCGAACGACTAAAGAACGCGACCTTTGTGCGGAGCTCTAACGTGCCTCGTCCCCAGGGGCCTTCTATTGCCGAATCACTATACGGACAAGATTATGCTGAGATCAACCGCACTCTGGTCGGCGTGCTCGCGCTTCGCTGGCTTCATAATGACGACTATGATCGTTTCATCGGTTCCCAGGGGCCCCCACCGATTGTGCTGAAGCGCCCGTCTTTCGCATGGCTCCGAAGTCTCTTCGACAACGGTCTCAAGAGCATCGAAGACACATACACGCTGATCGTCTCCATGGTCACCAATGATCTGGGCAAGGACCCCGCCCTCGCAGCGGATTATGCGAAGAAGGTGGGCGTCGACATCTCGAAAGTCAACCACGACATGATCCTGTACTATGCGGTCGAAGAGGGGATGGTCCCCGCGCTAGACCGCCTGACGAAGCAGGCCCGAGACTATCTCCTGCTGGGAATCAAGCTGGGCTCGGAGTTCAACTTCGGACAACTCGCGCAGGCGGAGAATGCCCCGGCCTCGCTGTCCGGTCTGCTTGACATGCGCGGCCACGATCGAGCCTTCGAAATGCGCTTCATGGAGCAGATCCTGGACCTCGCGGGCGCGGCTGGCCACGAGGACTGGACCTGCGCCAGGAAGATGATCGAGCCGATCTTCCAGTCGTACCGGAACGTCTACGATGTGGCCCACGGCATCATCTACGAACAGATGCCTCTCCGAGAGGGCTACGACATCATTCTCCGTCGCAAGCTCGCCCTGCTCCATCAAGCGGGATATTCGCGCCAATTCGACATCACGCAGCCGGGAGATCGGGCCTTGATGCGTCTATTCTGCCTGGGCAACACGTCGAACGCAGACAACGCGGACGTTTTCTTCTCGGCGTTCACGGAGCGCATTCCCCCCGAAACACGATCGCAGTTAACACACGGCTTGAACGTCGACGGCTCGGTCGAAGAACCAGCCGTCCAACCGACTTATATACCGGCAATGCTGACGAAGGCCATGGGCAATACCGCGACTGGGTCGCAAAAGGAGAAGATTTCCGCCGTGGCTGCGATGTTGCGGTTCCTCGGACGGTGCTTTGTCGTCGAGCCCCAAACCCTGCAGAGACTGCCGCGTGGCGTGACGGTCATTGAGCGGGACGTGAGGAAGATCATCCCCGTGCTGGAGAGCGATGAGTTCAAGCGTGACCCAGACGTGTTGGACAAGGAGAGTATACCGGAGGGTCAAGTCGCGAATATGGCGCCCGGTTTGGAGGTCTCGGGTGGGAGAGACCAAATATGATGCACCCGGCACTCGGCTTTCAGCATGGCGCACAGGGGCTGCGTTTCGCCTGCTTGAGCGATATGATTGGGGATAACAATAGGGATAGGGTAGACAGCAACAGACCTTCACAGGCACGCCCAGAAATCTATCGCCCATGCAATTGTTGTATCTGCTGCGTGATGTCTTTAGAGCCAAAGTCACGGACAACCCAAATGGACAAAGCCCTTCCAGACAAGGAGGAGACACAAATACAAGACACAAGGTATGAGACACAACAGACAATACACACCACGCCAGGCTGAGCGCCAGCCACCACAGGCACTGGCACTCTCGAGCCAGCTCGCTGCTCGACGTGTTGATGGACCTCAACCTCGACTCTGTACAGAGTTGAGGCTGGAATGGCAAGCATGCAAGCACTTACTCGATCACTGTCGCACTACTCGCACCACTCACACTGATTTCATCCCACCTCAGTCCTGGCATTTGTGTTTCCCCATTGGAGACATTCCCGAGTCTCTGACCACCACCAAGTCCAATAGGCTTATGCCTGCCTGACACATGATCCTCCGTACTGCATTTAAAGTCCCCTTCGACGTCGCTACCAATGCCGAATAGTGACCAACACTCTCTTGGAATCCGGCTTATCGTCCTCGACGGGCCCGTCGAGATCGAGCCCCATCTTCACGAGGGTGTCCCAGACGAGTTTCCTCTTCAGACCTTCCCGCACGGGAATCCTCTCCAGAGCCTCGGAGCCGGTGAAGTACTTGACAAAGATCGGCCAGTAGCGCTGGATCTCGGCGGCCTCGATGTCCGACGGGTTAGACGCGCCAGGAGAGCTAGCCAGGTCCGGCGGCGATGAAGTTCTCGATGACCCCATCGTGGACGCGATGTAGTCGAGCCAGCGCGACTCCTCGGGCGAAGCACGCTGCGGAGACACCACCAGGCTGGCGGCTTTTGGGTTATGCTTGAACTGCTGGGCCGGGGTGCGCATGCTCGTGCCGTCCGTGGAGATGGATTGGCGGCCGTCGCTGGACGGGCGGTTCAGCATGCTAGGCCGCTGCCTGAAGGAAGAGAGTGTCCCCGTTGCCGGTGTTGCAGGGGTGCCGCCGCCGCTGCCGAAGCTCCTCGCCATGTCGCTTGCTTCTCTCTCGACCGGGGTTTTCGCGCCTGCGCGGGCTTCTTCGCGGTCTCGCTCCCGCACCGCTTTCTTGACCTCCGGGCCCACGCGGACAAAGGCGTACGTGCGGAGCTGGGTCACCCAGCCGTCGCGCATCAGCCACGCCAGGACTCGATAGTACTCCTCCTTGTGGTCCCTGCTGGGTATCAGGGTGCCGTAGGCGGCGGGCGTGCCGCTCAAGGCGCTCAGCATTTTCGGTAGCGACGGCATCATGGGGAACGTCGCTTCGTATGTCTTGCACGCTGACACGAGCTTGCCCATGTTGGCGTTGGGAGACACAATGTACGTGTCGCGCTGATGGAGGGGCGGGATCGCTATCGCCCTCCGCCAGTAGACGAGGTGCCGAGCCAGGTGCTGGATGTCTCCCAGGGCTATCTGCGAGGCCACGGATATCTTGTAGAAGGACTTGGTGGGCTTCAGGTGGGCGATGAAATTTGCCAGCGGCATGGCCAACGAGCCTCCGGAGGTTTGAATGTCCTTCAGGATCTTCTGTGGGTTCGACTTGAGGAGCAGAGTGAAATTCTTGGATAGCTGCAGTGGACCTGACAGAGCAGACGCATCGAGCTCGGACGTGGAAGTCGGATCGGTGGCAGTGGTGAGCCAGAGACCCGGCTGTAATGGAGGCTCCGACAGCGAAGGCAGGTACGAGCTCGAGGTAATAGGAGGGATCTGGAGTGAGACAGACAGATTGGGAGTGAGTGTGATTGCAGCTATCTTCGACTCGGAGATATTATCAAACACTTTGGTAATGGCCGAAGCCAGGGAAGACCGCTGCTTCATCTCGGTGTACAAAGCCTTGGACGACGACTGTTGCTGGAAATGCGTCGACCTGATGGATTGCAAGAGTTCAGACTGCTGCCACACGTAGTCGTGATGGGCCTGCGCCCACTTGAGCACTTTGGACAACTTCTTGACGACATGGTCATACATCTCCTTGACCCGGGCAGTGTGCTCTAGCGGTGACGGGTCCATGACGAACACGACGTGGAACATGGTCAACTGGCTTTTCGGAGTCTCCTTCGTCTTGCGACCCTGTTTATTGGCCGTATTGTCGGTTGACGAGCCTGGTTCGACTTCCTCTCCATCGTCATGGCCACTTTCACTGAGGGTGGAGTCGGATGTAATGCCCTCATCTCCAGCCTTTGGGACCCTCCTTCTTTTCTGTTTCCGCCAGAAGCCGTCTTCACGCGCATAGACTGGCCTGCCCAGGAAGGTCAGGTCGTTGATTTCGAGCTCGAATTTGCGTTTATGCCACACGCGCCCAGGCGCCAACAAGCTCACTAGACCGTCACCTCCCAGACCCAGCAGTGGCTCCCACGACGGTTTCCATTGACCGTTGTCTTGTGTCCCCCTCTTGGACAGATAGTTACTTTCTTCATCGTCTGAGGTTGGTGACTGACCGTCCGGGTCTTGTGGGGCACTTCGTCCATTCCTTAGCCGGCTGGCGAAGAGATCGAATTCATCTTCAGACGACGACTCCTCCGACTCACTGCTGGAGGTGTCTTCTTCATCCTCGTCCGTGGAATCTGTATTGTAAGACGGTCGTTCGGTCGATAAAGGGTCTGGAGGGTAGTGAAAGACGATCTCGGCACCTGAGCCGGTTCGGACCTGGACCACGAGAAGGATGGCAAGCAAGGATGGGTTTGGAGACGTTGTTGCTGTCGACATAGAGACTGTCTTTCTCTAGGAGGCGATGCCTGCCACCACGAGACACGTCAAATTGACGCGTTGACTATGCCATTGGGATTGATCAGGTCATCTAGAAATATCACAGAGTCAACGGTTACGCCTGGAACGCGGTGCATGAACTTGTCCACGTGCTTGGAGCTCGGCATTACCTCGTGTACATTCGGCTTGTCTGCGTGAGTGCCGAGTCAGTCAGGCCCGAACAGAGAGTGAATGTGCATCAGGCGGTACGGACCACACGCTGGCTATCTCCTAGCGAGCATGAATCGAGGACAATGCCGGGTCGTATCGTATTCAGAAAGCGGAGAAGGAGGGCTTGGAGTCATCGCATTTCCCACGAGCAGCTGTCGTGAAGCGTGGTGATTGGAGTCGGAAGGGGACGCTGCAGGCAAACGCACCAAATCGTCAGTTGAACAGGGGCCGTCAATGGGCAGTGAGAACAGCAAGGCCTAGCAAAGAGCCCCTCACTCCGTCACGCCGCCCTCACTCCAAGCTCGCTCCCAGCTCGGTTGTTTGCGGTGCTCTGACAGTCGGCGGCAGCACTGCTGGGCCCGCCGTCACTGGCCCGAAGCGCAAAATGCCGCGCTAGGAAAATGAGAATTCAGTTCACTACGACTTGACTGCAGTGCCAGTGCCTAGCTTGACGCTCCATGCTCCACGAAAAAGACTTCTCTTTCAATACCCGCACACTTTCTCCCCTCCATCTTCTCTCCATCGACCTGTTATTGTGATCCTTCTTTCCCGATCCTTTGCTGTCGTCCAGCGTTCTCGCCCGTCCCTGCGCTTCCGGGGCGCCCAAACAAGACGGGAATAAAGCGGACTCCACGCCTGTGCCGCTCAAAAGTTTTTGGTCGCCGCATCACCTCATCCTCTGCTCGTCCTCAACACAACAACCCGACGACCCAGGCCGAATCCGACTTTTGAACGGTTCACGCAGTGGATGGCCCGTCTGTGATCAATCCAATTTTCTACAGACCGTCTGTTCCTCGGCCTGCCGGACTGGCGGTTCGCTTAAGACTCGTGCACCTGCGCCAATCCAACTCCTGTCTAGTCCTCACTTGTTCCGCTCTCGACACAAGGTAGCCAAGCCAGTCGGCGGACGACTTCAAGTCCTGGTTAACTGAAGCGCCGTTGCTTCTGGTCCTGCATATCGACCCGGTCAAGATCAGTTGTCGGAAGACGAGTGGTGAAAGACTGCCGCACATTGGCTGCGTATCGGGAACGCAATATCCGCTACGAGGAGGTGAACGTCAGCACACCGACCCCCACGGCCAAGGTCACCGTTGTGAAGTGTCTGACTTCACTGCCACCGTCGCGATCGCAGATATCTGCACAGCACATCTCGACTTTACCTCACCATTCCGTCATCGGTCACTGAGGGTCGGCTCAACGAAAAGAGGACAAGGAGAAGGACAAGACCGCAGGACAATTGCTCATCATAGGCACAATCTCCAAGGCTCATATTGGTCTCTCAATTACGTGGCCAGCTTGTTGCTGGTGTGGGGTTTGAATCGTGGTAGTGGATCAGGAGGTGTAGTGTGTTGTCGTTGTCGACATTGTCAGTGAGAATGTCTTCATCGTCAGGCGCTCCTGCGCCAATTTTTTCATACGCTCAAGCAGCAAAAGGTCTTGCTTCAGCAGCTCCCACACAGTCACACTCAAGAAATGAGAGCCCTGCCGCGTCCGACAAGAGTGTCAAGGATCGCTCCGTTGGGGACTCAATCCACACATCCTCTGCACTTAAGTCCCCGCGACTGAGATCCCAGACGGGCGACAGAGTCAGTGGAGAAAGTACCGCGACCAATACTTCTACACCTGTCGAAGGTCTCGCGTCAGCATCTGCACTAGAAGCCGCGAACAAGGAAGGCGCTACACATAGTCAGCAAGTCCCGTTAAGTGACAGCGCGAGTTCACCCGCGTCACATGTCGATGCCCACTCGCCTCAAGATACACAACAGGGTGAAATTGCACAACAGCTACCTAATGGTCGAAAAGCCTCTTCGGACGATTCGACTGTGCCGGCAACGCAGGACCAGGAGACGCCCAACGTGAGTGAGAAGAAATCCAGGGACGGTGAAGATGACTGGGAAAAGGTCTCGGTGCCGTCGCTACCAGCAGCGGAGACTCAGTACAAAGCGGCCCCCATCCCATCAGTCAATGTTTGGCAAGTCCGAAGAGAGGCTCAGGCTGCCAAGAAGAAAGATTTCCAGAAGCCCATTGTTCCCGCCGCTCCCAATGGGACCAGAAAGTCCAGATCTGCTAGCGAAGATCTGAGACGCAGATCCAGCAGCAAAGAGCTCACTAGCATCGAGAGAGAAAGTAAGAATACTGAGACCACTGCAGCCAGCCATCGCAAAGATGTGCCCCCGGCTCGCTCCCATCGACCCGATTCTCAGCACGGCGAGAGAGCAGACGCAGACGCACCCCCACCAGTGATTGATACCAGTTCATGGCCCACTCCAGAGAACTCAAACCTTGACGACCGACGCAAATCTGCATCTTATGAGAGACCCGAGAAGCTAGAGGCCAAGCCCGGTCCCCAGAAGTCACACGGCAACAAGTGGGTCGCTGTGCCATTTGTTCCTACTGCCAAGTTCGAGACACAACTGCCACCAGCCGCAGCTCGGCGTGGCGGTCGAGGCGGCATAAGAGGAGGAAGAGACAATGGCGGTCGTGGTGGCGGCTATGCAAGCGCTTCAGCTGAGAAGCAAGACGCAACGACATCTATGGGTCCACCTCCGCTACCAAGACAGTCAGGTGAACAAGACCGAGGTCGACGGTCTGATGGTCAGCAAGGCGTCCGCGGCGCTTCCGTTCCTACCACCAACACGCGACCTGCAAGCGGTGAGGATCCCGTTCGCACATTTCGCAAGTCTAGTGCAGTTGAACACAAGGATCAATCTGCCTCTGAGAATGTTGGAAGTGTCCCGCCCACCGTTCAGCAAAGTGTTGAAGATCAAGCCATTAGGACCGAGCATAGCTCAAGATCGTCCTCAAGACATACCGGCAATACTGGTAACCGACGTGTGAACGGCGAGAGAAACACCCCAGTCGACCAACCAGCTGGTGGCATCCCTCAGTCAAAGGAACCCAACCCCAAGTACCCGTTCAATACTGATCGAAACAATAAAACTTCTGCGACTGGTAATTCGCGTGGCAACGGCGAGTTCGGACGGGATCGAGGCTCTGGCAAAGTTCGCGATTGGTCAAGAGACAAACCTGAGTCGGCCCGAGAAAAGGTCGAGTCCTGGCGCGATCGCGAATCATCAGGCGATCAGGGCAGCCGACGTGGAGGTCGCTCGGATCGCGGACGCGGAACCTATCGTAGCCGCGGCGAACACTCTTACAACCAGCCCTTTACTTCCTCTCATGCTTACACGTCGCCTTTGCCCCAAAATGGGTTTGAGCCGCCATCGAGGTCTACCTCGCACAATGAGGCTCGTTCAAGGCAAGCGTCGCAGCCGTTCGTACCAAGTCAAGCTACGAACACACCACGCGCAAACCCACGTTCCCAGTCGATCCCCGTCGGTATGATGTTCCCAGGCTATTACAATGGCATGCCGGCCATGCCTCAACAGGGTCTCGCGTCTATCCAGACGGACATGTCTATGTACGGCTACCCCTCTCAGATGCAGATGCAGCCAAGCATCATGAGTGCGATGCCGTACAATGATCCGCTCAATTCGTACGCTTTGCTGTCCATGGTTATGACACAGATGTAAGTCCAATCGCTATCACGACTGCCTATTCGTATGTACTAACTTCGCGCTTAGTGAATACTACTTCTCTATCGACAATCTCTGCAAGGATCTGTTCCTGCGGAAGCATATGGACGGTCAAGGCTACGTTCCATTGAGTGTTATCGCCAATTTCAAGCGCATAAAAACCCTCACCGAAGACAACTTGACGATTGATAATCTCCGCTACGTCTGCCAACAGGTGAAAAGTGTCGAGTTCTTGCCAGGAACTGATGGAGACGATCGGCTTCGTCGCCGGGAGGGCTGGCGTGATTTTGTGCTTCCCATGGAGGAAAGATTCGAGACCGCCCGCAACGACGGACCTTTGCACAACCCAGAATCTTACAGTCGCCAAGCACAACAGGATCAGGCTGGTGTCTTCGACCCGTCCTTTGGATATGGTCAACTGCGCAGTCCGTCATTACCCATGCCAACCAGCAACGGTGCATTCCAAGCAAATTCTCCAATGTCATTCTTGCCAGCGGGTCTCGAGGAGAACCAGATGGCCGTAGGACAGCCGGTTAGTCCGTTCGATGAAGGGGTGAACGGGGCCGCTGGTAGACCACCGTTGGCAGCCTACTCACGAACCCCGGCAAATGCGGCGAGGTCACCTCCTACCAATGCTACGGCTCCACTAAACAACATTGTCAACGGCCATCATCGGCAGGGTTCTCGTGCAGATATCGAGGAGAACGTCTTCCCGGATGACCAAATCCCAAATGTCAACATCCGGATGCAGCCACATATTCTTAGTGGTGCTGCACCCTCTTTCCCTGGTATTGCTCGCGTAGCTTCGGGGGGCTCCTCGAGCGGACACAATGAAACGAGCAATATGCCCGCCGAGATCAGCCAGTCTCGTCTACCAGGCCTCCGTGGTGGTGCGGCCAGTCCCCAGCAGTAAGTGACGCCGATTCTCTATCCCGACTTTGCTAATAGTTGAACAAGGCTCGAGCAATTCCGTGGTATGTCCTTTGACGGCTCAAACACTACGCCACTCACGGAAGGGAGCGTCATTTACTTTACAAAAGATGGTCATGAGACCCAGTTGCCGCCGCCACAGCCTGGCCAATACGACCAAACCTATCTGTCCCTCCATGATGTCGCCTTTCAGCAGCGTCAAATGGGTATCAAGGATGCTCTGGAGCCACTTTACAATTTCTGGACAGACTTCTTGGTCGATAAGTTCAACCTTGGAATGTATCAGGAGTTCAAAAACACCGCCGTTAATGATCTGCAAGAAGGCAA